CCGCAGTGGCGCTCTGGAAAGCCAAATCGGGCTGCTCGTCGTACGCGATGAGAAATGCGCGGCTCGATTTGGCCAAATTTTGCCCGGCAAGATTTGGCCAAATCGGGCCCCTGGACATTGAAATGAAATTGATTGTTTAAATTCCCCGATACTAAATCACGAGCCCGGGCCTCCCCCTCAATACTAAATTACGAGCCCGGGTCTCCCTTCTCTTCTCTTGTTCTCTTTTAAATCTCAAAATCACACCAAAGGAAGCTTCTTTTCCTTATTGAATGAAAAAGAAAAAGAAGAAAAGAGATAGGTAAAGACACTGAAGAGCTCCACTGCCTATTGTTTCATTCCTTTCCTCTCTTTCTATGTGTTGTTGTCCTTGTCGTTTCAGAAAGCTAGCAAAATAAGGGCAAGGGGGCTTTAAATTATTAAAATTATTTAATTCCACCCTGGAATTAAATAATTTAAATCATTTAAATAATTTAAATAATTTAAATCCGAAAAGGGGGGGGGCCAAAAGTGCCCGGAGGCTGCCCGGCACAATTTGGCCAAATCGAGCCGCGATAGTTTAAATAATTTCGGGCCTCCAGAAAGGCGCGGCTCGATTTGGCCAAATTTTGCCGGGCAGCCTCCGGGCAAGATTTGGCCAAATCGAGCCGCGCATTTCTCATCGCATACGAAGGGCAGCCCGATTTGGCCAAATTTTGCCCGGAGGCTGCCCGGCAAAATTTGGCCAAATCGAGCCGCGCTTTTCAGCAGCCTGCGGGCAAAATTTGGCCTAATCAGGCTGCTCGTCGTACGCGATGAGAAATGCGCGGCTCGATTTGGCCAAATTTTGCCCGGCAAAATTTGGCCAAATCGGGCCCCTGGACATTGAAATGAAATTGATTTTTTAAATTCCCCGATACTAAATCACGAGCCCGGGCCTCCCCCTCAATACTAAATTTCGAGCCCGGGTCTCCCTTCTCTTCTCTTGTTCTCTTTTAATTCTCAAATCACACCAAAGGAAGCTTCTTTTCCTTATTGTTTGAAAAAGCAAAAGAAGAAAAGAGATAGGTCAAGACCCTGAAGAGCTCCACTGCCTATTGTTTCATTCCTTTTCCTCTCTTTCTATGTGTTGTTTTCCTTGTCGTTTCAGAAAGCTAGCAAAATAAGGGCAAGGGGGCTTCCTGAAGAGGAGAGAGGGCGCCTTTTTTTTTTTACTTATAGAGGGAAAAGCGAGAGACAAGGAAGGGACAGATGATAGATAAAGAAGAGTGCTATCCGTCTCCTTGTTTCTTGTGTCTTCTCTTCTTTTCAGTTCATCATATTCCTCTTTTCGGCCTGTCTCTTCTGCTCTTTTCCTTACCCTTCTCCTTTTCAAGTTCTTCCTTTTTCGTTTTTCTGTTTCGAAAAGAAAGAGGGAAGGGAGAGAGAAGGGAGAGAGGATAGATAAAGAAGAGTGCCATTTTCTTTGCGCCTTGTTTTGTCTCTCCATCTTCTTTGTTCATCTCTCTTTTCTATTCTTTTCTTGGCTCTTCCCATTAGAATTGTGTTCCTTTTATCTCTCCTCTCTCCTTCTCTTTCCCTTCTCTTCTCCTGTTCCCCTTTAAATGACAAAAACACGAGAAAGGAAGAACAAGAGAGGAATGGAGGCCCTTTTCCTGAATTCTCCTGTTGCAATGAATAAGGAAAAGAGCATAGGAGATAAGGAAGGGAATTGTGGGCGATGGAACGGGTGTCCTTTTTGATAGTTTTCTGCATCTTCAAGGAAGAAAAAGGACACCCGCCCAAGAAGGAAAAGTAACATAAGAGATAGGGAGGAAATTGAAAAGCTCCTCTCTTTACCTAGTCATTCCCTGTCCTCTCTTCTTTTTTGTTGTTTTTCTTATTCGCTTCAAAAAGCAAAATAACAAAATAAGGGAAAGGCGATTTCCTGAAGAGGAAGAAGGGCGCCTACCTGTGAATAGCAAGGTTGATTTTTTCTAATTAGGGAGAGACTTGCCCCGCCTGAGCCTCCCTGGCCTGCTTGTTGTGGCCACATTCCGGTACAGTTGCGCTTCCAGAAAAATGGCATCCTTGTTATCTCCTCTCACTTCCCTTTCCCTTCTCTCCTTCTGTTTCCTTCTGACTGATAAACCACAAGAAAGGAACTTGTATGATAAGGCAGTGGAAGGGTAAGCAGAGGGTGACTCCTGGCGCGTGGACCGGTCCATACTTCGTCATACCCCTCCTCTCGGCCTATCTCTTCTGTTCCTTTCCTTACCCTTCTCCTTCTCATAGTTCTTCCTTTTTGTTCTCTTATTTCGAAAAGAAAGATGGCAGGGAGAGATAAGGAAGAGAGGATAGATAAAGAGTGAGTGCCATTTTCTCTGCGCCTTGTTTTGTCTCTCCCTCTTCTCTATTCATCTCTCTTCTATTCTTTTCTTTGCTCTTCCCATTAACAATGCAATCCTTTTGTCTCTCCTCTCTCCTTCTCTCTCCCTTCTCTTCTCCTGTTCCCCTTTAAATGACAAAAACGCAAGAAAGGAAGAACAAGAGGGGAATGGAGGCCATGTTCCTTTCTTTTCCAATGGATGGGGAAAGTGAGCGGGGTTGGCTCCTTGTCCGTAGACCCTCCCCACGCTGCAGCAAATCCCTCCTCTCGCCCTATCGCCTCTGTTCTTTTCCTTGTTCCCAAACGGAAAAAGAAAATGGGTTCCTTTACATGTTCATTGTTCTTCCTTTTGTTTTCTATTTAAAAGGGAAAGATAAGAAAGAGAGGAAAGAAGAAAACGAGCACCATCCTCTCTTTGCCTGATTTTGCACCTCCCTCTCCTGTCTTCATTTCTCTTCCATGACTTTCATTGCTCTTCCCATGAAAATTGTTTCCTTTTGATCTCTCCTCTCTCCTTTCTCTCTCCCTTCTCTTCTCTTGTTCTCTTTTGAATCTCAAAATCACACCAAAGGAAGCTTCTTTTCCTTATTGAATTAAAAAGAAAAAGAAGAAAAGAGATAGGTAAAGACACTGAAGAGCTCCACTGCCTATTGTTTCATTCCTTTCCTCTCTTTCTATGTGTTGTTTTCCTTGTCGTTTCAGAAAGCTAGCAAAATAAGGGCAAGGGGGCTTCCTGAAGAGGAGAGAGGGCACCTATTTTTTAATTATAGAGGGAAAAGCGAGAGACAAGGAAGGGACAGATGATAGATAAAGAAGAGTGCTATCCGTCTCCTTGTTTATTGTGTCTTCTCTTCTTTTCAGTACCCCTCCAGAAAATTCAAATGGCCTCCTTGTTGTCTCTCCTCTCTCACTTCCCTTGCCCTTCTCTCCTTCTGTTACCTTTTAACTAATATAACACAAGAAAGGAACTTGTATGATAAAGCAGTGGAAGGGTAAGCAGAGAGTGACTCCTTGCGCGTGGACCTTGCCCATACTTCATCATATCCCTCTTTTCGGCCTGTCTCTTCTGCTCTTTTCCTTACCCTTCTCCTTTTCAAGTTCTTCCTTTTTCGTTTTTCTGTTTCGAAAAGAAAGAGGGAAGGGAGAGAGAAGGGAGAGAGGATAGATAAAGAAGAGTGCCATTTTCTTTGCGCCTTGTTTTGTCTCTCCATCTTCTTTGTTCATCTCTCTTTTCTATTCTTTTCTTGGCTCTTCCCATTAAAATTGTCTTCCTTTTATCTCTCCTCTCTCCTTCTCTTTCCCCTCTCTTCTCCTGTTCCCCTTTAAATGACAAAAACACAAGAAAGGAAGAACAAGAGGGGAATGGAGGCCCTTTTCCTGTATTCTCCTGTTGCAATGAATACAGAAAAGAGCATAGGAGATAAGGAAGGGAATTGAGGAGCTCCTTTCGCTACTTTCTTATGCCCTTTCCTTTGTATCTACCACACAAAAACACCACTCTCAGCTTCCAAGAATACTCTCGTGGAGACGCATTGGTTAGTCTAAAAACCCGAGTCTCTGCTTCCAAATAGACCCTATTTAAGCCACCCACCCCCCCCCCCCCGTTTGCTCTTTCTCTTTCTTACTCTCAGGTTCGGACGTTTGGGCCGTGCGGTTTCTGCATCGCTTCGGGCGGCTGAAGGCGGCATAGAGCCTCTTTAGGCAGCCTGGTGAGAGCAGTACCCAGAGTTCTCAAAGAATGAGGGGGGGGGGGTGTTCTGGTGGTCGGGCGCTCACCTACAAAGCATCAGGGTGCAGTTCAAGTAGAGGATCACTCGAAATCTTGGTGCGGCATCCTTGGACACGACTCTCGGACACGACTCTCTTGCCGTCTGTATCTGGCGTTTGTCTCTGGCAGGGGCCAGCTGTTCGCTGCAGCAGCTGAGTGAGGACTGGAGTGGCCCAGGGCTTAAGGAGTCCTCAGGGTACCTTCCACAGCCATTTGCTCATTTTGTGGCAGCGATGGCACTCGGGAGCCTTTGTGCCATGTACGGCGTTTATCGGATGCCTGAATTGTTACACCTCATGCGTGCTGTCGAGCTTGAGGCTTGCAACTTGCGATGTGGCATGAGCTCTTTACAGCTAGCTTCCTTGAGGGTTCTGCTAGCCCCCAGAAAGCGTCAGTGGCAGGACAAGCGGGTTCACCAAGAGCACCTTGGCTGCAAACAAAGAGTGCAGTCTCTGCTTGGTTTTTGGAGCTGGCAGAGGGAGTTGTAAAGGGCAGACGCTTTGTCAAAAAGAATGTGTGGTCCCAGAGAAACACACAATTTCAAAGACTTTTCACAGGTGGCCAGATCCTTCAGTGCTCTTCACCTCTTCACCTCTGCTTTGAGGTGGAAGGATCTAGAGAAGTGCGGCATGGTCAAGTCCAACAGCATCCCGGCAAAATGGGGAGGGCTGACGGTTCCCGAAGCTGGACTCGGATTGTGAGTGCTTCCGAAGCAGAGGCCAGCTGAAGACCTTCCTTTCGGAGCGGGCGACCTCCTTCGAGGACGGGTTGGGAGGGGACACAAATCATTGGATCCAGAGCTGTATCACCTCGTACGCCATGACCGAGACAGTCACCTGTCGATTCGCATCCCGCCACAACATGTCTCCATCCTTTTGGCCGCAGGTGTCAAGCAATGCTGCCGGGCAGGCGCATCCAAAAGAAGTCAGATCGTTGCCATGTCTTGGGTCTCCTGTAGGCATGGAGTCAGTGAACACGAAAGTGCTACAGGTGAAAGCTCTTTGTGTGCTGAAGCTGAGAATATGCGGCATGGATCCAACATTCATGGGACTACTGATGGCTACTGTAGGCAGCTGGGCAGGATGGGCGATCTCTTGCAGGCAACGTTGAGATCTGCGGATGTTCGTGGCTTAGGCTCGCAAGCGCAGGAGAGGAAGCATCGCAACACGTGAGAGGAGTCCTTCCAGCCATGGCGACAAGACCGCGATCCGGGCTCCTGGCATCGCTGATGGTGTCCCTGCTCGGCCTCGTGTCCCTGCAGGCTCTGCAGGCCTTCGTGCCGGCGCCGCAGGCCCAGTCTCCTCCTCTGCGGGGTCTGGCCGCAGCCGCCAGCATCGCCAGCATCGCCTCCGCACCCGGTGTGGCCTCAGCAGGTGACGAGTATCTCAACTATAACATGACGGGGGAGTTCACGCCCTTCATGGTCATCGGGTACTTTGGCCTGACCACCTTCCTCACCGCCTTCGCTTTTGGCTCCTACCTCGTGCTGACGAAGCTGAAGATCATCTGAGAAGAACGCTTGAGCGCTCCTGCCTGTGATAATTTTCCAAAATATGTCGTAGCTTCCTGCACTAGCAACTGAAAAGAGTCGACTCCGAGCACCGAAGAAGTGGAACTGAGCATCGGTGAAAGGGCTTGGCTATGGAGGGTCCTATGCCTTGCCAAGTAAAAGCTGCAGAACACTGCGACAGGTTTTCGTCAAGCTGGTCGGAGAGGCTGGGACACAAACAGGGTCTCGTCTTTGAAGGAAAGGCGGTCAATCAGCTAGATTCGGCCGTGACGTGGGTAGCAAAAGGCCTCATCGCATGCACTGACATCCATTCGTCTCAGGACTGAGCATGCCTGCATAACCTAGGCGGCCCCCCACAGGGTACGTGCACTTATGATTTGCGCAGCAACCATTGTCGTCCTGGCTCCTCGCTAGGCCTCGCCGGCTGGTGGAGAGGTCCCTTGGAGGGGTCTTTCGATTTGTTCGAAGCGAGTAGTAGCGCAATGGAGTGAACAACGCGGCACAGGTTCCTGCCATCGACGCCTACCTCCGCAAAGCCGGGGGCTCCGAGCGCGTCTCGCGGCTGGCGGTGCTTTTTGGTGTTGACGAGGCCTCTCCGGTTAAGGGATGATCATTGGTTGCCAATTGGTTGCCACTAGCTTTACTAGGCACCTTTAGCCAAGTCACCCGGCCGCACAATCGGCATTGCAGCGCCACAGCCCATCTTTAGAGAGGCAGCCTTGGCACGTCACTTCTGCATCTACGAGGCCTGGATTGTGAGAGACATGTTGGCTCCTGAGCCCCATTCCCGAACGAGCCACCTTGAAGGAGAACGGGCGCAAGTACGCGTCTCCCGGGCAACTTGGTGGCAGAGTTGACACAGGGCTTTTTTGAGTTCCTCTGCCCCCAAAGTCCAAATTTTGCCCCTCCGCCAAGGAAAGCGTCTGGCAGTGCTCCGTCCACCGGGAACAAGCGCTCACCGGCTACGGACAAGATAGCCGCCCGGCTGAGTAGCCCTTGTAGGGGTGCATATCCGTTGAGACTCTTCTCTAGGGAGGCCCCGACTGATAGAGTTTGTGCATCCTCCAGCTTGGAAAGGCTTGGAAAGACAGGGGCCACAGGGTCCTCAAACACACCATGCCGCGGAAGGATACAGTTGTCTCGGAGAGCTCCGTCCTCGATCGGGAGCGTGAGCTCAAGGAGCCTTGCTACAGGAACCTGCTTAAGACCCCGGTTGTTTGAATGCATGTGACTGGGGCCTTTCAAGTCGTGCCCTTGTAGCCGTACACGGAAACGCACCATGAGACATCGTTCGTCCTGCTTGCGGCTAAGCAGCGGAGAGCTCCTAGAATTTCGTGCAGACGCTTCTGCCGTTTAGACTTGGAAGCTGTGGGGCTGTCCGTGTGGCTTCTTCAATCCGTTTCATAATGAGGGCACCCTCTTCTAACTTTAAAGTCAAGGCTGCAGCTTGGAAGATGTCATTCTTTAATGATGCCCAGCTAAAACTGTGGTCCCTCCACTGCTTCCCCTACCCCCATCCCATTCAGACCCCCAGATCAACCCTTTTACAGAAGGGATCCGAAGGAGCTGGAGACCCAACTTGCAGGGCTGACGCGGGCCCGGTGGCGGATTGCAAAGGCCTTTGGAAAAAACTCCCTGAGCCATGGGTGTAGGTCAGCGCAGGTTGTTGTTGGAGCAGCAGGCCCGGTAAGTTCTCAATACACCGTCTATGGGTAGTGTCTACCGCAGTGTCGCAGGTGTGTAAATCGAACAACCAAGGCCCACGCAACAAGCCTTACATGTGGCAACCGTGCGGAAGGCTATGGTCTTCTGCTTAGACAGCGCTGAGAGCGCGCCGATGCTTTCACGAGCCTTGGCCAAGTCCCTCGAGGCGGGCTGTGAGTTCCCCGCACAAAGCTTTTCGAGTATCGAGATGAAGGTTTCGGGGGAAGGCGGGGACAACGACGTTGTCCGTATCCATTCGGGGCGGGCAGACCTGCCCCTCGGTCCCCTGGCCCTAGCCCCAAGAAGGAAAGAAAGGGAGAATTTCTGGCACTTTCATGTGCTTTCCAGGTGCTCTTGGGTGGGCTGGGACACAGGGCGCGCGCACGAGGGGGTTGCAGAAGGGTTGGCCCCCAAGCCTCCCTCGAAAGAAAGAAGGAGCACGAGCAACAACACAAAAAGAAAGAAGGAAAGCCAGAGAACAGAGAGAGCGAGCTACGGACCGGCAGGGACCGGCAGGAAGAAGCATAGGGTGGCTTACGCACTCAAAAGGCAAGTGATTCGTATAGGGTGTGCTCGACTGGTGATTGGGGCAACGTGCATCAAACTCGCGAAACGGAGGCTCGCACCGACCGAGCTCTGAGCGTGGCGACTGTAGTGTGGGCACAGTGCGGGGGTTATGAAAGTCCCAGTCATCCCAGTCCAGCTTGCAACCTGGAGGAGGCAGACCTGACGATCGACGCGGGCTTGGCTCGGATGCTTGACTGCCCAGGGTTTTTAGGAGTGGGGTCTGTGTTTTTTGCAAGCAGTGCCTGTAGGCTTAACTCGGCGTTTCTCGATTGACATAGAAAAGAGACTTTACTCCACCATCGTGCTGTATTTGGTGTTCTGCAATAATACATATATATATATATATGTGTATGAAATATATATATATATATACATATATATATATATATATATTGTGTGTCTGTATGTTACACTTGTGGATGTCTGTCTGTCTGTCTGTCTGTCTGTCTGTCTGTCTGTCTGTCTATCTCTTCGTGTGTGTGTGTGTGTGTGTGTGTGTGTGTGTGTGTGTGTGTGTCTGTGTGTATATTAGTGTATATGCACGTATCTATGTCTCTCTGTGTTTGTGTTTGTGTTTGTGTGGGCGCACGTGCATGCGTAGGCGCGTATGTACGCATGTGTGTACGTATGTAGGTACGTATCTGTGGAGGTGTTACGTATAGACCGTATAGATATAAATAGAGTTCTATCCGACATCGCGGTGCCCAGGATCTTTCTAATCAGCGACATCTTGCACAACTCGGCTCTGAGCAGTTCTCGTGGGGCCACGCGCTACCGGAGCAACCTGTACCCCGGGCCCAAGCCAGGATCTGGGACGGGGGAAGAAGCCTTGTTGAGATTTGTAGGTTGTCAGCACAGTGGGTAGTGCCAGGGTTAAGGGAAAACACCGGTCATGCTTAGAATCGGTACAATACAACATCGGACAGGTTAGGTTGCGAGGGTTCCAAAGGTAACGTTGCAAGTCTTTGCAAGGCTCCAACGTCTACTCATCGCACCTAGTTTCTGCAAAATCATGCTCAAATATTGTTAGTTTTACCCAGTTGGCAGACACATGCTGCGATGTCCGTAGATGCCGCCCTCAGGCAAGAGCTCCTCCCGAGCGCTTGTGAGCAGTTCGGGTTGCTGATGGAGTAGCAAAGCTTTTCCGTTATTGTTGAGAGCTGAGTAGAGTAGGCTTTAGTGCTTGTCTCAGAGGGCACTTTAAGAATAGCCGGCTTCTAGTCAGTTTTGCTCACTTTCTCTGGTGAAGAAAGGTTCTGGCTACGAGGGAAGGGGCGGCAGTCCTTGCGGCAGTCCCGGTCTGAAGCGGCTACTTGTGGCACTGTTGAACTTTTAGTTCATTTATTGAATCAAACACGACGGCAGGTCAATGAGCACTGAAAGTCCACAGCCGAGGCTGTCCGGCAGGTCTTGGACTGCTGGCGCGAGTGGTCTATCTTCACCTTTTTACTTTTTTTTGCTTTGCTTTTGGGCTCGGTATTTCTTCAAGACTCGTCGTGCAATTCCCAGGCCCCCGCGAACACTGCTAAGCAAATGACCCTGCTTCCTTCGCCCAGAGCCCTGCCACCGACCTGGCCCGCAAGTGTGAGACTCGAAGCCCTTACCCGTACCCCCTCCCAAGACCCCCAAGGGCCGCAAGGGTTCAAGGGCCCAGGGGGCCCAAGGGCCAAGGCATGCGTCTCGAAACCCTCTTGGAGCCAAAGGTGGTCCATTTTCCCACCGCTCTTCCCGGCTGGCCTCGAGGCGCTGCTCTTTGCAGAGATCCGCGAGGACTGCTTGGGGGGGGGGCTTTGTGTGCTTGATTGGGAGCTGCCCATGCGTAGCTGAGCGTAGTTGGGGAGGCTTTTTCTGTCAAGTTTGCGAGGGCTTTTTTTAGCCCATGAGGCCCAAAATCCAGACTTGGAGCCCCTGACAAGGACGCAGGCGACCAAAAAGGCAAGAGCAGCCGGGATCGAGCACAGAGCGATCACGACTCAGACTCAGACTTGCAGGCGGGATCCCGAAATAGTGTTCGTGGGCACTTCGAACCATCCTGAACTACGCCGGGGCCTGAAGCAAGACATTGCCAGGCGAAGCTTGCGCACTGGCGCGACCCAGGCGCGCCGCCTCAACTTAAGGTCGTGGATTCCACACAATTGGTCTGCACAATGGCGAACTGCTACACCCCAAAATATTGCCCTAAGATCCTCTGCACATCCCTATACATCCAAACCCATCGTTGCGGGCACACAATCCTAGGAGCAGCGGCGCGCTGGAATTGTTTGTGGGTGGTGTCGCGCAGTCCGATTCCACTGTAGATGGTATCATGCTATTTCCAGACCTCATCATAGCTTTCAAGCCCAGGCACGGCGCCAAGGGCGCCCTATGCAGCACGACTCCGAGGCCTAGCCAACTCCAGCCTCCCGGCGGCGGCCTGTGCGCCTTGGAAGCTTTGTTGGGTTCTCGCCTGGTGGCGAAATTTGGGCAAATTCCGTTCAGGGTGGCAGTTGGCACTTTGATCCAGATTCAGGAGGATTGTGGCTGCGATCTTCAGGTGCTGCGGCTTTGCCACTTCGAGCGCTTCTGGCATAGCGCCGACCCCGCGCGCCGGCAACGCGCAGGTATTCGATCGCCCGGCGAAGGGGAGAAGGCATGGATCCTTTTGCTCCATGTGGCATCTTGGTGTTTGGCTATTCTCTCGTTGAAGCGCATTGCCGGAGATGCCTCAGGCCTGCATACAGAGAGAGTGGGACGGCGAGTCCCTGAGTGAGGCGTGCAGGGAGTTGTCGCGTGTGCAGGATTTTCCGGTTGAGGCCAGCGTCAGAGTCAGAGTCAACAGTCCATTAGTTGAGGTTTCCTTGGTTGACTGGGATGAGGAATGAGGGTGAGAAGGACTCCGGACTGGAGAGAACAAGCAGCGTTGCTTGAGTTGATCGTCGATGCCCTGGCAACCTCGCAGGGCGATGAGAGAGATGTGGATGGGGAGCCGCTCTTTGAGGCACCTAAACAAAAGGGTCGGTTCTGGCTTGGACGTTTTTCGGAAAGTTTCTGCATGTGCTGAAGCCCAAGCCGCCGGAGAATTTCCCAGTTTATGTGGGAGAATGAAGGCTTCAGAATGGTACCCCACAAGCTTCTGACTCTAGCTGCTGCGCACTTCTTTCTTCTTCCCTCGTCCTACAGCATTGGCCTGTGGGATGTGGTGGGCAGGGTGTGGGGTGGGAGGAGGAGCAGTGGTCTCCTCCGGCATCCCCGGCGCCGGCGGCGTCTCACGCTGACGTGGGACTGTGGCCCGGCATTGCATCGGTGTAGTCTGGCGCATGAGTCCCGAAACAGAAACAGGGATGCAAAGTGATGCAACCCAGAGTCGAGGCTTGGCGGCCTTTACCTTGAAATAGCTCGGTACGATTGCCATTACATCGGCCAAAGGAAAGCAAGCCGTCCGCGGAGCTGAGGTGGAAAGCCTGTTTCTGCCTGAGCGGAGACAAAAAAAGGCGTGTGCCCGCCAGCGACATTGCAGTATATTGCAGTTCCCAAGCCGTGCGTGATACTTACTGTCAATTCATGTGGGCATTGGTATTAACAACTGGGCCAAGGCAGGCCGATGGCTGGACTGAGTGTGAGGCCGCAGCACAATTGCTGTCACATGTGCTGTCTGATCCTGCGGGCTGTCAAGGTTCCCGAGGGGTTAAGCTTGCGCCGCGAAGCCAAAAGGGCAGGGCGTTGGGTCTCACCCTGCAAATCAGCTTATCTTTCTATTGAATCTATAGTGAACCTAGCAGGTGCTGCTGCCAGGTGCGGCAGCTCACCCGGTGAGAGTTCTTCCCCAAACCTAAGAGAAAGTACTTAGGGACGAACTGATTGCACATCTTTGCTTAAGAGTGTATTTCAGCAGGCAGCTTTGTTTTTTATCTTGTGAGGTGATAACCAAGTCCCCGTGTCATGGGACGGGTCCACAACAACATGCTTACAAAACATGTCCATCAGTAAACGATCTGGGATGCTGCAACTTGAGGTTTTGAGGAAATCAACAGAAATAGTGTGTTGGCAAATCCTCCAATCCCTCTCTGGCTCGTCAGCTGAGCAAGAACAATTTATGGGTCGCGGAGTCTGCTATCTGACCCTGGAATGTAAAATCTAAGAAAGCCCTTGCAGTTTACTATGGCCGGCCGCGGCTGTGCCAGTCTGCCCAATCATGCACCGTGAGGACTTGCTTTCGACAGAAGCCGCAAAAAAAACAGCTGCAGTGCCATGAGGTAAAAGGTAGGATGCCATCGAAGACAATGATCGCCATGCGAACAATTGCACACCACAGGTTACTGCTCGCAGCTCGCACTGACCAGAGGCCATCCACGAGGCCCAGTCCATCGCACGAATGAACGCTGGCGCTCGCGACCCTCAGAACATGTGTAGAACGGATTTGGGTAGGCAATTGTAAACGCAAATGTTGACAGCAGCCGAAAATGAGTGCTCGAGCCACTCAAGCCACTAATGCCGCTTAATGATGCTCAATGATGCTGAATGCTTGCGCAAAAGCAGACATAGCAAACCGACTCCGCTCAGGTCCGCTCCCATTCCACTTCCCATCCCTCTACTGCTGTAGACATGGTTCGGAAGGTAGTTGGCGATGTTGGCATCTTACGCAAAAAAGCCGTGCCTTGCGGTAGAACCATCAGCGAAGCACAAGTCTTTCCAGCGATCTTCGCTGACAGGAAGGAGATTCATGGACTGCCTTGGCCAAGCGCTTCCGCAAGACCTTGCTAGGTTCCCCTACACTGCGGGGCAAATCGGTCAGGACGATAGCTTGGCCTGGGAGCACACCCCCCCCCCCCCCCCCCCCCCCCCCCCCCCGAAATCACGGTCCAAACAGCAGCTTTCAACCTTCTGCATCAGGCCATTGATTTGGATGAGACGTCGCTTCCAGACTCAGGTGCAGTCGGCCGCGCCAAAAAATGCAAGCTGCTTTTTGCGCGCTGAGTCTCCCGGTGAGCCCAAGACCAGAACCCTAACAAACAATGGAAGAGGTGCTTGTCTGTAAGCATGTGTGAGAGTCGAAACAGTGGAAGAGCTGCGTTTTGGGGCCCAGAGACTGGGATGCAAAAGGGTTTCTTTAGTGCATTCACGTTTTCGACTTTTAGAAGGATCCCTCCGAAATTTACCTCCAACCGCCGCTGTTCTTCTCATCTGCACAGCTGTCGGGAGTCCACAGAACTCCAAGTAACGAGCCCAAAGCCCAGCTCCCAACACCCGAGCATGGGATCCTCAGCTCCCATTTCCAAAACGACCCCCCCAACTTGAAGGACCAGGACCGAGCCGTGAAACCTAGGTTAACCCCAAAACAGCAACATACCTTAAACTCAGAAACCGTCGCTCTCCCGGATCTGGGGGATGGTAGAGTTCAGCTGACAACTTCGCGTGCCTCTCCGGGGGATGCGTGGTGCATGGCAGCAGCTCTTGCTGGAAAGGTGCTCTGGCATGTCAGGGTTTGTCGTTTCTTGCTCGGCGTTTCTCAAGGGAAAGATAAAGACTCTTCTCAGAAGGTCCATGGAGGAGTCCATGACTCGTGCTTCTCATACACTCGATGTCTCTTAAGCCCCGCAACCCCGAACTTCATGAAACCGCCCCGCTTTTCGCCTTTCGCTTTTCGGGCACACAGTCGTGTAACACAACGCAGCCTACGCATGCACTAATTGAGGTGAAACGTCATGAAAGCCACGAAGCTAAAATCCGCGTCGGCCACAACCTCCTCCGTAACTTCGCTGCTGTTTGGAAGGCAGCCTGTGGACGTCGAGCACTGCGCAAGGATTCCAAGGCGCTTTCGGGGTGGAGGGGCTCATTAAAGGCTGCAGGTCCCGATGCGCTCAGCTGGCAGTTCAGGGGCTCGCTGTGGCTAAGTGGGCTTTGTCGGCGTGGGGAACGCCTGAAGGAACCCTCACGGTATGCAGCACAGTGCCCCCCCATGGCTGCAAAACCGAAACGAGCATTTTCGGGGCCACCGGGGGCTTGTACCTTCTTCTCCTAAACCGAAACCGAATCGTCCTTTCTTGGCAAAGCGCCAGGAGCTCGCTTGAGCGATCAAGTTTCCTCGGAGCCGCCAACGAGCTCCTTGTTCCCATGGTTTTCAAGTTAAGTTTTCTAGCTTTACTTTGGGCTACTTCCGATTCTTTCGACTTGAATGGAACACGACTGAGCGGGCTTGCTTGACACAAGAGGGTCCAGAATTCGGTCCGGTTGGAACACATCATATTTCCTGCGGGTTTATGTGTAGTTGGTGTGAATTTTCCTAAGCCCGATGTGAAGAGAAGCATCCCTTAGTTCTCAAACAGTTGTAGGGTTTTTTATTTTGCATTATTTTTTTATTTTCTATTTTTCTTTGAGGGGGGGGGCTGTGAAATCTTAAGAACTAAAGGGTTTGGTATTCATGATGTGCATTGTACACAGGGGATGACACTGTGTGAGCAAGCCGGGTACTTCGAGGCTCGGTGCGCCAGACCCCAACCCCAAGCCTGACTTGAACTGAGCCTTGGTGCGCAGAGAATAGCGGTGCTTGTTGGGCAGGGGCTTAGCTTGGGATTGCAGGCTTAATTTTGAAAATGGATCGAAAGGGCGTGTTGCAGTAGGTGCAAGCATGGTTTTATAGCCCCATTCTCGCAAGCTGCCAGCAAGTCAGATATTGTTGTGCACAAAGGCTTAGGCCAATCCCCCAAGCAGCTGGATCCAGCAGCTGGATCCTCAGTCCCATGCGGCGGTGTCAGGCAAATGCTTTCGATACCAGAAGGAGACGCTCGAGGCCTGGAAGGTATGGGTTGTGTGACTCCGTTTTGTGTTGAGTTTGCGAAGTCTTGGGGTGAGAGGACTTCTAGTGCAGCTCTGCTTTGGGGCTTGCGTTGGGCGAGGACATCAACCATCTGCAGCACAACGTGAACTTCGCTCGCAAAATGTGCCTGGGCATATGTGACCCCACATGATTGCTGGTTCTTACTACGCTGCAGCAGGAGGTGTCCCGGGATGGCGGTCTGCTCATACACATAGATGCCATACTTCTCGATTCTCGGCTAGCGCGAATGAGGAACGCAGAGGGGAGCAGTTTAGGCATGGCATCTTTCGGGAACCTGGAAATAAAGCCGTGTAGGCTTGAGGGCGACAGTGGCTGGGATGGTGATGACGGGATGACCAAGGTTCGAACCCTCCGAGGTCACGCAGGACATGCTAGACCAAGCGAGGGAGCCGTGGTGGCACGCAGAGACGTGCATTTCAACTCAAGTGGGTTTCGGGGAATTGCCCAAGAAGCGGAAGCCACCGTGTGTATGCTCAAGGATGCCATCGCCAAGAAGAAGAAGATGAAAGACGATGAGGCGAGGAGGTGTGCGAGGAGGTGTTAGTCTTGCAAGAGCATGCAGGGTGAGATCTCAGGGTTTTCGGACTTCGAGCCTTCTTTTTTTGGTGACTGAAAGCCAAAGTTCTACAGGTTTTCGCGCATTAGGGTGGTAGAAGTTTGGTCGTTTTAGTTAGTTGATGTTTGCGCAGCACCCAGACCGGAAGCGATGCCAAAACAGCTCCACAGGCTTCCTCCATTGACACCAGCAGCCTGTGGTACGTCAAGCTTCCGGAGGAGATCTGCTGCACTGAGATCGATGTGGTGACAGTGTAATCCCTTCCCCCTTTTATTAAACGCACCCTAATTGTAAAAACACTTTCCGGAAAATCCTGCCGAAACCGACCCCGCCTTTTAAACCCTGTTCCGAAATAGGGGCTGGGTTCAGGGCTCCCAAAACCCGCAAGCCAACCAACATCCTGAAGCTCCCTTGCCTCCCTTCCCAGCCTAGACCCTAAACCCTTTTTACCCCAAACATGACATTTGGATAAAAACCTCCTCCCCCTAATGATAAAAACACATTTCGTTTCGAGTTTCTATTGGGGGGGGCCCCCCCTCCCCCCCGTTTAATATTAGGGGGAAGGGATGAGTGTGGTTCAGCTAGCTGCCTTTCTCGCCCGGTTGTCAAGCGGTTGCGTTTTTGCCGGTCGCCATGACCTGAACCTGGCTTCGCACCCAAGACTCCAACCAACCAAACTGCCCTTAGAGGAACTGGCAAAAAAGGCCAAAAGTGGCACCAAGGCAGGTGTTGCTTTCATGCCAGCATGCTTGGATTGTGGGAGGGCGGACGGTCGAGAGTTTGAAATTCCATTGCAGCAGCAACCGCGCCCCAAAAGCAGCTGCCGCTGTCACAGACGGGGCTGAAACTGAGTCCAGCATACAAAAGTCCCCAAACTGGCAGGTGATGGTCAAGCGTGGTGAGGAGGAGCTCGAGGCGTGCCTGGTGTCCTATCCAGACAAGGCCCCTTCCTGGGTTGCGGCTCCGAGGGCTTCATGGCTTAATCGGATTCTTGTCCCTAGGTCCTAAACCCATTGACAGAAGCACCCTTCACCGCACCCGTTCTCAATGCGAAGTCTATGCCGTCTGTGCCCAAATGGTCCCCTTCAGGAACGCGCAATCTTGGCCTTTTGCCCGGCAGGGGCTCCCGCAAACATGCTTCGAGTGTGCTCCTCCAGGCCAATACCCGAAACAGCTTGCGCCACCGCAAGAAGGCCCCGGCAAGTTGTCTTGGTACTGACACCTGAAAATGTCAGAGATGCCCGCCGCATGCCACAAGTATGACCTGTCATTGTCATGGAAGTGGTGATGCTTTGAGCTTTTCACTTACTGGTTGGTACTGGAGGGATGCCACACCCACAACCCCGGAGCGTCGCCACCCTGGACTTGCAAAGAGTAATGATGACACTGTTGCAGGCTCTCTGGGAGCTTTGTCCTTCGCCTGGCCCGAAAGAAAAGATCCCTCGGCCGCATTGTCTGGCATCCTTTAGGCTTCCATAGCAACAAGTTTCTGAAGCTTTCTCGACTGCAAGGGACCCTTGCTTTGGGGCTGGGGGAGTGGGAGCCAGTAGGAATTCCGCGTCTTCACCGAGCCTTTCTTGGAAGCTTTCAGGAGCGGTTTGCTTGGCACTCTTTGCATTGGTTTCCAAGCCTACCGTGGCCGTGAAGCGGGCCTCTCTGCTCAGGAAGGTCCCAGACGAAGACCCATTTCCCTGCGGGGGCCGCGAAAAGCTGCGTGACGAGAAGTTCAAGTGGAAGCCGGGGGACGCCTTTGAGTTCATAGGCGGGTTGGGTGACAAAGTCCCCCCACAACACGACCGAAGCCCAGAGCATACCCACGGTCACCGACAGTCACCCACGCAGGAAGCTGCAGAAGCTCCCTGGCGATTCGGCACCCGGGCATGAAGGACACCTGCTTGGAGGGATGCTCACCACAGTGCCCACATGTGCCCACTTTGTAGAGGTTCACTTGTAACTCACTTGTAGGCTGAGGGGCTTAGAATCTACGAAGTCGCCGCCCGGCTCTCTTTGGACTGCTGCCAATGGGGAGGACTTTGACGAGGACGAGGATGAGAGGTTTCAGATGGCGGCAGCTGGACTTGAGGACTTGAGAACTTCTGCTTTTGGAAGCTGAGCAAGGGCCTTCAGTCCTAAGCCCGCGGCCCGACACCCAAAAAGCTCGATACGCTGAGCCTTTAGACTTCGTCCCTGAGCCTTCGTCCTTGAGCTTTTCAAGAAGAGCACCCGTATTCGCGGAAGGATTCATAGAGAGATCTAAAGCGGTAGAAAAGTTGCTTATGAGGGAGCGTAAGCCTTGAGACTGGAATGTCGTGTTATTCTTAGCACGGTGATGAGCATAGTTTTTGTGTCCACTGTCCACGATGCCCCGCAAGACCCCCTGGCCCCCTGGGTTCTCTTTGCCATGATGGGACCAAGCCCGGAAAGTCCTAAAGGCGATCAAGTTGGAGATGTTCTAGTGGGTGTTCGGCCCCTGTATGGCGCCCCTGTTAGCCCCAGAGGCCGGCCCAACCAGACTCCCGAAATTCAGGTGCGCGACATGACGCGGGAACACCGGAAGAAGCTGGCCGAAGAGGCCAAGGAAGCTGCGGCCAAAGAGGCCGAGAAGGAGGAACCGAAGGAAGATGAATGACGCCGAAAGCACCAATGGTGTCAGGGAGAGTCTGAGGATCTAGGAGTTTAGGGTGGTTTCCTTTCGCTCCAAGGGCAAAGCCCAAATGAGTTTGGGGTCCTTGTGGGGAAACTGCTTATGCGTGAAATTCAACAAAGAAGAAAGCACTTGCAGCCACACGTGTGTGCCTACATGGCTTGTTTGTGTCAGCCTGAGTTCAAGGCAGATGGGTTAATGATGGTTAATGCTCAAGAACTAGAACCTGGATTCTCCCCACCTCAACCCTAAATGAGGAACCGCTTCTTGGTTGCTCTGGTTGATCTGTTTTGATGTTGCATCCTCCAACCTGGGTTTGCGATTATTTCTTGGGAGCTCTCGGCGTCAGAATGTTTCACCACTAACAGCAAGATCAAGTCACCCTTGAGCCACTCGTTCATCGCGTGACAAGGAGAAAATACGAATGAACTGTGTAGCTTATGGCTGCATGGCTCAGCTCTTGGGCGAGCTCTCAAGTGACAGGCAACAATTGCGGCCGCTGTGGTGGCTGGCGATCCAGTTACCTTAGAGTAGTGGAGCCACCAATCACACATGCACAGTGTGATGCTTTAATGCGAACTTCAGGTTGTGTAGCCAACAAGCCCGGTTACGAACCTGAGCTCCAGCCCACCCAACCCAGGAACAAGGTTCAGGGGAGACGAGGTCTACGTAGCCATTCAACTGCCAATTGGGAATTCGAGCTTCGGCTCTCATGCCGCGCCGCGCGGCCTCCGCGCCACCACCAAAGGGCCTCACTCGGCCTGTGAAAGTTTGCGTGCCTTCGGAGGAGCTTGGCATTCGGCACATTCGGCACTTTCGGCACTTTCGGCACTTTCGGCACTTTCGGCACTTCCAACGGCTAGTTGGTCTCAGCGTGCTGGATGTGCCACCACGGGCAGGTTCGGGATGTGTGTGGGTGTTTCGAGAGGGGCTGCGGTTGCTTGTGAGCTTCTGTCCAGCTCCTGTCCAACCGGCTTCGGAGACTTGCTGACAGCTCGGATCTAGATTGGAGCTCAGGTGCGTGTGCGTCCCGTCCTGGAGCGGGAGGTCGAGCATGGCTCCTGGCCGAGACTTAGGGCCTTAGGGTGGCCAACAAAGATTGTCAAGGCTGTCAAGGTTTCGTTCTAATTCATTGCAGTTCCCAGCGCAGCAGTCTGACAGCCAGCCCAAGTTCAGTTGCTCGTTCACGGTCGCTTCTACTCTCGTTGGGGATGCATATGAAGCAAAAATATTCGGCGTACCCCTTCGTAGAGGAGTGAGGGGGGTTCTTCTTCACCCAAAAGCAGATCAAACCCCTCCTGCTTCGGCCCTATCCTATCGAAAGCGGTTTCCTTGGGTGGGTTGAAGCAGGCTGCTAGACACACACCTGTGATGGAACATGCAGCGATGCCAATGCAGAAACATGTGCGAGCCGAGGAAGGTCCCACAAAGGCTTCAAGATTGTTTGATTTTAACAGCTCTGATCGTGCCGAGTGGCTGGTTTGATCGTCGGCCCAGGTCCATGCTGTGGAAGAACTTGCAAGTTTAGTTTCGCCTTTGCCTGGATTGGAAACGTAGCGAGAATGACCATTGGAAAGTGGAAGGCAGTTGGGTTGATTAGTGGCAGCTTTGTGTCCAGAATCAGCGCATTGAGAGTGAATCAAAGTAAACATTGCATTTTCACGGCATTCCGAGGCACGTATCATGGATGCATCGCCATCGCTCACGATCGCGTCTACATCAGTACTGAAGACAAGCCGGTTCTGATCGGAAGCAAGGCCCATAAGTGTCTAAGGGTTACTAAGGGTCGTGTTGCAGCTATGTACGCACGAAGGTCCGGAGCCCTTCGCAATCCTAGCCAGGCTTTGGCCCGAACTCGATCCAAAACCTCCCAACCTCCAGGACGACCCTGTGCCAGAGGGCATCCGCGCCTACGCCGGCTTTGACGGCCTTCTAGACCAGGATGCCACGCAGGAGGCCTGGGAGATCAGGAGTAGAAGTAGAGTGTAGGACGTACCGGTAGTGTGGTAGTCACGTCTCGCCACAGGCTCCCCATGCTAGCCACACGCGGATTCAAGCAGCAAGTGGGGCTGTTTTTTGAGGCTTTGCCCGTCAGCATTTCATGGACGTGTGCTTCCAGCTTTGGAATGCCTGCTTACCCGACGCTAAGAGAAGACACTACAACAACAGTGAACCGAGTGCCTCCGTTACGGACCAATGTCTTGTCATTCTGTGCCCTCTGTCGCCCATGTGCTTCAGGATGTTTTCCAGGCTGCTGGAAAGGAAGCTGTGGACGGAGTTCTGCTTCTTGGTGGCATTGGGAAGCCCCCAGCAGTGTCCACGAAATGTCGTACTGCCGCCCTGGAACAACCGCTTGAACGAAGCTGCATGAATGGCATGGGAAATGCAGTGGTTCAGAGATCGATAAGCTTATACTGCCTTTCAGCGAGCCCGGGGACTGTAGACTCAAAGACTCGCACTGGGCTGCATATCTACCCTCAGTTCGGAAGGCTGTAGCCCGGGCTGGCCCAGGTTTGGCCTCAACGCGGCCATCATGGCATACGGCCAGACCTCTACAGGGAAGACGCATACCATGGTTGGCGAGCCTTGATGACATCAGGATGATGATGAAGACTGTGAAGATGACGGTGGGGTGGTGGTGGTGACAAGCGATGACGCTGGGAATGATGCTGATGATGGACGTCCAAATGCTTTCGCGACATCTGATGTCTAGTTGGTCTCGTGGTTGATCGGATATCACGTCGATATCATTAAATATCCCACCCGGAAGCACAAAGCCACAGAACAGTTCATTGCAGCCTTCACTTCCGGAAACGAAAGCCATCTTATCACTGTCTCTCGGAAAGTTAGACTCTGGCCTGGCAGCCCAGCTCGCTCTGTTCACGTAATGTTAACGGATGTGCTTGCAAAAGCGATTCCGGAAGAAGGGATTCGGCTTGGTCTGAAATTTACAAAGGGCCGCCAGATGCTTCTACCAAGCCTTGAAAGTTAGAGAAAGCCCGATGCAGAGTCAAGTTCTGGTCAGGTTGCCAGGTTCTTGTCCCAGACCGATGGAACGTTTAGAGTTGGCAAGGTGCCAGATGTAGAAGGAACTGAGTGTGCAGCTTGCTAGTTTGTGAGCGCACCATGTAGGACGAAGTTTTTGGCCATGTGCACTATCAGCACGCAAAGGGTCACATGCAAGCTCTGGAGAGTGGCATCGTTTTTTGCACGCAAAGTTGTCCAGCATTCAGGAACAGTCTTGCTCCAGCAATCGGAAGAAACCCGACTGCTGCTGCTGTGCCTAGACAAAAGAAACATGTCATCATTGCGTGGTTCTGATTTCAAGCACGCACGTCGTGTTTCAGAAGCCCGCACGTGTTTCAGAAGCCCTCGACCACCCTTGCTCTGACAGTCTCGTTGCTTTTGAGTGTTGTTGATAGGACGCGTGGAGATCATGTTGTCTTACGCATCCATTCATCTTGCGAAAACGATCTGGTGCATCACAGCTTCAACAGTTTGACGACCTCTACCTCAATGCTTCAGTTTTCTTCAACAAAGTTACTGTTCCTCAGCTGTTGCTGCATGCGCGTTCTCTAAAGCACAAGCATGCACACGCCCGCCAGTGCTTCGGAGGCTCCGCATGCTTCCCGATGTGCCTTTTGTGTCCGCGCGCTTAAGCTCAGGATCGAAATCGACCAGGCCTTTGTCTTAAGGCTCTTTGGGAGGAACATGCTTGTGGTAGGTTTTGTGCTTCGACCCTTCTTGTGGGTTATGTACTTGATGGATTCTTCTTGCGGTTGGTCTGGGGTATCCCGTGCTGAGCTCAACCTCGGCAAGGCCGTGCATGCCATCCCGCCCAAACTGTTCGAGGGTTTTACGGCTCAGGGTGTGGGGCATGCCCCCTGAAGTTCCTGTGCGTGCTGGAGGCAGCTGGACATCTCTTTTCCGAGGCTGCCCTGTCTGGATCGCAGATCGAGGCCCGATGTCCGTAAAGCTAAGTACTGTACGTTTGCAATTTAGGTCATTTAGGTTGCATTGCTTGCATATCTCTTGATGCTTTCGGGGTCGGCAAGTCATGAAGAAGGACCCAGGTTCACTCGAAGCAAGCCCTTTTAGCAAGCCTCGGGAATGTGCGCAGGGCACATTGCGTGAGCCCCAGGTTCAGGCATCGTTCCTGCAGCTCTACCTGAACCACATTACTGACCTCCTGGCGTCGCGGTCGGGAGTAAAGTTCTGCATGTGGAGGAAAAATAGGGGTGTTTCTCTTTTGTCTATCGAAGGCTTGTCGAGTCAGTGTCAGAGAGGGTTCATTGGCCCAGAGCGTATTGGCCTAGAGCTGACCTTGGAATAAAACTCTCCGAGTGAGGCTCTACTTGGCTCAGGTGCCTGATGGCCATGAGCGGTCACTGAAGCTGAGGGAGGTGGTGGGTGAGGAGGGGACTGACACGAAAGTGGAAGGTCTTTCGGAAAGGCCCCTGGGCAGGGTTCGGGGCAAAAAAAGAAGGTTTTTGATTTAGGAAGTTTAGGGGAACCAAACTCCGCCAACCCTCCAACTAAACTCGCAGTGTAAGTCAAGAACTCTTGAGGTCCTAAAGCCGTCCAGCCTTCTGCAGCCATTTTGCTATCGCATGCAAGTGCTGTTTCGGCATCGGGATGAACGTGGGCAGGAAGACTCATGAATCGACACCCCTAAGTGTGAAGTGCTCCCCTGTCACCAGATTGGTGCAGTCGATGGACGATGTGGCCGCAGTCCTGGAGGTGTCCACGGATCTCGAATGGTCCTACATCCTCCCTAAAGCTTCTTCAGACTAGCTTTTCGCCGGCTGTGAAGAATTCTGCCTAGCCAGCCCATCTCGAAAGCAAAAACATGTGTAGTTTCTCCGTCCAGAGGAGGGCAACCGCCGGCGGCAGCAGGCCTGCACGGCTCTGAATGCCAGTTCCAGCCGCTCCCATGCGGTGCTGACCCTTGGCGACAGCCCTTGAGTGTTTTTGGACCTGCCCACAAGTTACAAGCCGCCACGCACCATTAGGCTCTTGCTCTTCCTTCCTGGTTCTTGGAGCCCTCGACCCTACATGTGCGCCACAGACGCCGAATGGACAGCTTGCAGGCGGCAATTAGGCTTTGCATCCCAGGATCCTGAATGTCACCCTCTGGACGGGGAGATGCGAGAGATCCGAGGAGGAAGAGGAGGTGCCCTTGGAGAGTCCAAGGGCTCAGAGGGTTCTCTGCAGGAGTAGGAGTTGAAGCAGGCTGCAGGGCATTTCGTGCGCCTTGTAGTTGTTCAGGGTTCGTCGTCCTCAGGCTTGTAGTTGGTGTCTACAATTCTTGCGTCCGAAGAGCTTAAGGGTCTGAGACATCTGGGAGTTAGGGGCTTCGCATCTTTAGTCTCTGGGGCCCCCGAGAAGGCCAAAAGCCTAGATGCGCCATCAGGTCTGAACAATCCGAACTGGCCCAGGAGCCAAAGAAACTTCGAAGCCCTGACCAAATTTGCAGCCCTCAACCCCAAAACCCACGACTCATCCAGGGTGGGGAGGCCGAGGCCACCCAGGCGAAGCTCCTCGGTGCTTTCCAGGAGCAGGGCTTCGGGTTTCCTTCCGGTCTCGAATTCTTAGAGGGAACCGGCCCCTTTGGAGTTTCCACTCATATGCCTCATATGCCTCGGCATCGCACCCCGAGGCTGTACCTTGTGGATCTGGCAGGCAGCGAGCGCGTGAAAGACTCGTGTGCCGCTGGGATCGCTCAAGGACACAGACTCAAGATGGAAGTCTGACTCCCTAAACTCCACACCTTCGCGGTCTTGGCGGGTAGTCTAAGCACTTGCCATCTGTCAGAGCTGCAGTTAATGATCCGGAGGTTTGTGTTCCTTCTGTTCAGCATTGGGTTTCGGGCGCGGCCTTTGTCGGAATAGAAAGAGCTTGGAATTTCGCAGCCCTACGACTCTAACTGAAACCCTCGTACTGGCAAGGCGACGGGCGATCGCTTCACCGAGGCAGTGCACATTAACAAGTCACTGTTCGCCCTACAGGGGGCGCCTGGGGTCTGCAGATATCAGTAATGAAATTTCTTTGGGAAGCAGGTGGGTTGCATGTTTTGCGGTTTTGGTTTCGCACGAACACCCACCCGGCAACGCCGACCCGTAAGCCATGCTGCAAATCAAGGCTCCGTTTTTCAGATGCTTCCCAGGTGGTTGCTGCCCTGGCTGACGGCAAGCCACACATCCCTTTCCGGAACGACCCACTTACACAGCTGCCCAGCGGCATTGGCTGCATGAAGCATTTCGTGCCGGGTGGGACTTGCCGGCATTCGATATTTGTTTGCTGACGTGGTATGTACTTCGTTATCATGTGAAGTGCTTGTGTGCTCTCTCGGCTGCGGGATTGAGTTCGGGCGAAGTGCAACTCGCACGCGATTTTGGTAGAGCTTCTCTAGCAGAGTATGGCTAGCAGTATGACTCTGCCAACTCTTAGTCTGTAAAGTAAAGTCCTCTGAAATGGGGTAAGACAGGCACCGCAGTGGGACCTTAGCCGGAACGGAGCGGAACGGCGGAACGAACTCGGGAACAGAACTTAACGGAACGTACCACCCCGCGCGAACTTTCCCCGATTTGTCCTTGAGACTCTTATTTTTTGCTGCCTGCTGGGTTGCACAGCTGGGTTCATCTTACTTCATCCGTGAACCCGAGGTTGCTGCGACCAGCATTGGGTGGGACTCGCTGCCACGAGTTCAGCTGATCGTCTTAGGCGGTATGTGGCGGTATCGTTCTGACAACACCCAACTTTTTCGCGCTCTTACGAACGCAGTCCTCTTCGTGCACAGCGTCCTTTTTGTGCAGCATGTGACCAGACTAGTGACCAGACCAGACCAAGAGTGGTTCTTTGTCTAGCCATCCAAAGCGGAAGCCTGTTCAAAGGAACTGCTGCACCACGCTGGTGGCCACGGTTTCTCCAGCCCAGAAGCTTCGGGGCAGCTTTTAGACTTGATGCTGAGACGAACACACAGCATACAGGTTTACGAAGATGTTGGAGCTGGGGACGAGCATCGAGAGGGTGTCGTAAGAACTGCAGGTTGCCGAAACGTACCTGTAGTTGCGGTTCACTGTGCCGACGGTGTCACCCTCCACACAATGTATGCCATTCAGATACGTGTGGAAGCGTGGGTCAGCCATGGTCAGACAGGCATTCGCGCGAGTCGGAGGGCACCCTGAACTTCGCATCCAGCTGCCGTCGGATCAGGGGTGAGGCTGGCTGTTATCACGTTGCCCGCCTACTACTCATTTAGGAACATCCGGCCATGCACAGATCACAAACGTTGAGCTTTGCACTCGTCCAACATGCAGTCACGCCGGCCTCATGCATACCGACGGCCGAATCCTGAAGTCATCCTCTGTCCAAAGCCATCGCAAGCCAGCAAGACCCTAGGATGTGAGACTGCGCACCCTTGTCAGGTCTTCGTGCGCCTTGGGATTGTTCAATCAAGACTTGTCGTTGGAGTGTAGCAAAGGGACAGCACCTGAAGTTGTGTCCTTCACACAAAGCTACCTAGCTACGCGGGAGGCAAAAATGTTATCAATGCAGCATGCCTGTTGCACGCCCGAACCCAAACCCCAAGGTCACTGCCGGTGGCACAAAAAGGTCACTGCGAAGCGAAGCCTCCCCGGAGCAGCCGAGGAATTCCGTCAAACGCCCGAGACCTTGGGAGTCGGCGCCCAAGGCCAAGGACCCTTTGTGAGAAGGATGGGGATGTATTGTTCCTGAGGCTCCTTAAAACTTAGACATCCTGCAGGAGGAGGCGGAGGAGGTGCCAGAGTGTCCCTGGGCCTCCTTAGCCACGCTGGATGCTGCTTGGGTGCTGTTGGAGGGCACCAAGAGCCATCGAGGATGTGATGACGTGTTGTTTTTATTTTTGTTTTTGGTGCTGTTGTTCACACTTTGTGCGTTTATGGTGGCATGCTGGGCTTTGGGAGCATTAGAGCGTGGTTGTTGGCTTTCGGGCTGTGGTGCTTGGGCTTCATGGCTTTCTCGACGCAGCAAGTTTTTTGGATTTCGGAAGTTACGGATTATGCTTTTGTTTTGGAGTTTGGAGGTTTGTGGCCTACCTGTCTTTGAGCATGGGAGGGTGGGAGCTAGGGCATTGAGTTGATGAAGTCAGCATGCTGCTTCAGTGAACTGCAATACTACTGCAATCAAGTGAAGGCCCTGCCACAAGACCCTAAAAAATCACAACAGCAAGTCCGAAGACTGCGCTTCCGAGGCAGCCTCCATGACAGAGTCGACGTTGCTGGATACGCCAGCAGGCCGAACGCGGTTTGCTGAAAGTTTGCTGTCTTGCCGTGCAATCGAGAAACTCTGTTACTGAGGCTCAGGCCTTTCTGGTAACCAGGCTCATGCACTGAGTAAGTCCCGCATGCGTTGATTGTATTGGGAGCATTTCCGACATGGTTTCGTGTTTTCTGCCAAAGCTCCCTTGGGAGATGGTGTTTCGCCGCAGCAATCGGGGCCCCCTTGGCCTTTACAGGTTAATGCAGCTGAGACGACTCGGGCAGTCATTCCAATACATCCGGGATGAAGGGGTGTGTAGCTAGGCGCTCTGACAGAAGCTACTACGTCCCAAAGTCTTGTGATGGGTTGTGTATGTCGGTCGAGACACAAGTGTTAGGGAATGGCTGCAGCAAGGCTTTTGAGTAGACACCTGGCCACCGAACGCAAGCTCCGAAGCGCCCCACAGGCCAAATCCACGTGCTTACCTGCGGCCCTGCTGATGGTGAGGCCGGGTGCTATGCGCCGGCGCGTTGTATTTAAAACTCGGGCCTACATTCACAGTACCCATCTCGTTGGGTCGTTGGGTGAGGTTCTACAATCCTTTATGGTGATGACTTGTGTGAAACACCGGGGCTGTCGGGGAATTAAGTTGCCTTGTGATGTCGATGCGTGAAACGCACGCTGCAGCGTCGAAGGCAGATTGCGTTGCAGGCAGTGCTGCTCTTGCACGGCTGCCCTTCAGATGCAACCACCTGGAAGTGCCTCGGCTTGCGGTGTGAGGAGACGGGCAAGGGCGAGATTCGCTTCCAGCGGACCACAGAGAGTCAATGGTTCATCGGATGTTGAAAGAAAAGTGACGCTGCATACCTTGAGCAGCCTCGTCAAGAAGCGGGGTTGCTTTGTTGATTGGGCCAGCCCAGCTTAGGTGGCTTTTCCCAGCCTTGATCTACAACAAGTACCGCGCCATCGCCACGAGCTCAGCTCTACACTCGAATCTAGACTGTAAGCCCCGAAAAGGCCCGCACCTAACTCGCACTAGAATGCACTGTGGGGCTGTGTGGACCTTTGCCCGAGGCCATCGACATGCCTGGTTGCGGCAGCTCCCCTGGCACAAAGCTCAGCAGCCGCTCAGAGTTCAACGCGGCCAAGGCTCCAAGAGCTTCGAAGCACGTTGAGACCCCCGCCGGCCATACCCGTCTGAGCCACCTTAACTTATCGAAAATTGACCGGCAGTCCAGAAGCCCGAGAACGAACCAGAGTTTGGAGCCTGCGAACTTGGAGGACCTCTCCAAACCAGCCTACCAATAGCCCAAAGTTCCTTCAAGCACTCACCATAGGGCGGTCCACTGGACATCGCCTGTGCCGTATTGGATGCCCTGGGCATCGCCAAAGCTGCTGTGGTCGGCTATGTGGCGCGGCTGCTTTTTGGGTTTGTGATGGTTTGTGGGCGTTGGGCTTGGATGTCTTGGGCAGTCCACATAATTCTTACCACGAAGCTGTTGTGAGTGGTGGAAAACTAACCCTGTTCTCTTTGTCTAGCAAGACGACCCAGAGGACTGGGGAGCGGGCATTGTGCTGTCCATGGGCCTGAAAAAAAAGCGCCCCGGCTCCACAGCGTTGAAGAGGGCTCGACTTGGGGTGGATGAAAATTCATGAAAATTCCGAGCAAAGGATATGAAAGCCAGCGGCCTTGGCTTTGGGCTCTGGGGTCTTGTTCCGGTGTGGTCTTTAGGGATCTTGAATTGCGGGGCTAGTTGGGGCTTCATTTTCGAGGGCTCGCGGAAGTGAACGGGTCGGAGGGTTTCCGGACGTTTCCAGGTTGTCCGGGCGGGCCGACGCCTTGAAACCAAGGAGTCGGGTCAGCAAGCTGATCTCGTTCCATCCGTCCTACACGCCTCCGAAGGGCAACTCGCCTGGGAGCATTTAGAGTTGAGTGTAAGGGAATGGCATAGGGTGCTGCAGCCTTCCCGAATCGCAGAGGGACGCCACCGCCAACTGTCGCAACCGCCCAGTATCTAGTGGCAGAGGATTGAAGCTTTGCAGTTGGAAGGTGAGAACCTCAGTGCCATGTCAGTTCCGGTTCTCGTCCTTTGGGTGAAGGCAAGGAGTTCTTGGTCCAAACAGTGGGTGGAGGGTTGGGGAGAGCTCAGTTTCTTGGGCGGAAAGAATGGGGGCTTTAGGTTGTCATCGTGAAGCCTAATGACTGATGGGGCATCGGAAGAACTACCGCTGCTTTTTGGTACGCTAAAATCATGCATTCGTTGGAAGGGGAGGTGGGGGGCGGGGGAGCGAGCTTGAGGGTATCATACGCGAAGAATAAGAATAAGACCGGTGGGCAGGAGGACCAGTTCCACAACCTCACCAAGTGGCGGAAGAACTTTGAGGCACGGGGCAGCTTCTGGGCTTGCGGTATTGTGCTTCCTTTCGAATGTAAGAACTCAAAAAAATTCTGCAGCGTGGTGTGGCGATGAACTTTCTGAATCGCGGGGATTATATATACTGCCAGTATGCATGGTGACATGGTGCAAGCTTCACCTAGCCAACGTGCAGACATGAAACAAGTTACCCGAGCTTGATTGAAATCGGCAAGATTTCTGCGTGATATTTCCGCCCATGTCGTGGGCAAGTCTGTGAGGGCTGCAGGCTTGGTCCACGGAATTGTTCGGAGTTTAGGCCTTCCACCACCAAAGCCCGACGCAGTGCAACAAGGAGTTTGTGGAGTCCAACTCTTAGAGGGTGTTTGGTTCGGCATTGGATCTACGCTATCTCATGGGTGGGACGGGGCCAGAGGCTTTCCATTATTCTGGAAAATTTCGATATTGTATGGCCGTGGGTCTGGATTGTGGCCTCGCAGGGGGTGGCAGATCAGGGGCAAATGGTTTTGTTAAGCGAAGTAGCATGCAACCGGCTGTTGCTGCAGACGCCAACCCCAAATACGCCAAAGCTCACTTGATGAACGAATTGACTGCTTTGTGCCCTTTGCTGCTGCAGAGAGTGTAGACTTTGACTTTGCAGTTTGGCCGTAAGACTTCACGCACCTTCAATGGAAATTCCTCTTCCGGGGAGGGACCCCAACGGTGTCCTCATTGAGCTAGAAAAGCGACTCAGTCGTGTTGTGAATTCAATCTCCAGGCGCTGCCGGCCGGAAAGCGAGAGCTCGAGGCAGGAGCCCAGAAACTTCCAATTCCCCGAACCACCGGGCAACAAGAGAAACACGAACTCTAGGCCACGAACCGCTTGCCGCACGGCTTCAGCTGGGCAGGTGGCACGACACGCCTCTATACGCACAATCCAAGTTTGCTCTGGACACACCCCTGAGCCTCGCTCCCTCACAAAGATCCGAGCTAGGGCAGCTAGGGTTGCACATTTGGGCAAGAAGGTTCATGTCATGGGCTTTAGAGTTGAACCTGTGCCTATCGGTTCTCAGCCATGGGCCAAAGCTCTTTGATGCCCTGAGGTGTACACTTTGGGATCTCGGTGGAAGCCCGGGATGTCGCTAGGTGCCCTCCTGTGCAGGGGTTGTAGGGGCATTGTATGGCATTGGAAGTTCCCGGGCCTCGGATGATTTTGCAAGCCTCACTTTGGACTTGTGTGAGTTCCATGATGGGAGGTTGCTGGAAGTGCCGTAAGAGAGGGCCCCTGAATCTCAGTCGGCGCTGGCAAACTGTTTGTAAGTGAGGAGGGTAGCTGCCACGGCTTGGCTGTGCTTGTTCGGACAAAAACGGATTTTGTGGTGAGCCCCGGGTTGCCATAGCCACAGTCCCTGCTTGACCGAGCAGCCCTCGCGGCAGAGGAAGGTTCATGTTTATGGACTTTTCAGGAATGTTCTAGTCTTGGGATTTTCAGATGGGTTCAGTGTCTTTGTCCAGGTGGCGACAAGCAGCTGGGACCCCAACTGCAGCGTCGAATCGTGTCTTTCCTGGCCGGCGAGGCCTCGCAACAGCTGAGTGTTGGAGTGATACCTTATGGACTTATGGCTGCTGCGCCATGTGCTTGTTGTCCTGGCAAGTTGAGGACTTTCGGGCTAAGTGGCTTTGGTCGGGAAGTGGGATGTGGTATAGCATCTAGTGATGGGGGCACTCTGTATAAATGCCTAAAACCCACAAACGCGCTTCTTGCATTCCTGACAAAAACTACTTCTGCCAAGGAGTTTTCGAAGTAGTTGCTGCAAGGGAGGTTGGAACGTAGGGCTTCTTGTGGCAAAGGGTTTCCGGCTTTGGGGCTTCAAAGGGTTTAGTTTGAGTTTGGATAGGTGGTAAAGTGTGTAGCACCTCAGAGGGACTTTGGGCTTCGGAGTTGCCCTTGCGCGAAGGCCCCGGATGAAGCCGTCGGTGTCGGCTTAGAGAAACGCCTCGAGGCCAAAGGTGCGACCACGGCTGGTGCCTGGGACCTCAAGGTGTTGAGTTTCCCCTTTCCGCAGCGATTTGTCGGTCTCCAGGGGTGTCCTTAGCCTGCAAGGCGTTTGGGTATGTTCATGTTGGGAAGCTAAGCAACAACTCCATCTAGAACGTGAAAGCTACGGGGTTTGCATGGCTTGAACCCTGAGGCAAAAAACCTCCAAACACATTCATATCATTTCGGAATATTCCATTTCTGCAGAAATCCAACATGTCGACAGGAACTTCTGCAAGTTTGTGGTGTGAATCTCCTACTCATCCATTTGCAGACCCTATCATTTGCATGATATGCAAAGTTGACGCAGTGGGATGTTCCATGAGGACTCCCCATACAAAGTGTCACGTGAAGTTAGTACTCCAAACGAACCCGCCCCCCCTTGCACCTGTGTGGGAATAGCAGGAATGCAAGCGTCCTGATGCCCCTGCTGATGCCCGCAAAATTATGGGGGTTCCCGTTTGAACAGAAGGTGCGGCTCCTGTGCTTGTGGAAAGCAAGCGAGCGTACTGCTTAAAAAAGAGGTTGCAAAGTACATCTCCTTGCCGTTTTGCATCCCGCCCTGCGTCCCGTTTCGTGGGGATCCCGTATGCTACCCATAACTTGTGAGGCTTTCTGGTGTCTGGGCTTTGGCGACGTTTCAACCCAGACCTTGCTGTCACTGCCAGGGAAGCTGGTGGTGCACGCCCAGAATGTTGTGGTCGCGGATGCTCTCGACAATGCTGGGGAGGTGGCGGCTGCAATCGCTTGTTTAGGCTGGCTCGGTTGACAAAAAAGGTCCTGGTCAACTTAGCTCAGCTCATTGTAACCCATTGTTGCTGTTACATGCTCTGACTGTGGACGAAACCCGACGCAGTGCAGGTGGCCAGGGCTCTGCGTGAAGTGGAGGCCTTTGTCGCGCTTGTGTTGGGTTGGGGGGGGGGGGGGGGGGGGGGGGATTCCGGGCTCGGCTTGGAGTTGGGGAGATGCTGAATCTCAAATGTCAGGTGAGGGGCCTGGGAGCCTGGGATGTGACATTTTCGTGTGCACCTTTACGCATGAGCCAGCTTCTCCAGCAAACACTCAGGGAGACAGGAAGCGCTCCGAACATGAAGTCATGTCACCTGGAGCAAGGACCCCCGCAAGCTGGCCATCTCTGAGTTCCGACAGTTGTGGAGACCTGGCACAGGGATGGGGGATCTTCGATAACTATGGCACGGGGTTGTCAGTTTAACATGGAGGCTTGGGTTCAATGGACACCCAGTTGGCCTGGTTGGCTTGTTTGGGAATGTTCTTGGCCCTAAGCCGAATGGATCGAAATAAGGGCTGTTTTTGTGTGGTTTTGGGACATTGAGTGGACTTGTTGTTGCTGAGTGGACTTGGTGGGCTTTGTGTTGATTTGGCCGGCGGCAATTTTGAGGGGGGGGATAAGAGGGGTGGGTTCTGCAGGTGTTTTGGGTCAAGATGCCTCCAAGGTCCATTAGAAGTTTCGCTTCCGCATGGTCGTGTGCAGGGTTAGAGCTTAGAATGCGAGAACTCGTCCGAAAAAAGGTAGAATTAATCAGCTGCTGTCACAGTCAGTGGAGAGAAACTCTGTGCGCCCTTGCTTTCGTCACATCGGGAAGTACATGGTGACTTGCACAGTGTGCAAGCAGCGGCACGAAGCTCAAAGAGAGCATGCGCTAGCTCCTGCACGCGCCCTTGCCCCAAGCCAACAAGGCTGCAGGTCTTCCTGCGAGCATGTTGAGAACGCAGTCCTGCTTGCACTTCTGTCATGATTTGAGGCCGTGCCGGGGGTGGGGGTGGGGTTTTGCTTCGCACTGGAGATAACAGATACGGAAACCCAGGACGACAGGCAAGCTGCCAGCGCTCTACTCAGAGCGCCTCGCTGGCTCATCCGCCTCCTCCGCCAGCCTCTTCGGAGCGCTGCCGGACATGAGCCCGGAGGCCTATGCCAGAGCATTTGGTCCTTACACACTCTTAGGTTTTGTTCTTGCGTGCGCCTTGTGTTCTCGTCGTTTGTTTTCGCATTTGGTACAACATTGTACGACCTTGCGCATGGCACCGCGCAGGCCGGGCTGGCAAGCCCTCTAGTTCATACTTACGGCAAACCCACCCGCGCTCATGCTGCAAGACTTCGCCGATGACTGGTTCGAACAAGTTTGGGAGACTCACGGCTTTCGTGTAGCAGAAGCACAGTTCCAGTCCATTCTTTATGGTAGAACCCCAGCTTCTGTCTGGGCTGTTGTGCCAGCCAGCGCCTGCCGAAACAAAAGCAAACATCAGTCATCAGCCACCAGACCCCCCCAAAGTGCAAACACTTGCAGTGACCAACTCCTTGATGGAAGAGAAAAAGAACCGAAACCTTTTCGGAGGCGCTCAGCGACCCAAGTGCGTTGGTGGAGGCTCAGCAAGCGCCCGTTGAGGGTACTGAGGGTATAGGGCTTCGGAAGTGGCCAACCGAGCCCGCGGTCTTTCGGGCAATGTCCGTATCCAGATCTCTCACCGTCTCCTTGCAGAAAATGCAGTTCGGGAGTAGCCCCGCCTCCCCGCCCCCAAAGCCGGAGCTTGAAACGAGGCTGGACTTTGGACATCTGCCCCTCAGGGTTGGGAGCAGATGCACAGCAAGCCCCGGTAGCCTGGCTAAACCAGTTGCCCTTGTCGTGGTGGGTGTTTAAGTTTATTCTTTGTTGCCTGTTTGCGTGGGCACCCGCCCGGACACCAATCCGTGCAGTAACTGTCTGAGCAATTCGCCCCACGAAAAAGACATGTGCGCTGCAGTGCTGTTTAACGGTACCCCCCGGGCTTTCTTGCTGTGCGACAAGTCTTGTGGGTTTCTTGCAATTTGTGGTGCGGGGTGGGGGGGGGTGGCTGAGGGAGCTACTGGGGACCGAGCGACCGAGTTTGCCAAGGTATGCCGCAGGCCGGCGCGTGCTGGTGCGGGGTGCTGTCAAAACCAAGCCCTCAGATCCGGACTTCATGGCCTTGTCGGACCAGGGTTTGTTTTAGAGATAAGGTGGCCCGGCCCCATTAAGTGGTCTTGTGGTTTCGGATCCCGAGCTTGAGAGATGGTGCCGGGCCTTCGTCGCCTCGAGCTTTGGGCTTGGGGACCCACGACCCGCGGCAGCACGCCCTGAAACACCCAAGCCCATACTCAGGCCGATGAGCCCTGTTGCCTGAAGAATGAACCCCGGACTCACAGAAGCCCTGCAGAAGAAGCAGAGATGAGCTCCCAAAAGGTGCAATGGACACCTTCTGCCAGTAGTGATGTCATAGCGCCTAGCCTGGGTTGTCGGGTTGTCGAGTGGAAGGACAAAGGCTCCGACCGCACCACCTTCCGGGCGATCCTTAGGGGCAGAGCCAAGGGGAAGCCGGACGCCCGTGCCCACAGTCTTTTCGAGGGAAGTCAGGGAAGTTCGGGGAAGTTCGGTGCAGGGTGTCCAAGAGGGATGAAGGGGGGACTGGCCCGTTTGGAGGTTGCTCAGGTGTCATTGCTCATATGGCTCATGATCAGGGCGACTCAAGTAAACACCTATTGTGCAGGTGAGCAAAGGATGGCAAGGAGAGGTGCGCGCTAGACATCGCTAGACCAAAGGACACCCTGCTGGTTGATGTGGATGCCTCCGGCGGCGAGGCGCGTCAGCGTCTCGGATCTCACTACTGTATGACCTGTATGTGGGTCACCTGAGGCAAAAGGGTTTTGCAGAGCTTGTGCTGTTCCCTCTCAGGCACTAAGGTAGAGGGGCAAAGAAGCCTTCTGCAATTTCACAATGGCAGGCCATTCTTCGGACAAGCTCCCCACTTGTAGAACTTGTTTCTCACCATCAACGTCAGTCATGCCCCATGCCCCGTCAACCTGGCCAAAAACCCCTAAAGCGCCCCAAGCCCGTTCAGCCTCTTTCGAGCCGAGGCTGGAGGTGCCAAAGGCAGAGGTGCTCCGGTTTGGGTTGAAGGGGAATGTCGGAGTGAGGCTCTCAGTCGAAGTTTTGTTGGAGCGCCTGTGCATTGCGGCCTCATCCTGAACCATCGAATGCCATGAGACAACTGCAGACCTTGAGAGCGAACCCTGCAAGGTGCTACGCCTCAACCAGCCGCACCGCTTCGCCACGAGCGGCAAGCACCTGCTCTTGGAGGTAGGGGCGGGGAATGTTCGAGATCTGGGCCAATTGGGCTGTGTCTTCACTTACTACTATAAGGCCTGAGCCTACTTGCTAAGAAAGCGAAGCAACAGATAGAAGGTCCGTTCTTGACAGAAGGGATTCCTCAAGAGAAAGTATTCCTTCAAGACCCAACAGGGAGCCCATTCGAGAAACAGCCTCCCAAGCCGGCAAGTTATGTCTGCTCCCAAAACTGCCAGACATTGAAACTCGCACATCCTCGTCGTACACCTTGAGCCCCTGTTTGTCAAGCTGTGTCATGTCCAGGATGGCTTAAAGTGCGACTACTCATCCCCACTTATGCGGGCCAAGCTGTGTGAGATCGCCCTGGCGCTGGATCCCATCGTCCAGCTTCCTGGCTCCGTTGGGCGGTGCCAGTTCCCGCCGCAGCTTTTGGGATGTGTCTGAGGGGTTTGCCAAGGGCGCCTTTCCCCAAACACATTGTGCCTCGACCCGAAGCCTCTCAACGTCGCTCAGCGCTGCTCAGGCAGCTGGATTTCAACAACGCCGACGCTGGCCAGGCCTTGCAGCTGAAGGCGGTGGAGGTGATTCGGAAGTGCCTCGTGCCTCGACGCTGCAGATGAAGCTTCCATGTCAAAAAGCTTCAAGGTCACCTCGCCTGAGTCGAAAACGCGCAAGCCCTGAGTCAGAAACGCCCTGGACCCGAGTCGAAAACAGAGAGCACCCCTCCAGAGAAAAGACCGGACACATGTCTGCCAGATTAAAAGTTTGGGACCCGATATTCTCTAAGAGAAACCTTGGTCGGACGAGTGGGCCCTCGGGTGCGGGAATGTTATCCCGTCGATAGGACAGCCTGCGCAATGGAGCACCAGTTGGGGGTCCAAGTTGTCGGCTCGCCTAGCTACGGGCCTTCAGAATTGCAAGGACCCATACTTTGGACAGCAACTAGAGCCTTGATGCAGAGATCAAGGCCCTGATAAGAACTGCTGATCGGTTTCGGTTTCAGGGGTTTAGGCACAGGGGGTTTATCGGGCTTTCGGGTTCCAGGGTTTTGGTTCCGGCTCTCCCGACTCGACGGTCGCCCCAAGGACATCATCACGTTTCAGAAGGGCCTGGATCGGGGGCGCTCCTGTGCAAAGGAGGACGATGTGGCGCGCTCTTGCAAGCAAGTAGTCCAGGTTGGTGACAGGGAACTTGGGATTTGTTGTCCAGGTTTTCTGTCAAGTTGTGGATGCATGGTAGTGGTGTTCCAGTATGTTGAATCCGGAACCAGAAATTCGGTTAGCTGCCAGGTGCCTCCCCATCCCTCTCGAGGCAAGACAGAAGAAGAAGCGGAAGAAAAATACCAAGAAGAAGACGAAGAAGAAGACGAAGAAGAAGACGAAGAAGAAGACGAAGAAGAAGAATAAGAAGAATAAGAATAAGAAGAAGACGAAGAAGACGAAGAATAATAATGAGAAGAAGATGAAGAATAAGAAGAAGAAGAATAATAAGAAGAACAAGAATGAGAAGAATAAGAAGAATAAGAATAATAATAAGAAGAAGAAGGCAAATAAGGAGAAGCAGAAGAATAGGAAGCAGACGAAGAAGCGGGGGCGCACTGGGTGGGCGCTGCAGAGCGAAGGAAGAAAGGAAAGAAAGGAAAGAAAGGAAAGAAAGGAAAGAACGGAAAGAAAGGAAAGAAAGGAAAGAAAGGAAAGAAAGGAAAGAAAGGAAAGAAAGGAAAGAAAGGAAAGAAAGGAAAGAAAGGAAAGAAAGGTAAGAAAGGAAAGAAAGGAAAGAAAGGAAAGAAAGGAAAGAAAGGAAAGAAAGGAAAGAAAGGAAAGACAGGAAAGAAAGGAAAGAAAGGAAAGAAAGGAAAGAAAGGAAAGAAAGGAAAGAAAGGAAAGAAAGGAAAGAAAGGAAAGAAAGGAAAGAAAGGAAAGAAAGGAAAGAAAGGAAAGAAAGGAAAGAAAGGAAAGAAAGGAAAGGAAGGAAAGGAAGCAAAGCAAGGAGAGAAGACTCAGAAAGGAAAGAACGCATAGAAAGCATAGAAAAAAAGGGAGAGCATAAGAAAGAAAGGAATAAGCGATGGTGTGGTCGAAGGTTCCAAGTGTGGGCCCTTGATTGAGTCCCTTGTTTTTGACCCTTGTCTACACTATGCATAATAAGTGATAAGGGCCCATACTTCGGATCCTTATAAACCAGGTTAAGGGACCATACTAAGGGCCCATGGTGACGACCTTAAATGTGAGGGAGTGAGCACGCGACAGAGAGACAGGTTGGGTTGCAGTATGCCCCCACTGATTCGGAGATCCTGCGTTCTTTGTAGCTAATCACTTCCCTGTACTCAAGATGAAGAACTGGCATCCTCCACCCGGCAATCACGAAAGCTAGCTTCTTGGAGCTCGCGAGAGTTGTCGTTTACAAGTCTTCTCTCTAGTGTGCAGCTGGGTCAACAAGCGACCCCGACCCTTAAGTGGTATGAAAATCAAAGAGATAAACGGCTGCGGAGGGGGGGGGGGTTGCCCCCCCCCCCCCCCCCCTTTTAGGGTCGCCTGAATTGATTTCTGCCCTCCCCCCCCCCCCCCCCCTCCCCCCCCCTCCCCCCCCCCTTTTCAGGCCCCCCCCCCTCTTGGTCAGGCTCAGCCGCGTTTCTAGCTTTCGTAGCCCAGATCTCAAGTTGGTTTTCGGGTGCATTCTTTCAATGTGTCCAGGGGATTGGGTCTTTCACTGTCGGGCCCGCAAGTGAAGTCAACTTTATAGTATATAGTCTGGCCTTACGCGCCCCTGCAGAAATGTCGAAATGTCGATGGGTAGGGATGGCTGGCTTAAGTATTCATACGGGTTTCCCTTGGTTTCCCCCCCGACAAAGGAAGATGGCTTGCCATGGCCAGGGACATTGTCACACGGTCTCGTCAACCATGGCGGGGTTCCTGTCACTCGGAAAACCTAGCAGGACCAGCCGCACCAAGGTAGACCTAGCGACACTGGCTCCGCAGGGTTTCAGGTGAAAGAAGGCATATTCGGCATGAACGAAGGCGCCTGAAGCTATGTGAGTTTTCAGCGAATAGCAACCTCAAGCCTGGACGCTAAGGCCCTGCCAAAGTACCCAAGCATCCTGGTATATCCTGGTCATGACCCTGCTTTGCGAAAGTGTGTACACTAAAAGGTCCTTTTGCCCTCCCATGCACACGGAATGATGTGCTGATTGACATCGAGATCCCATCTCTCTTATTACTTGCCCACGGCCATTACCCGAATGTGTCTAAAGGAGGAACGAATACGCAGCACATCCAACCATCAACATGCCTTTGGGAAGACACCACGTTATCTGCAGATTTCTTTCTTGCCCAGGTATCCTTTCTGCAACGCCCTTGGCATCGACCTGAAGTACAGGGGTGGTTACTCCTGGGGCGGCGTCAACCTCGGCGAGAAGGTTCGGAAATCGAAGTCCTCAGCGCGGTGACAGATGTTTCGTCTTAATTTTGCAGGCCTGGTGGCTGGAGTTCAGCTTTTGAAATGCCAGCAGCCCCAAAGACAGACAGACTTTGTAGGTTTGCGCAGAAAGCAGCCCCTGTGAATATGAGGCACCCAAAGGGGTTAGCAACTCGACAGCTGTGGTTTGCGAGAAGGCAGTTTTCCTGGTTTGCCTGCTTTTCCTGTGCCATTGAAGCGCCTCTGCTCAGCTCCAAGACTCCTGAGACCCCTTTGAGGCTCTGCAAGAGACTTTTTTCTGAGAGAACATGCACAGGCCGATGAGTCGGTGGAGGTGGCCGACAAGCCCGCGGCCAGGGCAGCAATGGGTTCTTTGTGTGTCAAAAGTCGAAGGCGGGCAAGTGCTCTCTTCAAGCACCCTTCCGAAAGACTGCTCAACCAGTTTATTTGTCTGCTGCATAGGACCGCAAATCATATCTTCTGCAAAGCCAACACCGAACCTGAAAATGCCCATCAACATGCTCGAGCACTGATCTTGCAGTTTTCTTTCTTGGTGTCTGAACCGATGTGGGTTGTGTTCTGGTTGCGTTCTGGTAGGGTCAGGTCATGCACAAGCACATCATGCAGTCCGCGTTTCATGGTCCCAGCACTTCCAACTGAACTCTGCCGACCTGTGTCCAAGATTTGTGGGTGGCAAGAAGTAGCTTGAAGTCTAAACAGTCCACTGCATGTGGGAAGCATGCCCGCTTGATCCGTTTTGAGGAGGAATTGTTCGCTGTGGGTTCAGCAGCTACAGCAATCAAGCGTTGGGATCTTCCTTCTTGCTTGGCCACTCCAGCAAGAAACCCCGTCATCTCTCGCCCAGGAGCGGCACCAGTGGCTGGAGCTAACGCTTCGCCCCTCCTTGACGACCTTCATCTGTGACCTGTGCCCTGTGCTGAAACTTAGCACCAGTAAAGTGTGAGAGCCTGCGTGGTCGTCTTGCCACTGCAGTAGCACAAACACAAGCATATGCGACTATGCGACTGATGGTTTTTTGTCTTCTGGTAGGTGGGTGGCAGATGCTGTGGGGAGTGCTGCACTTCGGTGGCCCATGGAGGAGGCGATCGAGAAGATCTTCTGAAATCGTAAGTTCAGACCAATGCGTCTGCTCTGAGACAAGATTAGATTCGCATTTGCAGTTGCGCGGTCAGCTCAAAGCACGTCGGGGCCCCCCTCAAAACCCTAGTCTGCCGAAGCGCTTCTATCAGGTTCAGGTGCTAGTTCGAAGTTGTGCTGGGAACTGGTTCTTTAGAGGCTTGGGAACAGTAGAGTAGTAGAGCTTTAGCTTTGGAGCAGCTGAAGGACTGTAGGGTTGACCTCGGACTGGCCCTAGGCTTGGAGACAACTGTTGAGAGATAGAGGGAGAGATCTGCAAGGCAATACAGCATGGGCTACTTCAGTGATCCCAAGCTCGGACATGTGGAAGGCTATCGTAGTCATCGTAATGCAAATATCTTGAAGGTTGAGCAGCTAAGGGTAGCGAAATAGTCTGCAAGGCATACCGAGATCGGATCTACCCCAATGGGACCTTCAACATTGGCCAGGCCTCTGTCGGGGGTGTTTCTGGTGCGTTCTGCTTGGTCATGCTCGTGGATCGGGGTGAATCACTTCCTTGGACCTTTGATTCATCGGGTTAAGGTTCGGTTGAATGGGATCAGGGTGGGGCGGTCAAGTGTCAACAGCGTGCCTCTGAGCTACAAGGTTTATGGCTCGGCTTGGCTGTTGTTTCGAATTGTCACGGGCCCATCCGTCGGCAGCTACTGTAGGCCCCATGCTTGCGACCCCCACGCTTGATCTTTGAACCTCAAACCCTCATCCTCAGCCCCCAACCCCCAAAATCCTGAGTCCTAACCCTGACCCGGTGCTGTGGCTGCAGCAGTCAAACCTGAGCATGTCTGAGCTAGGCTGGTGGTAAGTGTTTCCACTGTTGCCCCGTACAGTGCAAGCCCGAAACCCAAAGCCCCGTGGAACGGGAAGGTGCAGGTCGAGGAGTTGGAGAGGGACTTTGACCTTGCAGAGTGAGGGAGGCAGTGTGGCGTTGTTGTTAGTACTCAACAATTCGATGCCCGCCAGCCTGCAACGTTGTTCCACAGGCAACACAAGTTCACAGAGCAGACTTTTCAAAGACGGCGTTTGCAAGTGTGAGTTGTTTTGGGGCTTGATCCGAGATCGGTGACTGCGGGCCTGGATTCGTGTAGCTTTGCTGCGCCAGCTGCATTCAAGATGTGTGAGCGCAGCAAGCTTGACAACCGAGTGACCTCGCAAATCGCGAGCTGCTGGAGGCCCTAATCAGGTGGTGTGGATAGATCGTCAGATAGCAGCTATCTGAGAGGCCCCAGCAAGCTCGCACACATCCTCGTGCCAGCCAGCCGAAAGCTAGGCAAGGCACGGTTTGTTGGCAACGACTGCCAACCGCCGACGGCACCTGGGTGTGCAAAGTGCTGTGCCGGGCTGACATAGCTGACATTGATTGAGCTTTGCAAGACACCTCATTTGCTTAATGAAAGCACAAGTAAACCCCAGGACTCCGAACCACAAGATGGTGCCCCCCCCCCCCCCCCCCCCCCGCATTCGGGCTCCAGCATGCAGATGAGGGTACGATAGTAGCTGCATCTTTAGAGAGTCGGTGCCTCTGCTTTCCCGAGAATCCTCCCAAGAATGATGCGCTTTGGCTGTGTTTGGAGAAATCGCCATTCCTGGCTGGCACGCTTGTTGAGGGTGTCGGCCTGGGCCGCTAAGGACCTTGCGCTACAGCCGAACCTTCATTGATGTCGATGAAGGGGCAGCCAAGAACCCTTCTTGCCGAGCGAGCAGTGTTCCTCCAACTCGTCACGCGGTGGGAGCTGAAGATGACGAGGAGGTGCACAAGGGCCCCCAAGCCCCTCCAAAACCCCTTGCTCCTGAACTCTGCGGGTGCGGGCCCAGATCTCACTGGCATGATGCGTCGATGCAATGCACCTGTCTGATCGAATCTCCTTCGGCAGGTCCGAAAAAATTTGGCCAGCGTTTATGAGCGCATGGCCGAGTGGAACCCAGATCTGGCTTCCCAGGCCAAGGCGCACCAATCGGTTTTGGTACCTTCCGAGTGGTTTCAGTGGAGCAGGTTCCTATTTTGCTCCGCGATTGGCCTGTTCTGCAGGTTCCTTGTGCTCTTGTTCCGCTGTTCTTAGAACCTGAGGGGACTGAGCTGTACTTGCTGGGTTCGGTAACTTCCAGATTGAATTGTCGGTTTTTTTCCCGGCAGTTTTTGATGGATCGGTTCGGGGCTTGAGGCTTCCTTTGTAGTTCATTCTGCTTCCTGGGCTGGACTAGACAACATGCAGATTCGCACAGATTCACTACCCATGGTCTATTTCAGAAAGTGCCTGTGCAACAGCAGGCAGGCTTGGGAAGAGGTAGTGTGGCTGGATAGCCGGATCTTGCCAAGGCCTTCTTGCTGCACTCATAGCATTCGCAGACATGCCGTGATCCCGATGTTCCTGATCTAGCATCTCGCATCGCTACAGATCGATCCTTCTACACGTCTCCGTGCCGTTTGCGCTGTAGAAAAGGGCGCATGTCTGATCCTCGTGCTGGTGAATCTTACTCTAGCGGCGAGGCAATGTGCAATGCGGATCTTCCATCCTAAGGTGCATTCAGGAATGGTGGATGCCCCGGAAGGCAGCCCAACGTCCGATGGGCAAACGACGCCATCACATGCCTTGGGGGAAGGGCCTGCGGACGCTGCCCAGGCAGAAGACAGTGCAGGGTTGGGTGATGCAAGGTCCCTCCTCCTCGCGACTATAGCCAAGGCCTGTAGGTCACAGGTGTCCTTGCATTCTCGCGGCTTTTTTTGCCCTTCTCCTTCCCTCTTCTTGGTTTGCTGAAGTTTGGCGAGGGCATTTGCCAGGGATGAACTCAACTCTAGATGACGTGGATGGCTTCGGGGCTGAATGTGGGATTTGCATCGTGGGTGGTTGTGTTGTGTTTGTTTCCGAGTCGGTCGCGAAGCTCCTGTCAGTCAATCTGAGAATCCATACCGGAGGATGTCTGTGAATCTGCTGCCCCGAATGAATTGTTTGGCACGGGCAAGTGGGCAGGTTTCGTCCAGGAGCTTTTGGGGAGTTGTGAACGAGGATGGAAGCCTGAATCGCAAGGGGCACCCTAGAGACATCTAGAGAGACCTCTCGAGGCCCTAAACCTAACAGTCCTGCCATGAGGGGAATCGTGAACTTGCCGATCGACCTCTTAACCCTGGAAGCATGGCACATCCACAGGTTCGAGCCTTACGTTCACAGGGCCTTTGAGCTCGGTTGAACGGTTGTATCATCCGGGTCGCCTCTCACCGGTTTTGCTGCTGTGCGGCTCGCAGCGTTTTGGGGCCGCCGGTTGACGGGCCCTTTGCTAAAGTTAGTTTATGGGGCGACTGGAATTGGTAGAGAACACTGAGGGGAACCGCCATTCTTGCTGCTGAGGTGTGCCGCAGGCCCTGTGCCTCAGCCGCATTTGGAACGTGAGAAGCGTAGCCCAACACCCTCTCCCCCAAAAAAGGCTCAGGCTTCCCTGGCCGACCCTCCGCGTTTGGGATCCGGGCATGTGTTTTGGACTGACAGGTGTCTTCTTCCAAGCCGGCCACTGTGAGAACGGAGACAACTGCGGCTACTGCCACATGCGCCATGACAATCGCACCCCCTTGCCAGATCGCAGGCGGGTTTGGGTAAAGACGTGGGCAGGATTGATTTGGGAACTTTTGCTTGGACGCTTAGTTGCAGACAGTTGTGGCTTGAGCATGGCGTAGCATGATATTGACGTGTTGACGGTGTAGGGCCAGGTCCCTTCTGTCAATCAGCGGACTGCCTGGGATTCTGATGGTTAGGTTTGAAGAATGCCCGGGTGCACAAAGGGTCGAAGGGACCAAAGCAAGAAAGGACCCCCTGGGAAATGTTGCGATTTGTGGCGTTTTAGTTTGAGAACATCTGTTGCGTTTTTCTGCCATGGTGCATTTGAGGGGTCGAAGAAGAACCATTCTTATGGAATCTTAGTATTCGCTTGAGACTTCTTGGTTTTCTGAGTAGAATCCCGGGTCCATGTGGCTCTATGCTTTGAACAGGCCTTGTCCAAGAAAGTTTGCTTGTCATATCTTATAATGGAATGATTGGGAAGGCGGGGCATATGATTTTTTCACTTGTGAGCCTCGAGGATGGTTTCAAAAAAAGAGCTTTATCCCGGAGAAGTTGCCCAATTTGCGCGGACTATTATCCGCTGAGAATGCAACACAGGAAGGACATCCATCAAAAGTGTAAGAAGAGAAGCAAGAAGCGAGGGGATAGGAACCCTTGGTGTAACTCCCAAGGAGACGGGAATACTGTGAGCAGATTTTTGTTCAGCAGGTCTCGGGGCCTTCCGAAGCAACCTCCTAACAGCTTGCCGAATCTGGACCCGGTCGCTGCAGAGAACCTGGGAAGCCCGCGATGGGGATGTTTTAAGCATATGCGCTCCTCCTACTGTTTATCACTTAGACTGTAATTCTTGATGTCAGAATCAGCGGTTGCAATTTCTTTGGTAGCTTTCCTGCAGTGGCAGGGAGGTTGGGGCAAGAACATAAACGACACCGACTCGCATGTGCGCGACCTGCTGACATGTAGCTGGTTCTTGCTGGGAAGTCGATTGGTGAATGCAATGCTTGAGTTCAGCAAGCCATAAGATAGCAATCATACCTTGACAAGCTTTCCTGCAGTTTCCTGCATGCAGTGAGAAAAGGGGGCAGACAGGCTTGGAGGCTTCGACAAGAAAACCCCACCCCCCCCCCCCCCCCCCCCCCCCCCCCCCCCCCGCTATCCCAGCACTGGGGATGGAGGGCCAGGGCGGATGCAATTACGGTTAGAAAGCGGAGCTAGTTTAAACTTTAAACTTGAGCCCTAACAAGCCTCCGGAAAAAACTGGGCCCGTGGGGGGGGGGGGGGGCACCTCATAAACTGGAGCGTGTGACGTTTTCTGTTTCTTATCCGGCGAGGCAGCGGGCTTTCCTACGGAAACTGCGCAGAACGGAACTGTGCCTCAGCTTCAGCTTCTGAGTCCTGAGAAGTTGCTTTGATGCGCATCGCATAGCCTGCAAGCCTCGAATCCGCAAATTTTTGGGTAACACATGTGCAGACTGCACTGTAGGCTACATAATCACCCTTGCCTTCCCCTGCGATTTCTCCAGCATCTGCTCCCACATCGAGCATCATTGAGACGCATTGAGCATGCGGTTTGTGCGCTGATGTGCCAGAGGCCGCTCAGGTGTCGCGTACAGGATACTGGACCCAGGGCCCAGCTTTCTCTGTCAATGTCCAAGCAAAGCTGTAGCCACTGCTGCGCAAGGTTGCACATTTTTCTGCCCCGGCTTCGGTACCGTGGCAGCAACATTCGCCTGCATGTTGTTTGACTAGGATGTACCAGGCATCGAAGAACATGCCTGCGGCACCAGTGGTGTCACAGTGTCAGTGTCAGTGTCAGTGTGTCAGTATCAGTGTCAGTGTGTCACTGTCAGTGTGTCACTGTCAGTGCGTCACTGTCACTGCGTGTGTGGCAGGGCCAAAGCAGGGCCAGGGTGTGTTAGTGTATGTCAGGGTGTGTTAGTGCGTACAGGCAAATCTTTGACGCTTAGGATATCGGAAGCGGCCGTCGAGCCTTCTCGCAAGCTTTGAGTAACCGTGGTTTCGTTCGGTTCGCCCCTGTTCCCTGACCAGCGTGCCAGCGTACTGGTGGCTATTCAGTTCACGGAGTCTCGGCTCCAGATGGCCTATGGCTTGCGGTACGGCTCGCGATTCTTTGCCGTTCCCAATACTTAAATGGGCTGCGGCGTTCATCTGGGCTTGAGTGGCTGGAGTCTGGGTGGTTGCAGTATAGTTGGGGTTGAACGGAGATTGGCGGCTAGGAGCAGAGTGTAGTGGTGTAGTCGCAACAAAGGCCTTTTGCGCAAATTCATCTTTTGTCTGTGGCTATGCCTTTCTGCTTTGATGCCATTCCGCTTTTCCCTTCTTGGGATTCTTTGTTGCTGTTTGGCTTTCTCTTTGTTGAACTCTTGCCCCACATGCCGAAAAGGTATTCTCTGACTCACAAGTAGCCGGAGTCACATAGCAGTGCGCAACTGCTTAACAGCACCCGACAACACAATGTGCACCATACATGCGTCGCGTTGCCATTCCCTGAGTCCTGCTTGTGCATGTGATTTTGCGGCGGCCTGCACCTACAATCACTTCGAAGTCGGTTGTGCAACCACATATCAACCACCACCTTTGCAGAAACTTCAGTGGTCACTGATTATCACAGCGAAGCGTGCTGCTACATGGACGCATGTGTACTAGCTTTCACAAACTAAGTTTAACAAAGCCGGCAGACAACCTGAGACCCGCGAGATGGTTTTGATTAATTTCTGTAGCCAATTGGCGTTTTCGAGTGCCTTCAAAGGCAGCAAGCAACTTACCATGTTTGTTGCCGGACACCAAGATGCCGCGATCTTCAGCGGTCGGAGCACTCAAGCACCGCGAAGTTGTGAAATATGCAGCGTGCGGAGCTGTCACAAATATGTTCTTGGAGCTGTGAGAACTTTGACGAAATTACTCTGATTCTTCTGCATCTTGCAGCTGTCCATAGCACAGAAAGAAGTACTGTAACTTGCAGTCCGTACTTGGAGAGCGGAACAACGCGAACAACAGAACGCACGCCATTCTTCACGAGGAGCTCAGGCCTTGACAGCACTGCCTGCCTCATGCCGTGCAGAAGCCACCCGTAACGACCCCAACATCAACTTTGAACTTTGAAGTCGGATCGAGGGCTTAAGCAGTAGCCACATACCCCCAGGCAAGATTTGAAATCTAATGCATCCAGGTCACAGGCCAAGCGGGCGGGCATTTTATCCCGTGCCGTGCCTGTTGTGACCATCTTGGAAGGAGCTTTGCACCTTGACAGCAAACGGAGGTTGTGCAATTCCCGAAGCATGTGCAGGCCGCTGGAAATTCAGTCTGCAAAGTCGCCGAGGATTGAGCAGGGCACGCTCAACACGGCCAAAGTCACCTGTGACGACGCAGACTTTTGCCTGCATTCTGGAAGGGCCGCGGTGTGAGCTTCGTCTTCTCAAACCTTGCAATTGCTGAGCCATAAGGCCATAAGGCTATAGGACAGGGCTTCAGCCTGCGGATTTGGACTTAACGGTTTGTGTTGTGCACACTGAGGCTGGGGTTCCAACCTCAAAGGTATCCATTCAGAAAGATATGGTGACCCCTAGAGAATGTCTGGAGTGATGCGATGCCCTGCAACCGTGCTTCTTGCGCATGCGGAAATCTGCAGTATTTCTCCATGACTTCGTCAGGGTTCCTCAAGGCTCGGGGTGACCTGTTCATGGCTTAAGGCTTGAAAGGTGCAGCCCTAGGCCATTTGCAGTCACACTTCTGTGGCCAGGACTATCTCAGGGTGCTTCTGAATCGCATGTCCTTCGGTGCCTATGCGTGCATTCAGTACGACAGCTTTGTCCCAGTTCCCAATCCCTATAGCTTCTCCCTCTTTGCAGTTCGACCTGTTGTATGACCACTCCTTGAGGAAGACCGTTTCGTGAAGCTTCAAAAAGGTTCCCGGGCGCATGCCGATTGAGGACAATGCTTGTTAGCTGCTACTTTGCCGTGGCCCATGAACTAGGGCCCTTGCCAGTGCTGCTGGAGGGCGTTTTTGATTCACAAGCAGGCAGAATGCTCACACTGAATCGCCCTCCAATCCTTGAGCCGTCTTGAGCCAAAGCTGAGCTGGTCGCTGGCGCAACACGTTGCGTTCACAGAGGCATGTCAAAAGTGTCTGCCATGTCCTAGCCACTTTTTGCACTGTCCGTTGTGTGGTATTCATCACGACCGGTGCTTCCTTCTTCAACTGTCGAGTGTAGGGCAGCTCCTCTTGTGCGCTGCAGCACACTGCTTGTAGTAGCTCCCGGGGTCTGGTGGCAGCGGCCGCTTTAGGTTCTCTTGGCGTTCTCCGCAGGGTTGCATGTTGCACAGCTAGGCACGGTCGCCTGCGAGCCTCAGGGTCTCAGGGCTTGGGGAGGCTCTGAGTTTAGCGAGTGTTAGAGACCCAGCTGGACGCTTCAAGCAAGTCATCTTGAGGCGAAAACCGTCGCGCCAGTTGAGTGGATCATGTGCGCTGCTCTGAGGCAACCTGATGGCGATGCTTTTTCACAACCTGGGACCCAGCCGCTTGTCATGAAGTGGCTTCGAGTATGGTTTTTGGTGATTTCGGTCACTTCACCACCCACCGACCCGCACAGTGACCAGTCACAGGCTGCCTCGAAGCTACCCCTCAGGCTTGCTTCAAAGCAAATAAATCTTGTTGAAACGCATCATAAGCTTCTCGGATCGGATCACGTGTTTCTTTTGGTAGGGGGTCAACCGGATTCGAGGCCAAACAGGTTCTCTGTTCAACTGGACCCCCTCCGGACGCTGTAGTTCTTGCTGTTGCACATGGTTTCTCAGTGCTGAGCCTGGGGAAGCCGCACTTCGGCACCCATTCACAGATGCAATAACGATGGCGACAAGTCAGAGACTCGTGCATTCAGGTTGTCCTCTGTGCACTCACTGGCCTTCATGGATTTGGTAGGGTGTTTGCATGGCATTCTGCTACTGGATGTGTTTGGAGATGCCTTTGCCACTTGATGAGCTGGTTGCGCAAACGCAGTTGGCCCCACGGTTGGGAGCTACACGAGTGACACCTTCAAGCATCCTCTCTGCAGGTTCGCTCTTCTTTATTTCATTTTTACCAGCCGCTCTGGTCCCAAGTCCGGCAACCAGCATCAATGGCTGGGCCAGTGAAGACAGGCCAAACGTATTTCTGGTAGAAGCGAGGGTTGCTGCAGATTCCAGTGCTGCTGCGGGAGCCAGTCAGGTTCGTGATCACCTGGGCTTCATGTGTGGGCGAAGATACTGGCCAGGCATCATGTACGCGCCAGCGCTTCGGGGCGGACTGCAAGGTACAGTGTTTTCGCTGCCCGCGCCTATGCTCAGTGCTTGGTTTATTTATTTCGTATCCGCTATTGATGTTCATGTTGTCTGTTCATGGCCACTTACGGTTGCCGGGCTTTGCGGCAATCAGGCATTTTGGGATGAGTGTATGGCCACTTGCGGTTGTCAGGCTTTACGGCAACCAGGCCTATGGGAAGGGCGCCGTCTTCGGCCCCTACATTGTGCTGCTACAGCTTGTCCCAATGCAAAGATGGCCCACCTCATGGTGCTTTCGTTCCTGTTTCCCACCTAGCCCTTCTGGGAGTTCGTGGGTCGGCCCATGGCGAGTTTTTGGGCAATGAGGTAAGTTGCGCGATGCGACGAGCACTGTAGTACCTGACTCTCCATGGAGGTCCTCAACTGACTGCCCTATGAGTCTGGCTCATCATTGAGCTGACCATGTTTGACTCAGTTTGCCTGTACCATGCATGTGCTGGAGCAGTACCATATACTCACCCCATGCTTGCTTGGGTCTTCTTGGCCACTTGCAATTGCCAGGCTTCACGGCAACCTGGCCTGTGGCGGGGGGCGCCGTATTATCGGCCCTTCCATTCGATATGCTGCTGCTGTTTTTCAATTTTCTTCTTTGGTGGGTACATTGGGCTTCCTCAACGTTATGGCCCCTGACGATGTATACCTGCCGCTGAGGTATTCTTGGGATTGCTCTGATTCTCTGATGGTTCTCCTTCCTCGTGGGGTGCTTCTGCTAGCTTTTTCTCATGGAGGCTGCCGTTTTGGCCACGCTTGCTCTTTGGGCAGGACGACAGAGCGATGTGCCAATGTGTCTGTCAGCGGTGGCCTACACTGCCCACAGCAGTGGTTCCAGAGTAGTTGGCAGTGAGCATGGCAGCTTGTTGTGGACTCCGTCTCACTTGAAATTGGCCTCTGGAGTGCATTTGGTCAAGACCTGATGCTCTAGTGGACTCTGATTCCATCTCTCCATGGAGGTCCTCAACTGACTGCTTTTCACGAGTGAGGTCCATCATTGAGCTGACGGCTCAGTGGTGAGTTTGTGCAGTGTACAGGGCTTTTGCAGCACTTGTCTCGGGGTTGCCGTTTCCGGCCCCCTGCCCAAGGCAGAGTGGCGTGATGTGTTTTGCTTATTTCGTTTGACGATTCATTCATTCACTGTTCAGTTGAGCTGTCATGGTCTACTCCCTAGTTAGTAAGTGCGAGAACGCTAGGCTGGGCGACTGTGAGCGCTGGAGACCCTGTACTGCGCAGTTTTTTGAACTTCGGTTCCTGTGCAGTTGCCTTGCATGTTCATACCCGAAGCTGTTAACCGCCGCCACTGAGCGGCCGTGCCACTTTGGTGTTGAGCTACAGCTAGCTAGTAGGTCAGACCAGACCGCTGCGGAATCGAGCGAGTGAGTGAAGCGCATCATGCGAGCATTGTGTTTGCAAACGGGGGGGGGGGGTGGGGGGAAGACTGTGCCTCCCCCAACCACCCCGCTGATAAACATATAGTTGAGTTCTTCTATCTTTCCTTTTACAAGTAGAGGGTCAAGGTTTTTTCTTCTGAAAGTATATCGAAAGTAGAGTTTTGCCTGTTTGAAATTTGAGATTCGTCCTCGTGAACAATAGAGAAAAAAGATGTCTGTTCTGGTAAAATATGGATCCCACCAAAGCAAAGCCGCGAGCAAAACGGGGGGGAGCAAAACAATACTGCACCCGGAAAAATGGGTTGATGAGGTTCGGTGGCCCGAGACAGTCCCCGCAACAGGGTACCTTTTTGGATCCCTATCAATTTGCTGTTGATCCCTCACCCTTCGGGTTCAGGCTGCCGGGTGTTGGTCAGGTTGTTGTTGGAGATGTAGCGGTCCCAGTCAGACAACAGCCGTGGCCTTCCTTGCTTTTGCTCAGGTACATTGGTGGACACCGCCCGTCATGAGTTCGAATCGTTGCGGCAGTCGCTGCCATCGCATGGTTAGTTGCGAGAGTGCTGGAGCAGATGGCTGGCCGGGTTCGGCAAGTGTACCGTGAATGTTGCCATTTGCATGCAGGTTTCTGACAGCCCGAGTTGGAACATTTCAGAGCTTCACAGCTTTACCAGGTTTTACCAGCACGTCTCGGCGCTAAGAGTGTCCGGTGTTTAATGGCCACCCTGCCGTGAAGAGAACCAAGCCTTGGGTAGGGGCTGCGAAGAAGGGGTTCACATGTCTAGGGTTCAAGACTTTCGGGCCTTGAGCCTGACATCTGGATATAAACCTCTGAAGACCCGTGTAGACCTCCATCCCCCTGCCATCTCATGTCGGCGACGATCATGATCATGCACATGCGCATCAATGCCGACATTGGTATTCAACTAGTATTTGTGCCGGGTGCCGCCCCAAGGCTTTCTGTCTCACGAGACCCCAGAACATCACAGGGAGCAAGGATCGCAGCAGAGAGACCGGACGCATGTGGGCAGAGCCTGAAGGAGTCCGTGTTCTGCTGATTTCCAATCGCTACCATCGCACGTGTCATCTTCGCCTCTTGCGCAGCCTCAGTCTTTTCGAAATCCCAACCCCGTCCCTATGGTTCGCAGATGTTCCTGGATGTTCGTGGTAGTTTGGGGAAAGTCGAATGCTCAGGATGGACTTGGGACTCAGTTTTTTGGTTTGGTAGGTTAGAGCCGTTTAGGGCCAGTCAAGTTCAGGATGGTTGCACGCTTGTTGGCCCCTTGCTGTGGTTCGGAGATCTGGGTATTGTGCCGGTGTACTCCCGGCAGCGCAAGCTGCGAAGACGTGAGCTTTCTCAGCTTACAATCCGTATCCAGGTAAGCAGTGGCAAAGCGGGTCGGCAAATCTTCCACAACAGATGCTTTTGTCGGAAGCGGCCCGCAATTTATTGAAGCTGCACACCTAGCACTTGAGCTGCACACCTAGCACTTGCCGTGAACATGTGACGCCGCAGACAGCGCCATCATCCTGCATGCGGCATCCGCAACTTGCGAGTCGTACAGTGTTGGGGGGTGGTTTTGGCTAACGCCCCTCATTGCGGCTCAGGGTATTTCAGGCGTTTGTGGGGGGGGGGGGTGGGGTGGGGTAATAATGTCCATTCATGTATGGCGACCCTGCCCAGATTCATCGGTGTTTACAGCGTTTTTGCCAAGGATGTTTGACGTTTATGGAACAAGACACGCAGCTACCAGCGTTCATGCCCTTGGCGAAGATGCCCCAAACACTGGTATTTACAGCATTTTTCCTTCTCTATACAACACATTATGGAACAAGACATGCGATCACAAGTGTTCGTGCCTTTGGCGAAGATGCCACAACACTGGTATTTGCAGCATTTTTCGCCTCTCTGTACACATTTTGCCCCTTTGTACAACACAAGCACAAGAAAGCTGTGCGAAGTGTCTTCGCCCGAAAACAGCGTTCAAAAAGCAAGCACTGTTTTGGGTGCGACTCTCGCGTCTCGAAAACATCGCTGTGCGCAGTGTTTTCGCGCGAGAGAACACCGATCCCATGGCGGCAGTGGTGATTTTGAGGATAGACAAACACGTCCAGCGAATGCGACGCACAAAAACCCTCGAGTTTTGCACGTTTTCCGATGTCCAACGCTGAAATGACACGCGCAACACACGCGGGGCCACAAGGAGGGCGGTACCTGGTTTTGGGCATGTGTGTCAAGGGCCAACGAGGAAATCTGTTGAGAGGGAACACCATCATTGTGGGGCTTGGCGGTTGCCAAGGGCGTTCCGCTTGTGGGTGCGATGTTGACCAGTTTGGTTTGGATGCGCTCAGCCTCGCAACCCTGGTTCCATGCACATGGTGCGGTGATCTGGACACAGGCTGCGTGGTCTTTGACTCCGAGGTCCCAAGGTCTGGGTGAAACAAGGGTGGTTGCTGCACAAATCAAGCTCAAAGCTCAATTCCGTTCCGCAAGAGGCCTTTTCATGATGAGCTACGGTACTGCAGAAGCTTTGTCGCAAATGAGACCCAGGTCTTGTGCTACAGACGACGGTTGCACGACCTACTTAAGATTTGGGGTTTGGAGTTGACAGGACGGGTTCAAAACGTTTTTGGGGTTGTTAGCGCTTTTGGGGTTGATTGCTTGTGATTATGGGAATGTCGGCGGATGCATGCTATGCGCCTTGCCTCGACTGGGCACAAGCTTGTCCTTCGCCAAGAACACCGCAGAAGGGTGGCAACATGTAAAGTGACATGCCGTTCATGTCCTTTCCGCCACAACACGCCATGAGCCAACAAGCTGAATTTGCTAAGCCATGAAGCCATATGCTTTACCTGCTTGACCGAAGTCGTCACCCGGGCGGTTCGGAATTCTTCTCCACACTCGGGAGTGCGGCCCGAAGTTTAAGAGCAGCTGTTGGGACACTTGGGGCTTCAAGATGGTTCTGGCGCTTTGCTTAGGCAAGCAATCCCAGACTCGAAGAATGCTCCCAATTGGAAGGGTGACATCATCTGGTTCACTGAGCGGGAGCACCAGTGGCTTAGAATTTCGCCCAGAATACGCTTGAAGCTTGAGGCAGAGTGCGGGGTCTGGAGGAGCTGCATCAAATTTTTTCATCCCCGGTGGGAGTTCGTTGGCGGCTTCGGAGCCATGGGTTACACGCTCTAAGTACACCGCAGCTCCAAGACCTCCATGTAACTCTGCACGCCTTCAATGCCAAATATGGCCGCATGTCCGTCACGCAGCTCACTCCCGGCTAATGCCCAAGGACTCCTGCTGAGCTTAGCTGCGTATCCAGTTATGACACATCATGACGCGAATACCATCTGTCACATGCAAGAAGTTTCAGAACAATGTTGGATCCTGCATCGGGTGAGCAGCACTGGCGAGCGGCATTGTGAAGGCACTGCTTGATTGCTTGAGATGATGGCTTAGATGAGATTGAGGACCAGCGTTCATAGTCATATGGCACGAAGAACTTAAAACAGACGTCGCCTCCCTAGATTCGTTGAAGCTCTTTTTGCACTGTTGAAATCAGTTCACGTTCGCATGCGCCCAGCTCAACCTTTGCCCAAGTTCATGCGTAGAGCTCACACGGTCCATGGCGTATGTGAGGACAGGCAACGCACGTCCGGTCTGGGATCGGGAAGGTCTAGATTGCACCGGGTTCGGAAACAGAGGCTGAACAAAGGACATACAGAGAAGCCCATAGCTCCAAATGACAAGCGCATGTAGCCTTGCAGTGCTACGCGCCTTGCCTCGACTGGGCACAAGCTTGTCCTTCGCCAAGAACACCGCAGAAGGGTGGCAACATGTAAAGTGACATGCCGTTCATGTCCTTTCCGCCACAACACGCCATGAGCCAACAAGCTGAATTTGCTAAAACCATGAAGCCATATGCTTTACCTGCTTGAGCTGAACTTGGGCCCCGAAGTCGTCACCCGGGCGGTTCAGAATTCTTCTCCACACTCGGGAGTGCGGCCCGAAGTTCAAGAGCAGCTGTTGGGACACTTGGGGTCTCAAGATGGCAGATAGCGCAGACGCAAGTTAGTTTCTGCATAGAAAACAAACTTTGGTCTACGGGGTAAGTTAGTTTCTGCATAAAAACGAACTTTGGACAACGGGGTTCTGGGTTAGTTTATGCATAGAAACGGTCTACGGGGCAAGTTAGTTCCTGCAAAGAAAACAAACTTTGGACAAGGGGGTTTCTGGATTTGTTTATCCAGAGAAAAGCAAACTCTGGGGGGAGGATTTTTATTCTTTTTTTTTGGGGGGGGGGGGGGGGGGGAAACTAGTTAACTTGCCCGGCCAAACTTTGTTTCTCCAGAGAAAAACAAACTTGGAGGGGGGAGGGGCAAAGTTTGTTTGTCCAGAGAAAAACAAACTCTGGGGGACGGTTTTTTCTTTGGGGGGGGGGGAGCGGAAACTAACTAACTTGCTCGGCCAAAGTTTGTTGTTTCTTTCTTCCGAGAAAAAGCAAACTCGGGGGGGGGGGGAGACGAAGTTGTTTTTTCCAAAAAAAAACCAACTTGGGGGAGGGTTTTTTCTTTGGGTGGGCAGGGGGGGGGGGGGGGGGTGGGGTGAACCAACTATCTCGCCCGGCCAAAAGTTTGTTTCTCCAAAGAAAAACCAACCCCCCCCCCCCCCCCCCCAAAGTTTGTTTTCTCTGGACAAACAAACACTGGTTAGTTAGTTGTCCCCCCCCCCCCCCTTCCCCCCAAACCCTGACAACCTTCAGAGAAATGGGGACTTATTCTAAATCCCACCTTCCCCCCTCTTCCCCCCTCGAATCTGCTTATCGTTTTTGTGTTCATTTCGTTCTTCGCAAACCAGAGAAGTGGAGACTAATTCTAAATTCCACTCCCCCCCTCGAATCTGTTTGTCGTTTTTGTGTTCATTTCGTTCTTCGACAACCAGAGAAGACTTATTCTTCCAAAACCAGAGAAGTGGAGACTTGTTCTAAATTCCAACCCCCCACCGAATCTGATTTTCGTTTTTGTTCGACAACCAGAGAAGTGGAGACTTATTCTAAACCCCCCCTCCCTCGAATCTGATTTTCGTTCTTGTGTTCATTTCATTCTTCGAAAACCAGACACGTGGAGAGTTGTTCTACATTCCACCCCCCCTCCCTCGAATCTGATTTTCATTGTTCTGTTTTGTGTTCACCTGTATTTCATTCCTCGAAGCCAGAGAACTGAGAAGTGGAGACTTATTCTAAATTCTACCCCCTCGAATCTGATTCTCGTTTTTGTGTTCATTCTTCGATAATCAGAATCAGAATCGTGTGTTCATTTCATTTTTCGAAAGCCAGAGAAGTGGAGACTTATTCTAAACCCCCCCTCCCTCGAATCTGATTTTCGTTTTTGTGTTCATTTCATTCTTCGACAACCAGAGAAGTGGAGACTTATAAAAAATCCCCCCCTCGAATCTGATTTTCGTTTTGCTGTTCATTTCATTCTTCGAAAACCAGACGAGTGGAGAATTATTCTAGATTCCACCGCCCCCCTCGAATCTGATTTTCATTGTTGTGTTTTGTGTTCACCTGTGTTTCATTCCTCGAAAACCAGAGAACGGAGAAGTGGAGACCTTTCTAAATTCCACCCCCCCTCGAATCTGATGTTCGTTTTTGTGTTCTTTGTTCGATAATCAGAGTCGTGTGTGCACTTCATTTTTCGAAAGCCAGAGAAGTGGAGACTTATTCTACATTCCACCCCCTCGAATCTGTTTGTCGTTTTTGTGTTCATTTCGTTCTTCGAAAGCCAGAGAAGTGGAGACCTATTCTAAATTCCACCCTCCGCTCCAATCTGATGTCCGTTTTTGTGTTCATTATTCGAGAATCAGAGTTGTGTGTGCATGTCATTCTTCGAAAGTTAGCTATTTCGCCCCCTGTCCTCCCCCCAGCAAACGTTTGTTTTCTCTGGCTCAACTAACTCGAGCCATGTTGCAAACGTTTGTTTTTGCTGGGCCCTCAAACTCTGGAAGGACGAGACAACAAACTTAGCGGGAGGGTGTGGGGGGAGGGGGGGGGGGGTCAACAGAATTTGACTCGTCCGGCCAGAGTTTGTTTGTCCAGAGAAAACAAACTTTGGGGAGGGGCGGGGACAACTAACTAACTCGTCCGGCCAGAGTTTGTTTGTCCAGAGAAAACAAACTTGGTTTTATTTTCTGAGCCGGGCGAGTTAGTTTGTTTCCCCTCCCCCCCCCCCCGCCCCAAAGAAAAAAACCTCCCCAAAGTTTGTTTTTCTTTTGGAACAAAGTTTGTTTTGCTCTGGAGAAACAAACTTTGGCCGGGCGAGTTAGTTAGTTTCCGCTCCCCCCGCCCCAAAGAAAAACCTCCCCCAAAGTTTGTTTTTCTCTGGAAAAACAAACTTTGCCCCCCCCCCCCCCCCCCGGCCAAAGTTTGTTTTTCTCTGGAGAAACAAACTTTGGCCGGGCGAGTTAGTTAGTTTTCCCCCCCCCCCCCCCCCCAAGAAAAAACTCTCCCCCAAAGTTTGTTCTTCTCTGAAAAACAAACTTTGCCCTCCCCCCAAGTTTTGTTTTTCTCTGGAGAAACAAGCTTTGGCCGGGCAAGTTAGTTAGTTTTCCCCCCCCCCCCCCCCGGAGAGAAAAACCCTCCCCCAAGGTTTGTTTTTCTTTTTGGAAAAACAAACTTTGCCCCCGCCCCCCCCGCCCAAAGTTTGTTTTTCTCTGGAGAAACAAACTTTGGACGGGCAAGTTAGTTAGTTTCTCCCCCCCCAACCCCCCCCCCGCCCCTCCCCAGGTTTTTTTTCTAAACAACCAAACTTTGGCAAAACGAGGTAGGTAGTTCCCCCCCCCTCACCCGGGTCAGCAAGGGTCTAGTTTAAAGAATAGTTTAAACTCCTGGAAGAAACTTTCACACTAATAGTTTAAACCATAGAATAAACTAGCTTTAGCCTCCGCCTATTCTCCAAGATGGTTTGGGCGCTTTGCTTAGGCTTAGTTGAGATTTCGGGTACCTCGTTTGATTTTTGGGACGGACTAGGCCCGGAGTAGGCCCGATTGCACCACAAAGCTTTGCGGGAAGCGGCCCCCACAGATGCCATGGAAACTTCGGTGACCCCTCCGTCCTCGGATGCTTGAGGCGGGAGTGCCGGTTGCGTAGAGTTTCGCCCAGAAATGCTTGAAGCTTGAGGCAGAGTGCGGGGTCTGCAGGAGCTGCATCAAATCCCCCCATCCCCCCTCCCCCCTCCCCCCCAAGCCGAAACCCACCCCGAAAACCTCAAGAGTGTATCCATATAACCTAGGCCAATGATAGCGCCCAAAGCGGCTAGCTTCAAGCAATGCCCCCAAGCCCAGCTCGTGACGTGGTGGGAGTTCGTTGGCGGCTTCGGAGCCATGGGTTACACCTAAGAGAAGCTCTAAGTACACCGCAGCTCCAAGACCTTTACTTTATGTAACTCTGCACGCCTTCAATGCCAAACATGGCCGCATGTCCGTCACGCAGCTCACTCCCGGCTAATGCCCAAGGACTCCTGCTGAGCTTAGCTGCGTATCCAGTTATGACACATCATGACGCGATTACCATCTGTCACATGCAAGAAGTTTCAGAACAATGTTGGATCCTGCAGCGGGTGAGCAGCACTGGCGAGCGGCAATGTGAAGGCACTGCTTGATTGCTTGAGATGATGGCTTAGATGAGATTGAGGACCAGCGTTCATAGTCATATGGCACGAAGAACTTAAAACAGACGTCGCCTCCCTAGATTCGTTGAAGCTCTTTTTGCGCTGTTGGAATCAGTTCATGTTCGCATGCGCCCAGCTCAACCTTTGCCCAAGTTCATGCGTAGAGCTCACACGGTCCATGGCGTATGTGAGAACAGGCAACGCACGTCCGGTCTGGGATCGGGAAGGTCTAGATTGCACCGGGTTCGGAAACAGAGGCTGAACAAAGGAAATACAGAGAAGCCCATAGCTCCAAATGACAAGCGCATGTAGCCTTGCGGTGCGACAGAGTGCGACCCTGTCAGCCAGGATGGTAGCGCACAGCTTTTCGAGTCCAAAAGCCTGTTCTGTCCCTGGGCTATGTTGCACTCAAGTCCATAGCAAGGGGCTCCAGTCTCTGTCCCGCAGCCTTTGCGGGTCTGCCCTCGTGGCTCTCAGCCTTGCAGAGCCTTGCAAAGCCCTCATGCCCAGCCTTGGAAGTGACCAAGACCCCAGGACCTGTGCACAGAGTGCGACGCAAACGCTGTGCTTTCTCAGCATCATGTTGGGCCTGGGACAAAGCATACACAAAATGCACTTCAAGTGTCAGAATCATTGGTAACCGTCTAACTGTTTAGCATCATCTGATACGAAGCAGATAATGCATTACAAGACCAAGGTACAACCGGGCAAACACCAAAATCAAGCTGAACTACGTACACCCGCTTGACTCGTGCAAAACAATTCAGCAAGAAAACCAACAAGACCAGGTTCAAGTGTCAGGTGTCACGCAAGCTGAAGGACCCAACATATCCGCAAGGTTTTCGAAGATGCCTGCACCGTGTTTTTTTACGGAGGTGAAGGGGGGGGGGTGGCGGGGCGGCGCGGGGGTGCTCTACTCATTGTGCAGTTTGTGCGCTATGCGCGTCTGTGCACTTGCATCAATGGTGCAATGTTGCTTGCTTTGTCCGAAGCTGATTGGCTGAGGGAGAACAAGACAGAGGCCGGTAAGTACATTGACAAATCAAGCAAGCCACGTCGCGGACTTCAAGCACCGAGTCCTTGTAACGCGATGCTTCCAAAAAACAACCTCGCTTGCACTGGATCCACTAAGCCACGGACCTAACCCCGTACGACAGCACAAACCTGAAACGGTAACGTCTTGGGTCTCAGCCGCCCGGCAAAGATTCGGTGTGGGGGCACGCTGGAATTCAGGAGTCAGGAGTACGATGAAGGGTACGGTGCTGGTCTTCATTTTTTTTGTCAATTTGGTCGGACAAGGCGGATTCGCATCAGCGAGGTAGTTCTTTAGACACTGCCATGTGGCAGTGCTTGATATGGATCCTCTGTGGAGCTGCTCAAGCAGATGATGACTGGTGGGTCACCTCTGGGTTGCTATGCGGCATATGGCAATACTGTAACAATGTTTGGGCTTTGCCCTGACAATGGTACATCCAAATTCTTTTCTGAAAGCACGGCCCTGAAAACCGGTATACCTGTGCATGAAATAGTCCCGCTGCCCCTGGCGAAAGTGGGTCGGATGTTGCCTGGATCTTAGGGCCCAAGGAGTCCTTTGACCCCCTTTGAGCTTCCGGCCCAGGACTTGCAGGATTGACTCAGATGGCTGTGCAACGAGCCCGCGCTACCCCTCCAGGTACACCAACAATCGCGATTGCGAGATTGAGGCTCCTCGGCGTCAAGTCGCAGGTGTTTCTGCCGTGCCAGTGTTTCATGGTTGCTGCATGGACTTGCAAGCTCTGGTCACTGAGCTTCGCCCCACCCGCAAAAAGCCCGTTCAGATATGCACTACCCTGACTCTCGGAGTCCTTCTGCGAGCCGAAATATCTCGTGCTACCGCTGAGGTCGCAGCCGGAAACACGAAGGCCATCATGGTAGCCCACTTCTCAACCGAAGCTTGGCATTTCTTCAAAACATGTGGCGAGTTGCAGGAGGTTCAGGGAGGTTCAGGGGTGGGCCCTCGCATTTGCTCCTTAGCGCACACTGAATAGGCCAGTTTAGAAACAGGCCATCCTTCTTCACGGAAAACAGATATGTGGGCGAGGCAAGAGTTGCACTTGAGATAGGAAATCGCTTGGCCACACGTGGACCCCGAAATGCGATGGTTTTGACGGTATCCCGCCGTATTTATAAATTAGTTTCCTTATGTTGTCTGTACTCACAAGCAGCCTGAAGTGGCTACATCATTGCTACTTGTCGACAGGTCGCGGCCTCAGACACACAGGGCAGCAAAACCCGTCGAGTCTTATAATCGCTACAGAAACACGTGTGAGATGTTTTAAAGAGCAACCTCTGTTGCAGAGATATGGCTGGTCTCCATGCCTGAAGCTTCAGGGGTTTAATCTTCGGGCTTTGGGATTGAAGGTGGCCACGCTCGTCAACGAAACGCCAACGTGCAAAGTGCAAATCCTACACTTGCAGGAAGCCCGGTATGATTTCCTGGAAGTGAATGACATTTCCTTCAGCGGGCAGATTGGCCCGGAGAATGTCGTGCCTGAGGGGGTGATCAAGTGGACTTCTGCGACTGGAACGCAACATGAAAACCCCCAGAATCCAAGGCTTCCGAGGAGTTGGGCTGAAGAGTTTCGGGGCGGGGAAATCTGAGTCTCACGGCTGGTAGCGCTGAGCCTTTTGTGTGTCATTAGCATGTTGCGAACAAGACGCTTGTCTCAGGACTATTCGGTCACAAACACCGGGTGGCGGCTTTGCCTTCAGGACCTGTGTTCTTTTGCCAGACATGGCTTGGGACATGGCCTAGTCACCCTAAGTCGTCAGAGCTGCGGCCCTGATGACGGCCATACATGGGATGTTGCAGCCCTGAACTGCGATGGGGTGTAGGCCAGTGTAGGCCGCGCGCAGGAAAGCTAGCAAACCTCGGCAACCTGGCCACATCATCTTTTAGGGCTGAAGAGCGGTCTCAGAGGTTCTAGGTTTCGCAGCAACATGAAACCCTGTAGCGGCTCCTGAGTGGTTCTGAGTGGTTCCACTTACCAACTCCTAGCGTAGCGACCCGTCCAGGTATCAGAGGCAGGCCCTGCGTGGCTCAAGGCTACAAGCGGTGGCCTGTGCATATTGCATCACATAAGCCACCAAACTTGTTGCCCCTTTCAATTCAGCCAATCCTTCAGTGCCAAGGCCTACAAGCTGGCACCTGAACACCCTAACCGCCAAGCCCCAACAACATTACAAAACTGTCTTTCTCAATCCAGAATCCTTGCTGGCCGTAACCCTTAGATGCAGAGATGGCGCACGGGGCCGGGCACCATGCGCCCACTTCTGCTGCTCCTGCTTTTCTATGCAGCTGTGGCTGTCGCTCGGCCATGGAAACCAATCAAGGCAAACCCAACTGAACTTTCTAAGATTCTAAGCGCTCAGCAGGAGATCGAGCTTGAGGTGGTGTAGTTGGTCGTTGATGATCTGCTGTCGGTCAGGGTGGTGTTTTGCTCGCCCACCTGGTTCCGTTGGGTGAGAGAATTTCAGTTTGGGGTTCGAGGCTTGGGCGCTAAGAGTGCGCCGCATGAAGCCCAGCATGCAGACACAATGCAGCCACATACGAAGATTCCAAGCAGGCACCGTGCAGCTGAGCAAAGGACCTCCAACCCGCTGTTGTGCCCCGCAGTGTGGCTCAAGCCCCCCTCCCGCTGCGGAAGGGCTAAGGGGCACCTCTCTGCTGAAACCGATCCATTGGGGACCGTTTCTTTTTGAGAATCCAGTCCCCGATTCTTGGCCGCATGTTGAGAGAGGCTTGACTGGTCTTCAGCAAGAAGACTCGTAACAAGACGTGAAAATCGTCAGAAGCCCCAAACCCTCAGCCCATATGAGCCATCTTTCGCACCAAAATACACTACAGCTCCAAACCCTCAACTGTTGCCAGACTCCGTTAACCCTCAGATCCCCGCAGCATCCTGCAGAAGATTCCTGCAAGGCCACGTGGTCAAGTGAGCAAGATGGAATTAGAATGGGCTTAGGCGGCTTAGGCCTGAACTTCCAACCCCATGCTCCCCCACCCCCCCCTCCACCCCCCTCCCAAAATGGAAACCTTGAGCCCTTGATGCAGCTGAACGTCTTAGGAGGTTGGGGTCGCAATGAAGTTCGATGCCCGCTGCGGCCTGTCCGGCGTGGGCCTGGCTTTGGCAGCCACCCTCCAGGGCTGCGACTCCCCCGGAATGTTGCCGGGCTTTTCGAAGAACTTGAGGAAACCACTTGAAAGAGGCAGAGTGTGTCACTAGACGCAAGTTCAACTATCTTTTCAGGTGACGGGTTCAGAAGAGGGAGGGAAGGAATTGGGGACACACGCAAGGCACAACCATCCCTCAAAGGGCTTGGGAGATTATGTATGTTGCTATGTTGCCTGTGAAGGTCCGGGCCCAAGGTTCAAGAGTCGCGGTTGAGTGTTATTTAGGTGGTTCCAAGCTTCTTTTGCCAGCCCAGGCTCGACCTGCCCAAGTTGGATAGCCTGGCCATCTCTATGCCAGACAAGTGGTTCCTTGGATCCTTGTGGGGGTTTTGGGTTTGCGTCGGGATGCTTTGCATGCCCAGCAATGGTGCAGGTTCGGAGTCCACTCCGTGCCGTACTGGAGGCAGCAGCCGGACTACTGGACCCATGAAGCATATGCCCACGACGAACATGGCAACCGCCATGCCGAAAAGTCCTTCAATTCCTGCATGACCCTTGGGCCTAGCAGCCGACTTTCATTCCTTCCACATTCCTGCGTGGAAATAATTCCGAAAATCCCTCACCACGAAGACCCAGGAACCCGAAGCTTCACATCGAGAATGTGTGCAGTGGGCATGGATCATGTGTGCCTTTTGGGGACGACACGGGGCTGTCCCTCTGCTGCACACTTCGGGATGGGCTGCTCTCAACCAGACCTTTGTTCCGTAGAGCGTGTCGAAGGCCTCGAACACGATGCCCCAAACTCCAGAGGTCCTTTTGCAAGTGCTACCCGGGCTATGGTGGCATGGAGTGTAATTCGAAGCGCTTGAGCCAGACCACCGCATCTTGGCCTCGTAATTTGGTTTTTGTGATTTTAGTGCCCGCAGCTGCCAACATATGACTATGCACTTTCCTCCGGTCTTTCCACGTGCCCTATACAAGTCAACGCAAGATACCCTTACAAAATGCACCCTGTCTTGCCATGGCAGGCCTGGTTCCTGGCGCTGTTCTTGGGCCCGGCCGGGGCTGATCAGTACTATTTGGGCTGGTGTCTTGGGCTCAAGGCGGTGAGGGTCCATCCCTGGAGGTTACCCTAATTGGAATGCACCCTGCTCAAGGCTGTTTTGTTGAGCCAGCCATGCAACTCCTGGCTGAAAACGGACGGATGTCCTTGTTAAGTTTGGGAGATATCTGTTCTTGGGGTGCTGCCTATCACCCTTACTTTGTTTTTTGCGACGACGGTCAGGGGCGTCGTGGTGGGAGGAGGTTTTTGGGGGTTTCCGTTTGCGCTCCGAAGAAGCACTTAACGCGCTTTGGGGATTGTCGTTGTCTGGACGGCGGTGGCTAATAGGGTCCTGTTGTCAGCTTCGGTGGTTCAGGTATGAAATCAATCAATGTTATCCCCCAGCCCCAGTGCTTGTCGTGCTCAGTGTAACGCAGAGATCGGGCCCAGGTATCCGCAGATGCTGATGACGCAGGCGGCCTTGCGGCCTTGCGTGTACCGACGCGCTCAAAACTTCACTCCCTATGTAGATTCTGTAGATGTAAGGCGCTCTAGGCCCCTTGGTAAAGTCGAGTAAATCCAGAACATCTCGACCCGAATTCAGCTGAACCGCTCCCGAGGTCACCTCGGTCTTGGGACTCTTGCTCTTGGCAGCCATCTCCAGCTCCAGGTTGCCAGGCCGGGAACGGGAATGGGGGAGGCTGATTAACTTAACAGACTGACACCATTGCTTTGAAATCAAGTCGCTTCAGTCCTTCCGGAGTCGAAGGGGATCCTTGAGGTCTGCAGAACTCAGCCACAGCCTTACATTTCATCCCTTATAACATCATATAACAGCCCGGGACCGTTTAAAGAGAAGCAAAGTCAGCTTCGACTGTTTGGGGGTTGTTTGGGGGGGGCCGGGGGCACACTCAAGAAGGTAAAGCATTAGGCCCCGTCCCCTCCTACTGAGACTGCTTCGCCTCAGTTCCGAAAGACCGACCTGTGGGGCTAGGGCCTCAAGTTTGTAAGGGTTTCAGTTTGGCGCAAACAACACGTAGATCCACAATTTTCGCCGACATCTTGCATGTAGCGCAGTTGATACGGCTTAACGAAAATCGAGGCCAGATCGCCTAGACAGCATTCGATTAATCGTCGATTAACCCTTCGACACCTACTTGATTATTGCCTCTAAAAAGCCCATGCTGTCAGCCGCATTGCTGCCCACGCTTCGGATTACATCACTCGAGCTGTGTTTTCTTCTGGGCGGCTGAGACTTTTCGGGCTGCTTGTAGAAGAGATTGCAGGGCCTGTCCGTTAGATGGTTGTTTTGGGGTTGTGCTAGGCCTATCGTTCTTGAAGGCTCCAGGACTTCGCGGTTTCCGTTGAGTGCTTCCGAGTTGCATTCCGCATCTAAGCCGGCTTTCAACAGGCCTTTGCGTGTTCATGGCGCCGTGGATGTACCACGTCGTTGTCATCGGCTCGGCCCCAGCCCAGGCTCCGCAGAAGGGATGCCAAGAAATGTCTCATGGACCCCGAAGAAGAGAGTTTGTGAGGTGACCTGGAGTGTCGGGGATTGTTGTCAACCCTGCGCGAGTCCGTTTTCATGCCATCAGGCTCCGCAGTTGAGCTTTGGCCCAGGAAGCTATGAGACCGACAACAGAAACAGCGCTCCGCAAAAGAGACCCAAAGCCGGATTTCCCCTCTGAATCTCTGCCCTGCAAAAGCCTCAGGCCGTGCGTGACCGCACCGCTGCAGACCTCCCTCGCTGCGCGCTCTTCGGCAGCCTCCCAGGAAACAGGGGCGGATCTCGAAGTTCACCGGAACGGGTATGGACATTATTTAGTCGAGCCCTTTCACCTTGCCGCGTGCCCCTTGCGCCGATACTCTCTCAAGAGCTGAATTGTACATATATTTGGGTTTTCGATTAAAAAGGCCAGCGTGTTTCCCCCAGCTCAGTGGTTAATGTTGCAAGGGATCGATCCTCCAGGTGAAGCTTCCAGTGCAGATGGTTGGAAACACTTGTTCAGAAGGGTTGGCTGGGGGATGATTAGGGGGCTTCTCTGGAAGATGCGCATTGAGCTCATTGAACATCTCAGGTTCGTGTCGTTCTCCCTGCTGTGGATGGGATTTCTCTCCTTGGCAATTTGCATCTACGACGTCAAGTACAAGACCCAGGCTAGGAAATGAAGAGCTTACTAGCGGTCGGGGGCGGAATGCTTGCGGAGAGTCGTTCTCAGCAAACCTCTAGACTTGATGCGCAGATATGCTTGCTTGAGCTGCCTGCAGTGCATCCCCGACATGTATGAGCAGTTCGCGCAGGTGAAGAGGATCATGCAAGATCAGTTCCGAAACTACAGTTCCGCCAAGATCATCGCCTGAGTGTCCGTTTGCGTTTGTCTTCTGATTGACGCAGCTGCCTGAAGGGAAACGCCCAAACCCTGCGATGCGAAAGACATTCTGTCTAGATTTTCGGATTGAGAGAGCGTATTCTTACTTTGCCTCTCGGGAACTTGCACCAAAAGATTGTTGAAGGGGGCAGCTGCGCCCTGCACTTTGCCAGAGCGGAAAAGCCGTTCAGATGCCCCAGTGCGATGGTGAATGGAGGTGTGGTCCGTCAGAGTGCACAGGCTTGGTTGAGCATAGCGAAACCTGATGTGCAGGATGTACGGCAGCGCATACCTGCCTGTGCAGCAAAAGCTCTCAATCTTGGCGTTGGCTGCGTTGTTCGGCATGGTGTCTGAAGCACTCATTCAGTCCTAGGAGACCAGGAGAGGGGCCGGCGGGGGGGGGAGCGTTTGGCTACTGTCGATTGGGTTTCGCACCATTGCCCTCGTAGCAGCGTAGCTCGATGCTTGAGCTGCCCTGGCCAATAACCCTGAATGATCCTGAATGTGTACGTATTTCTTTAAGTGGGAAAGTCGAGGCGCCGTCCGGATCGCGCCGCGCTGACAGTCGGCGCCGGCGGTCTGCAGGTAGTGGCACTGGTGGTGATAGAACGTCCCTTGGCCGGCTATCGGCCTCACTTCTTCTTCTTCTTCTTTGACGACCGCCCTGTTCAAGGGAGCTTTCTGTTGTTCCTGTGGTCTTCGATTCTTCGAGTTCGAGGATCATGGTCCAAACCTCATCCCTGCATTCGGTTAGTAAGCCGGACCTCTGGTTTGTGCCTGACAATGCCAAGCCGACGGTCCGTTGAGGGCTGCATGTGCTGCAAGGTGTTGATCTGCCTGGGGTGTTCTAGCTAGCAGCTAGCTATCTTGCAACGACTATGAAATGAGCAGTAGTCCTACGCCCTGCCAGAACTGCATCGTCTGGTTCTGCTGTTGTCGCAAGCTTTGCGGCATCTTCAAAAACGACGCACGCACTGCCTTTCAAGTTGTTCCGCGTTGCAAAGTTGAGAGAGCCGCTTCAGTTTGCACCGTGGACAATACCGACAGAACCGTGAACTAGAGGACAAGTGATGCAGGACTCAGAGAGCAGCCGAGGCCATTGGAAGTGGCTCCGCACCAAGTTGTGGCTTGGCCTTGAGTTGAATGTACCTTGTACGGGTTCTAGGATTTTGGGTCGGGGCTTCAGGACTAATTTGCTTTTTGCGTTGTGCGAGGCTTGTGGTGCCTGACCCATAGCACTTATCGGAAGGTTTCAAGGGTGGAAGGTCGAGCGCATGTGAAAACAACAGGTGTCTGAGTTAGGGCTGGCATACTGGAATGAGCTTGTAGATGGTCAACAAACCAAGGACATTCGAGACTTGGCAGCATGCAGACTCACCCGGAGCGTGTGCCAGGCAGCCTTAGGCTTCAGGCAATGAACTTGTCTCAAGCTTCTCGTTGAAAGCACGTCCGGAACACCTTATGAACCCAAGAAAACAAAGCGGACACTCTCCGTACACCTCGGGTGGGCAGCTGCGATGTGGCTGAGATGCCAAAATGTATTTGCAGACGAGCAGGCAGACGCTTTTGAGAATCAGAGGCGCTCAGCCTTGGTGTTCTGGTTTGTCACTTAAGTTCTCCTATTGAAGCATGTTCCTATCAACACACAAGGACGAGGACATGTAGGAACTGTAGCCATTGTGCCTATTGTGCCATCGAGCGCCTCAGCTCTGAGCCAACAGCTCTCAGGAGACGACTCGGCGCGTGTTCACGTTTCCGAGCTAACATTGCGGAATCCTGGGGATCGGGAGACTACGGCAGAGATCTCTTTGAGGCGCCCCGGTGTGACTCAAGCTTCAAGCCTGAACCGAAAAATGGAGGTCACTCCCTGCATGGCAATGTGTTTGTCAAAGCGGATAATGGTATTCATCAGGGTTCAGAGGTTGTACACGTGATCGCAGCTTCACCGCCACAGACTGCCCCGTTTGGACAGGTGCAGGACAGTACAGCATGTTGGGCTGATATAGAGGCTTTTCATTAAGGTTCTTGGATGCTCTTCAAAACCTGTGCGACCGTGAACCCAGAAGCCCAAAGCCAGGCACTCCGGCCGGCGCTTGGAAGCAAAAGCCAGGGGCGTGGTAGCCCATGCCTACCCAGAGGCTCGATGCGGCGAAAGTTGGGTCCAGTGCAAGTCCCGTGTGTAGTCCTGTTGAACAAGGGCCAGGGTGCCGTAATTAGATTTGAAGATGCGACTTCTGCATCGGCCGCGCCCTGACCATCAAGGAAAAGAAAGTGTTTGCTGCCTGCGTTCAGGGAACAGAGGAGCAAAGCCCACCGAATCCTTGCTACCGAACAGCCAGTTCATGCCCCAAGCCGGGCTACACAGACTCTGCACAACAACTATGCTTCAGTTAAATGCTTCAATTAGAGCTCGGGAGAACGCACTCAGACCTCGCAGGCTAATCGGCAGTGCGTCACTAGCAACATCTTCCATGTGGTTTGTGCATATTGGCCTGCTGCAACCTGGCAGGCCCACAAGCGCCGGCTCGATGCCGAGGCGTGTTGACAGCCCCCGCATTGCCCACATAAAGCTCATATCGACCCTTAAAACCTCGCTCTAGCCAACAGTCCCGTGCCTGCTTGCACGCGAACAGCACTCGTGGAGGTCAACTGCACTGGGACCAAGCTGCTTCTTCGACCACGAGTGCCTGAAATGATATCTTTCGCGCTTGTAATTAGAGGTGTGTTTGGGTGCAATGTCCAGTGCTTTTTGTAAACGCCCCAAGCATTGGAGCATTATCTTGAAGAGCTTAGAACCTAGTTCGGTGGGGTCCCGACAGTCCCTCACACAAAGAGTATGGCAGAGCGACCTACAAACCTACAGACGCGTAAAGGACTCAGGAAGCCTAAAAGGCTTCGGTTCGGTTTCCCCAAAGATTCATGCACTCTGACAGCTATACTGCTACTGGCTCGGCCGAGACCTGCCCAGCGGCGAGGCAGCCCAAACCGGAGATCGCCGGTGGTTAGGATTCAAGACTTTGAGATGTTGGGGGATCCTGTTCGGATGCACCGTCCGCTCCCGGACACCTGTCGGCTATGGGGGTTTGGGGCAATATGCGCATGGTCGTTGGGGAGGGATTAGAGGCACTTGCCTTATGCTACCAGGAGACCCACGGCCCGAGGCCTCGGCGGATTTTCACTGTTCGGTGCGGCACAATCCACCAAAGGCAGCCGGCGGAACAAAATGCCTTAAACCACAGCTCAGGTGCACCACAGCTCCGTGCAGAGGTGGGAGTTGCTCAAAGACCTCCCCCCCCCCCCCCCCCCCCCTCCCAAACCAGGCTAAAGCGCTAAGGCCCTCGGCCCTCGCCACGCTCCTTGATCCCCTGAAATCCCAGGTCCCGTCGCCTTGCCAGGCGCCTAGAGGAGCGCGTGGAAGGCGTCCTTGGGTTTGGGGGGGGATCATAAATGGGGTTTTGCGATTTGTAGATGTTGAGGATGTTGACTCCGGGGCTTAGGTTTCAGGCTTCTGTCTTCTGGTGAGGGTTATGGGAGCTCGCGACATTTGACCCAGCACAGCTCTGTGGAGCAAAGTTGATGGGGAGTAGGGTTGGTAGTTTTGGTCGTTATCTTTGTGCGGTCCTTATGGTTTGTCTCGAGTACGGACTTCATTCATACGCTCCCAGTACAGCCGAGACATAGAGCTGCAGAATTGACCTCCAGCCCGAAACCCACATGTCATGGACTTTGCCGCCTTCCTGACAAGCGCTGTGAAAGCCCGCGCCCCCCATACAAGACTCAGACCATCTCGGACCCCCAACCCCAGAAACACCCTGAAAACCACGGTACGTACGTGTGTATCCTGCTTCCTGAGGGGCTCCCTCATAAGCCAGGTCTTGCAAACAGCTCGTGGCTGTTTCTCAGCCACCTGGGCCTCAGCATGGTCCAGCTGGATTGCACAAAAGACGCCGCGCTTGTGGCCAAGCAGCTCGAGAGCGACCGGGCTTGAACTGGCCTTTGCCTCTTCAAAGGGCTCGAGCTCTCTGCTTAGCTCAACTAGCTCAACTCCAGCATGTTTTTAGCGTCAACCTGGTGGACCATTTTTTGGCAATCATCCTGCAAGCTCCCCTGCAAAGTTCCCAGCCGTAGGTGAGCACGCCGGTGATCTCGAATTTGTCGAGCTTGACCAGCGGAACCTGTTTAAGATGGAGAGCTCGCAGATCCTTAAATCATGCTTCAGAATGTGTGTGTGTGTGTGACTTCAGGATGTGCGGGGTTGTTTGGTCTTCGCTCAGTGGTTCTCCTCGCCGGCGTCTCCGAAAGGTTTTAACCGCCCCAAGAAACCAAGCTCTGAAGACTAGTTTGTCGGGGTTTTGGGGGTGGTGTCCTGAGAATCCAAACGCCCCGCCCACCGTAATTTACACCGGTTCATGCTCTTGCCGACTGCTTCCTGCGTAGTGACACACGCGTAGCAATCGTGGTCGTAGTCGTTGTCGTGGTGGTAGCAGTGGTAGTAGTGGTAGTAAGTAGGAATAGTAGGAGTAGTGGTGATGGTGGTGGTGGTGACAAATCAGAGTCCAAAAAAACACGTGTTCGAACTACCATGATTCAAAAGCAAACAGACAACACAGAGAGACACAGAGAGACACAGAGAGAGACACAGAGAGAGACACAGAGAGAGACAAAGAGAGAGACAAAGAGACACAAAGAGACACAACGAGACACGGACACTCACGGAATCACCTCGCTGTTGGAAATTTGAGCCACCCCAAGCCTTCGACATATGCCACGCCCGCCCAGTGCTTCACACGGCAGGCTCCAAATACACTTGTTCGGGACCAAAGAAGAATCAAGTCCAGATGTATATCCACAAGGAATTTCGCAAGAAACTTCGCAGCCCCTGTCATGAAGAGCTCAGGATTCAAGACCCGCACTGGTCAAGGCAATGGGGCTTCCGCCGGAGCGGTTTCGAATCCGCCTGGGGCCGCCTCGAGTCGCTGTACCTTTTCCTGCGAACTGGGGGACTTGAGTAAGGGTTCGTGAATCTGTGAATCTCCATTTCGCACAGCAAGTGCTTTTGGAGTCCATGGTCTATGCCGAACCAAGGCAAGTCGACCCAGTGCCGGTCATCGTTGCCGTGCTAGATACGGGGATCCAGCTCAATCACGAGGATTGCGGAGATTCAGCGTCCAGCCCCTATTACCCCCCCTACTCAAATCTACAGAATCTTCGTACTGTACATGATCACAGTCTGCAACTTGCAGAAGGCCTGATCGACGCTCTCAATTTGTTTTAAGATCCAGCCCGGAGGACCTACAGGGTCGCCTGTGGCAGAACGAGGGCGAGATTCCAAACAACGGCATCGACGACGATGGCAACGGTCTCGTGGACGACGTGCATGGCTACGACTTCGCCGATGAGGACGGCGACCCGTCAGATGACGATGGCCATGGAACGCACTGCGCAGGACGGCCTTGCTGCCTGAAGCCATCGCTTTGCCAAGGCAAGTTTTGTGTCTTGTTCAGCGCCGTGCACCCTTCAAGGCGTCATTGCTGCCGTCCGGAATGCTGTCGGCGTGGTGGGCGCTGCCGGTGGCAATCCTGCCATACGCATCATGGCCCTGCGGTGCCCCAGGTTGCAACAACCGGGTTGGCTTTCAGACTGCACGTTCCGTGTGGGATCTATTACGTCGTTCATCGTACGGACCCAACCTGAGAGAGTTGTTATCAGGGCTCGCGGAGCTGCCTATGGCAAGCTCCAAATTAAACAGGCCCGAAGCCTAAATCCCCTACAGGAATCTTTCGAAAGCCAAGATCCACAAACGACTTTAGGTTCCTGAGCCGTGATGGGGGCCGGACGAGCGATGCTGTCCTGGCGCTGAGCCTCGGTTCTACCTCCTCCATTACCCTGCGGCCTTCAACCCAAGAACACGCCATTGCTCAGTTCCGAAACTGTTCGGGCCAGTGTTCCATTGCTTCCAACACGGTGCGGAAGGTTGATTTAGGTGAGTCTATGCGTTCGTCCTGTGGTATGGCACTCGGTTGGGCTTAGAATCTGTTGGCTTTATCGTATAGGTTCCAGAAAGGAATTTCGTCGATCAACATGTGCAGCTTAGGACTGCACCGCCTGGCCCGACCGTAAAAGTTAGACGTGTATTGACGAAGTCTATGGTGAAAGTTGGCTGGTTTGCAGAGGTGGACTGGAGGCTGTAGTCTTAAATCCGTGTCCTGCATGGGTTAGGCTTAACGTGCATTCGAGCCTGCAGCAGAAATTATTGTGGGGGGGGGGGGGGGAACTGCTGAACTCAACAATGACAATCCCAAAAACCTGCCGAACCTCGCCCTGGTCTCCAAGGAATTACGCGATTTCCATGGGCGCCACCATCTCCTCCAACAGCTGGGGACGGGACTCCCAGCAGTACCCGGCATTCGGCTTCCGGGATTAGGTAATTAGGTTGTTCAACAAGTTCAAGCAGACACGCAAGTACTCACGCATGGGTTGCTTTCATAACCTTCTGCCACTAAATGTTCAAAGCCGAGAGAGAGAACGCCAAAGCGTGTTTTCATATTGGTGTCTTGCAACCAGGAAGTTTTCCAGTTCGGTGAGTGTGCAGGCCTGCTTGTGTGAAGCTGCAGCCTTGCGATGTTGGTTTTGCTTTCTCCTGTGTCCCGAACGCCTGAGAACCCCCGATGTCCTCCAACAAACTCATTGGTGCAGAAGATTCACATCATTCCAGGTACTTCTCCCTGACCCATGTCCCACTCTGGAATGTGGGGTAGACTGAGCCTATGGCATTGGTGTTGATGGGTGCCATCGGCTGGCGCAGTTTCTCAACTTTCCACTGCCGCAGGTTCACAGAATTGTCGCAACAGAGCTTCTTCCAGGAATGTCCCCACGAAGACGCTTCGCTTAAGACCCACGCCTTGCATCTTAAGGTGGCAACTCCCACAGCCTTGCGCTACAGGCGGCGGTTCAGAGTGCGAAGGATGCCAAAGGGATGTGCGCAGACTTTTGCCCAACGAGTCTCCCAACACTCCAAGCCCTCCAATTGGCATGCAGATTGAAGTCACCTGCTTGCAAGGGCACGGAAGCACGTACGCTACGTAAAGTAAATCCTGCAGCACTTGGGCACTATTGATCGCAGGAATCGGGTCACCTATTTGTGGCTGCGGCGGGGAATTTGGGGAGAAGCTGCCCGGCCGAGAGCTCTAGTCGCTTGCATCTGCCATCATGCTTGACCTTTGAGATTGTGGAATTCATTGTGGAATCCTAGGTAACGACCTTATCCCGACCTACCCCTGCAACTACGAACCTGCCCTCTGTGTGGCTGCGACGACACCCACGGACCAACTGGCCGATTACAGCAACTATGGAGTGGGCTCGGTGCAGATCGCGGCCCCAGGCGGGAAGCCTTCGAAAGATTTCCAGGTACTGCATCGGGAGCAGGGTCCAGCTATGGAAGCTGTGGGATTGCATACGCATTACAACACATTAAGTTATTAAGGTTTGATACTTTCGACCCGGAATCCCGAAATGTCCCATGGAAGAGGCACCGATATTTTCAGCACGCACCTCGGATCTGCAAGCTACATGTCCCTCAGCGGCACCTCCATGGCTACGCCCCTTGTTGCTGGAGCCACCGCCCTGGTCTGGAGTTGGATGGGCCAAAGTTTCGTCAACGACCTGGACGCTGGGAGTCACTGGAAAATAGGACATGATAGGACATGTAGTTGGAGCTGAGACTGTGTAGATTGAATGACCTTGGCAGCCCCACTCCTCACGAATCGTCAACGTGAAGTTACCTTCGGAGCCAAGGACGATCTGGAGTCCATCGTCCTTGAGTCTGCAGAGCCTCGGCATGCACTTTGCCGGTTGCTCCCCTTCTCTGAGTCCTCCAAAAGAGCGGCCAAACCAATCCAACAATCCAACCCATCCCCAGGAGCGGGTGCCATGGCTGGACGGCTTTGTGTCCTCAGGGCTCCTGGACGTGGGGGCCATGGTCTCCAAAGCCGAGTCAAGGAATTGGATCCGGCTGCAGGAGAGGGCTGCAATGGGCTCAGGGGGCTTACGTGGGGAGAGTTGGACTCCAGGACCCTGCAGACGGCTGGAGAGATCCGACAGGGACATCAGCTCGGGTCCATATACCTGCCAACAGCGCCGTGCCCTTGGGGGTGGCCCAGCTTCCCTCAGTCAGCAGCCTTTATTCTGTGTTTCAGGCTTCCGGCTTTCGGGCTTCGAGGAAACGGCTTTGTCAATCAGGGGTTGCGAAGCTGCTGGGTCGTGAAGATGTGCAGAACATCACTGAGGTGGAGATTGGCCATGAGTTCCTGGGAGTTGGAGTCTACCAGGCCCACGTTCGGAGTTGAGGTGTGTAACACTCTAACTCTCTGTAACTTTGTGTTTGTCGAGTGGAGTCTAAACACCCAAAAGAGCGATGGTTTCTTAAATCGTTAGAAAGACTAGACATGATCTCCAAAGAGTTGCGTTTTTTGAACTTGATGAGCGTAGGTGGCCGACGATTTTTTTGAAAGCTTTGCTGCAATGGCGTGCACGCAGCCCCGGCTTCTTAAGGCTTATGCAATACAAAGTTCTGGTTGAGTTGAGCCAGGCCGAGATCAAAATCGACTGGGGGGAGGGCAAGAAGGGCTGCGATGAGACGGTGCCGGTGCAGTATGAACCCTGCCTGGGTTGGCCTTACCATTGTTTGATTCACCTCGAGCTTCGGGTGGAAGAGCGGGGTTTAACACCATGGGTTCCGTGTTTGTGAGGAGCGTAGGGTGCCTGACATGGCTAGGGCCTGTGCATGGCGGAGCCTGCAAGGAGATACTTGGGACGCCGTACCTGCCTGCAACCATCTTTGCCGGCACGCTTCACTTCGGGACTGTCCCTGTCGGAGGAGAGGGCCGACGCACAGTGCCCTGGAGATGCACTGGTGGTCCACGTTCGCCTACATTCAGATTCCACAGCTCACCCTCATAATGTCATCGCTGATTTGAGGGAGACTCTTGAAACTTTAGTCTCTGCAAGGGCCCTATGAATGGCGCTTGCAGACCTTGGTTTATGAACCCACATGCCCTTCAGGTGAGGATTTGGAACTTTGGCAACGGTACCGCCCGAGCACAAGTCCTGCCCCTCACGGTGCCTTTCGCTGGGCCCAGTGTCGAGGCAAGGAGAGTCTTAAGGCATACTCGGCCGTTCTGGCTTCTTGCCGGTCACCCTGAAGAGTGCGACATCCGAAAGCTTTTTCCAGTCCCCAGCAGAACCTTTCACCAATTCGTGGAACCCTGGATGAGACCTTGTAGTCTGCTGGCAGCCCTGCCGTTTGCAGCAGGTGTCTGTTGAGCCTCACCAGTCGGCAGACGTCGTCATCTCTTGCCGCCCTCGAAGCACGGGTTCCTACACCGGCACAGCGGCTTGGACCCACACTCAGAAAAATCAGGCATATGATTTCAGGGTTTACAGGGTGGGGTGTGGATGGGTGGTGTTCTAAGAGAGGCCCGTAGGACAAAGAGCGCAAAAAGCGCTGCAGCAACATCTGACTCCGCAGCAACACTGTATAACTTGAGAGCATGTGAGAGCGCCCCAGTCTCGGCAGGTGGAGTTCAAAACGAACTCCGGTCTTTCTGCGCTTCTGGGCTCGCAGCGTACGGGGTGCGATTCACACGGTTTGGGCATGTGAACTTTTCCGGTTTGTGATTGATTTCGGAACTTTGTGCCGAAAAGGTTCTGGATTTCAGACAGATCTGTTGTGGAAATCGGAGCTGCGCAATGCTTGTGAAGTGTGAACGTGTAATTACGTGAGCTGCCTTGTCGCGGCGTCGCGTGCCATGCGGCAATTAGCTGCGCCGATGGGCTGAGCACGTAGCTGCCGAGCATAGGGTACCCGGTTACTGCCTACAAGCAATATTCGATAGGATTTTCAGGAGTCCACAGTTCTTTCTTCAGCAGTTTTTCATGAAGCGGCGCTTTGGTGCTGCTTGCGTGGCATGTTCGGCCCGAGCCGCCCGAGCCTGGCAGATCTGGTCCACGTGGAAACCCTAACTGGGGAAGACCCCGTGAACCATTCGCATCTTGGGAAAACAGCCGAATCTAAAAAACTAAAAACCAGAACCAACAGTTTGCGGGCGCGCTGTTGAACCGAGGTTCGATGCTGTGGCGGTGGATGCACTTGAGCGTGGGCAAGGCTTTACCATGCCGCCGCCGGGCTTGGCTGGTGGTGTTGTTCGTATCTGATTGTGTTGTTGGCATATGTTTGTATATGCTTATGATGTATGTTGGGACGCATGGTCACAGCGGGAAACTGGCGAGCTGTCTGGGGGGCCACATTCTGGGATCATTTAGTTGCCATGCAGCCGGATTGCACATCTTTGGCTCTCAAGATCACAGCATGTCTGGCGGCTGTTTGAGACTTTAGCGTTACCAGTAGCTGTTGCTGGCGTGCATGTCAGGAAAAAACGAATTGCTGTATCTGACTCCCGGGAATAAGGCTCGACTGCGAAGGAAGCGAGGCTCCGCACATGGAGCTCGATGCCTTCAGTGGGGTTGTGCTACTACGCCTCTTGGCCGGCAGTGGATTGAGCCCAAATCCCGCAACCTTATGCAGAAGTCCAGCGCAGTGGAGTGGTCGGCTTGATGCTGAAGTGTTTGTTAGTTGGCATCTTCAGTCGATGCTTGACTGAGCTGAGCTGCAGTGGTTCCGGATAATTCTGGTTGAGCCGAATATCCTGTGGAGTTGAATACGCGCTCTCGCACGCACGTGTCTGTGATGAGGGCCCCGATCAATAACAAGAGGGTGCCAAAGCCAGGCATATTTCCCGCCACATGGCCTAGACTCCAGATGTTGCAAAACCAACTGCCCCGATGATTGCGCGCATTTGACGTGGCAGGAGGGGAGCATCATGAGCATCAGCTGGGGATATTTCCGGCCACATGGCCTGCCTAGACTCCAGATGTTGCAAAACCAACTGCCCCGGTGATTGCGCGCATTTGACGAGGCAGGAGGGGAGCATCACGAGCATCAGCTGGGGATATTTCCGGCCACATGGCCCCCCTAGACTCCAGATGTTGCAAAACCAACTGCCCAATGATTGCGCGCATTTGGCGAGGCAGGAGGGGAGCATCACGAGCATCAGCTGGGTACTAGACTCCAGATGTTGCAAAAGCAAATGTTCCAGTGATTGCGAGAATTTGACGAGAATTTGACGAGGCAGGAGGGCAGCATCATGAGCATCAGCTGGGTATATTTCCGGCCACATGGCCCCCTTGGACTCCAGATGTTGCGAAACCAACTGCCCCTGTGATTGCGCGCATTTGACGAGGCAGGAGGGGAGCATCATGAGCATCAGCTGGGTATGTTTCCGGCCACATGGGCCCCCTGGCCCTAGACTCCAGATGTTGCAAGACCAACTGCCCCAGTCATTGCGCGCACTTGACGAGGCAGGAGGGGAGCATCATGAGCATCAGCTGGGTCATTTTCCGGCCACATGGCCCCCCTAGACTCCAGATGTTGCAATATCAACTGCCCCAGTGATTGCGCGCTCTTGACGAGGCAGGAGGGGAGCATCATGAGCATCAGCTGAGTATATTTCCGGCCACATGGCCCCGCTAGACTCCAGATGTTGCAAAACCAGCTGCCCCAGTGATTGCGCGCATTTGACGAGGCAGGAGGGGAGCATCATAAGCATCAGCTGGGTACATTTCCGGCCACATGGCCCCCCTAGACTCCAGAACTAACTGCCCCAGTGATTGCGCCCATTTGACGAGGCAGGAGGGGAGCATCATGAGCATCAGCTGGGTATATTTCCGGCCACATGGCCCCGCTAGACTCCAGATGTTGCAAAACCAGCTGCCCCAGTGATTGCGCGCATTTGACGAGGCAGGAGGGGAGCATCATAAGCATCAGCTGGGTACATTTCCGGCCACATGGCCCCCCTAGACTCCAGAACTAACTGCCCCAGTGATTGCGCCCATTTGACGAGGCAGGAGGGGAGCATCATGAGCATCAGCTGGGTATATTTCCGGCCACATGGCCCCGCTAGACTCCAGATGTTGCAAAACCAGCTGCCCCAGTGATTGCGCGCATTTGACGAGGCAGGAGGGGAGCATCATGAGCATCAGCTGGGTATATTTCCGGCCACATGGCGTTTGTCGAGGCAGGAGGGGAGCATCATGAGCATCAGTTGGGTATACTTCCGGCCACATGGCCCACCTAGACTCCAGATGTTGCAAAACCAACTGCCCCAGTGATTGTGCGCATTTGACGAGGCAGGAGGGGAGCATCATGAGCATCGGCTGGTTCTACTTCCGGCCACATGGCCCCCCTAGACCCCAGATGTTGCAAAACCAACTGCCCCTGCGATTGCGCGCATTTGACAAGGCGTGGGTATATTGCCGGCCACATGGAGGCCCTAGACTCCAGATGTTGCAAACCCAACTGCCCAGGAATTGCGCGCATTTGACAAGGCAGGAGGGGAGCATCATGAGCATCAGCTGGGTATATTTCTGGCCATATGGCCCACATAGACTCCAGCTGTTGGAAAACCAACTGCCCCTGTGATGATTGCGCGCATTTGACAAGGCAGGAGGGGAGCATCATGAGCATCAGCGGGGTAGATTTCTGGCCACATGGCCCCCCTAGACTCCAGATGTTGCAAAACCAACTGCCCCTGTGATTGCGCGCATTTGACAAGGCAGGAGGGGAGCATCACAGGATCAGCTGGGTATATTTCTGGCCACATGGCCCCCCTAGACTCCAAGATGTTGCAAAACCGACTGCCCCTGTGATTGCGCGCGTGTGACAAGGCAGGAGGGGAGCATCATGAGCATCAGCTGGGTATATTTCTGGCCACATGGCCCCCCTAGACTCCAGATGTTGCAAAACCAACTGCCCCTGTGATTGCGCGCGTTTGACAAGGCAGGAGGGGAGCATCATGAGCATCAGCTGGGTATATTTCTGGCCACATGGCCCCCCTAGACTCCAGATGTTGCAAAACCAACTGCCCCTGTGATTGCGCGCATTTGACGAGGCAGGAGGGGAGCATCATGAGCATCAGCTGGGTATATTTCTGGCCACATGGCCCCCCTAGACTCCAGATGTTGCAAAACCAACTGCCCCTGTGATTGCGCGCATTTGACAAGGCAGGAGGGGAGCATCATGAGCATCAGCTGGGTATATTTCTTGCCACATGGCCCCCCTAGACTCCAGATGTTGCAAAACCAACTGCCCCTGTGATTGCGCGCATTTGACAAGGCAGGAGGGGAGCATCATGAGCATCAGCTGGGTATATTTCTGGCCACATGGCCCCCCTAGACTCCAGATGTTGCAAAACCAACTGCCCCTGTGATTGCGCGTATTTGACAAGGCAGGAGGGGAGCATCATGAGCATCAGCTGGGTATATTTCTGGCCACATGGCCCCCCTAGACTCCAGATGTTGCAAAACCAACTGCCCCTGTGATTGCGCGCGTTTGACAAGGCAGGAGGGGAGCATCATGAGCATCAACTGGGTATATTTCTGGCCACATGGCCCCCCTAGACTCCAGATGTTGCAAAACCAACTGCCCCTGTGATTGCGCGCATTTGACAAGGCAGGAGGGGAGCATCATGAGCATCAGCTGGGTATATTTCTGGCCACATGGCCCCCCTAGACTCCAGATGTTGCAAAACCAACTGCCCCTGTGATTGCGCGCATTTGACAAGGCAGGAGGGGAGCATCATGAGCATCAGCTGGGTATATTTCTGGCCACATGGCCCCCCTAGACTCCAGATGCCATTTGACAAGGCAGGAGGGGAGCATCAGAGCATCAGCTGGGTATATTTCTGGCCACATGGCCCCCCTAGACTCCAGATGTTGCAAAACCAACTGCCCCTGTGATTGCGCGCATTTGACAAGGCAGGAGGGGAGCATCATGAGCATCAGCTGGGTATATTTCTGGCCACATGGCCCCCCTAGACTCCAGATGTTGCAAAACCAACTGCCCCTGTGATTGCGCGCATTTGACAAGGCAGGAGGGGAGCATCATGAGCATCAGCTGGGTATATTTCTGGCCACATGGCCCCCCTAGACTGCAGATGTTGCAAAACCAACTGCCCCTGTGATTGCGCGCATTTGACAAGGCAGGAGGGGAGCATCATGAGCATCAGCTGGGTATATTTCTGGCCACATGGCCCCCCTAGACTCCAGATGTTGCAAAACCAACTGCCCCTGTGATTGCGCGCATTTGACAAGGCCGGAGGGGAGCATCATAAGCATCAGCTGGGTATATTTCTGGCCACATGGCCCCCCTAGACTCCAGATGTTGCAAAACCAACTGCCCCTGTGATTGCGCGCATTTGACAAGGCAGGAGGGGAGCATCATGAGCATCAGCTGGGTATATTTCTGGCCACATGGCCCCCCTAGACTCCAGATGTTGCAAAACCAACTGCCCCTGTGATTGCGCGCATTTGACAAGGCAGGAGGGGAGCATCATGAGCATCAGCTGGGTACATTTCTGGCATGGCCCCCCTAGACTCCAGATGTTGCAAAACCAACTGCCCCTGTGATTGCGCGCATTTGACAAGGCAGGAGGGGAGCATCACAGGATCAGCTGGGTTTATTTCTGGCCACATGGCCCCCCTAGACTCCAGATGTTGCAAAACCAACTGCCCCTGTGATTGCGCGCATTTGACAAGGCAGGAGGGGAGCATCATGAGCATCAGCTGGGTATATTTCTGGCCACATGGCCCCCTAGACTCCAGATGTTGCAAAACCAACTGCCCCTGTGCTTGCGCGCATTTGAAAAGGCAGGAGGGGAGCATCATGAGCATCAGCTGGGTATATTTCTGGCCACATGGCCCCCCTAGACTCCAGATAAACCAACTGCCCCTGTGATTGCGCGCAATTGACAAGGCAGGAGGGGAGCATCATGAGCATCAGCTGGGTATATTTCTGGTCACATGGCCCCCCAAGCCTCCAGATGTTGCAAAACCAACTGCCCCTGTGATTGCGCGCATTTGACAAGGCAGGAGGGGCGCATCATGAGTATCAGCTGGGTATATTTCTGGCCACATGGCCCCTCTAGACTCCAGATGTTGCAAAACCAACTGCCCCTGTGATTGCACGCATTTGACAAGGCAGGAGGGGAGCATCATGAGTATCAGCTGTGGCCCCCCTAGACTCCAGATGTTGCAAAACCAACTGCCCCTGTGATTGCGCGCATTTGACAAGGCAGGAGGGGAGCATCATGAGCATCAGCTGGGTATACTTCTGGCCACATGGCCCCCCTAGACTCCAGATGTTGCAAAACCAACTGCCCCTGTGATTGCGCGCATTTGACAAGGCAGGAGGGGAGCATCATGAGCATCAGCTGGGTATATTTCTGGCCACATGGCCCCTCTAGACTCCAGATGTTGCAAAACCAACTGCCCCTGTGATTGCGCGCATTTGACAAGGCAGGAGGGGAGCATCATGAGCATGAGCTGGGTATATTTCTGGCCACATGGCCCCCCTAGACTCCAGATGTTGCAAAACCAACTGCCCCTGTGATTGCCCGCATTTGACAAGGCAGGAGGGGAGCATCATGAGCATCAGCTGGGGGACATGGCCCCTCGAGACTCCAGATCCCATCAGCTGGGTATATTATGGCACATGGCACACCTAGACTCCAGATGGTTGCAAAAAACGACTTGTCACCTGTGATTGCGCGCATTTGACAAGTGCAGGAGGGGAGCATCATGAGCATCAGCTGGGTATATTTCTGGCCACATGGCCCCCCTAGACTCCAGATGTTGCAAAACCAACTGCCCCTGTGATTGCGCGCATTTGACAAGGCAGGAGGGGAGCATCATGAGCTCAGCTGGGTATATTTCTGGCCACATGGCCCCCCTAGACTCCAGATGTTGCAAAACCAACTGCCCCTGTGATTGCGCGCATTTGACAAGGCAGGAGGGGAGCTCCATGAGCATCAGCTGGGTACATTTCTGGCCACATGGCCCCCCTAGACTCCAGATGTTGCAAAACCAACTGCCCCTGTGATTGCGCGCATTTGACAAGGCAGGAGGGGAGCATCATGAGCATCAGCTGGCCACATGGCCCCCCTAGACTCCAGATGTTGCGCATTTGACAAGGCAGGAGGGGAGCATCATAGCATCAGCTGGGTATATTTCTGGCCACATGGCCCCCCTAGACTCCAGATGTTGCAAAACCAACTGCCCCTGTGATTGCGCGCATTTGACAAGGCAGGAGGGGAGCATCATGAGCATCAGCTGGGTATATTTCTGGCCACATGGCCCCCCTAGACTCCAGATGTTGCAAAACCAACTGCCCCTGTGCTTGCGCGCATTTGACAAGGCAGGAGGGGAGCATCATGAGCATCAGCTGGGTATATTTCTGGCCACATGGCCCCCCTGGACTCCAGATGTTGCAAAACCAACTGCCCCTGTGATTGCGCGCATTTGACAAGGCAGGAGGGGAGCATCATGAGCATCAGCTGGGTATATTTCTGGCCACATGGCCCCCCTAGACTGCAGATGTTGCAAAACCAACTGCCCCTGTGATTGCGCGCATTTGACAAGGCAGGAGGGGAGCATCATGAGCATCAGCTGGGTATATTTCTGGCCACATGGCCCCCCTAGACTCCAGATGTTGCAAAACCAACTGCCCCTGTGATTGCGCGCATTTGACAAGGCCGGAGGGGAGCATCATAAGCATCAGCTGGGTATATTTCTGGCCACATGGCCCCCCTAGACTCCAGATGTTGCAAAACCAACTGCCCCTGTGATTGCGCGCATTTGACAAGGCAGGAGGGGAGCATCATGAGCATCAGCTGGGTATATTTCTGGCCACATGGCCCCCCTAGACTCCAGATGTTGCAAAACCAACTGCCCCTGTGATTGCGCGCATTTGACAAGGCAGGAGGGGAGCATCATGAGCATCAGCTGGGTATATTTCTGGCCACATGGCCCCCCTAGACTCCAGATGTTGCAAAACCAACTGCCCCTGTGATTGCGCGTATTTGACAAGGCAGGAGGGGAGCATCATGAGCATCAGCTGGGTATATTTCTGGCCACATGGCCCCCCTAGACTCCAGATGTTGCAAAACCAACTGCCCCTGTGATTGCGCGCGTTTGACAAGGCAGGAGGGGAGCATCATGAGCATCAACTGGGTATATTTCTGGCCACATGGCCCCCCTAGACTCCAGATGTTGCAAAACCAACTGCCCCTGTGATTGCGCGCATTTGACAAGGCAGGAGGGGAGCATCATGAGCATCAGCTGGGTATATTTTTCACATGGCCCCCCAAGACTCCAGATGTTGCAAAACCAACTGCCCCTGTGATTGCGCGCATTTGACAAGGCAGGAGGGGAGCATCATGAGCATCAGCTGGGTATATTTCTGGCCACATGGCCCCTCTAGACTCCAGATGTTGCAAAACCAACTGCCCCTGTGATTGCACGCATTTGACAAGGCAGGAGGGGAGCATCATGAGCATCAGCTGTGGCCCCCCTAGACTCCAGATGTTGCAAAACCAACTGCCCCTGTGATTGCGCGCATTTGACAAGGCAGGAGGGGAGCATCATGAGCATCAGCTGGGTATATTTCTGGCCACATGGCCCCCCTAGACTCCAGATGTTGCAAAACCAACTGCCCCTGTGATTGCGCGCATTTGACAAGGCAGGAGGGGAGCATCATGAGCATCAGCTGGGTATATTTCTGGCCACATGGCCCCCCTAGACTCCAGATGTTGCAAAACCAACTGCCCCTGTGATTGCGCGCATTTGACAAGGCAGGAGGGGAGCATCATGAGCATCAGCTGGGTATATTTCTGGCCACATGGCCCCCCTAGACTCCAGATGTTGCAAAACCAACTGCCCCTGTGATTGCGCGCATTTGACAAGGCAGGAGGGGAGCATCATGAGCATCAGCTGGGTATATTTCTGGCCACATGGCCCCCCTAGACTCCAGATGTTGCAAAACCAACTGCCCCTGTGATTGCGCGCATTTGACAAGGCAGGAGGGGAGCATCATGAGCATCAGCTGGGTATATTTCTGGCCACATGGCCCCCCTAGACTCCAGATGTTGCAAAACCAACTGCCCCTGTGATTGCGCGCATTTGACAAGGCAGGAGGGGAGCATCATGAGCATCAGCTGGGTATATTTCTGGCCACATGGCCCCCCTAGACTCCAGATGTTGCAAAACCAACTGCCCCTGTGATTGCGCGCATTTGACAAGGCAGGAGGGGAGCATCCTGAGCATCAGCTGGCCACATGGCCCCCCTAGACTCCAGATGTTGCAAAACCAACTGCCCCTGTGATTGCGCGCATTTGACAAGGCAGGAGGGGAGCATCATAAGCATCAGCTGGGTTTATTTCTGGCCACATGGCCCCCCTAGACTCCAGATGTTGCAAAACCAACTGCCCCTGTGATTGCGCGCATTTGACAAGGCAGGAGGGGAGCATCATGAGCATCAGCTGGGTATATTTCTGGCCACATGGCCCCCCTAGACTCCAGATGTCGCAAAACCAACTGCCCCTGTGATTGCGCGCATTTGACAAGGCAGGAGGGGAGCATCATGAGCATCAGCTGGGTATATTTCTGGCCACATGGCCCCCCTAGACTCCAGATGTTGCAAAACCAACTGCCCCTGTGATTGCGCGCATTTGACAAGGCAGGAGGGGAGCATCATGAGCATCAGCTGGGTATATTTCTGGCCACATGGCCCCCCTAGACTCCAGATGTTGCAAAACCAACTGCCCCACGGCTCTCCTTGGGTACCATCAGAATGGCTACTCGCTGTGTTGGACCCTGAATGTTGGGACGTGGGTTGAGATTTCGTGTCGGACGGCCGTCTTCAGGCCCAAGAGAAAAGCACCCACATTCTCAACAATTTTCGGTCCGCCGATTAGTAGAACATCGTGGAGCACGGAAGAAAGAGCGAGAGAGAGAGAGAGAGAGTGAGAGAGAGAGAGAGAGAGAGCGAGACAGAGAGAGTTCTGAAGGACAGAGAGTGAGAGTTTGTTGGGAGCCTTTGACGTGTACACACCTTTTCACACAGCTCTACAACTCGGCGACGCGTGCCTTTCGGGGCGGTCTCCCGTCGGGGAGATGACACGCGGTGGAAGGAAGGAAGAAAGAGCGAGAGAGAGAGAGAGTGTGTCGTTTCTCACCAACAGACCTTCGGACTTCGCGTTGCCCTCGGGGCAGCTCCCTTTCGGGGGGGGTTAGCGTGTGAAGGGAGAGAGAGGGAGAGAGAGAGAGAGAGAGAGAGAGAATAGACAGAAAGAGAGAGAGAGTGTGGTCTCCTCCCCCCTGGGTCCCCAGAAAAGAAAGAGAGGGACCCTCAGTCCAAGTTTTCTATTTAGGACCGGGCGAGCTTCCATTCCATGTCTCGCCCAGCGTGCCTGCGGAGTGGGAGTCCGACATCCTGGACCCAGAGGCAAGGCCGAAACATCGCCTGCCTGCACACCTGTAAGCCCGTAAGCCTAGATCCAGGCCTTAGGCTCGGCTCAAGGCACGCAAGGCCAAGGATGTATGTGTGTGCAGATGTCGCGGTTTGGGAATTGGCGCTCTATGGCCGCATGCGCTCAAGACGGAGTCTAACAGGTCTGGGGCCTCATTGTTGAGGGTGTAGGGTTAAGACTTGAAAGCCCTGCTCGAGAGGTTTGCTCTGTTAGGGTCGAGTTCTTTTTGCTATTCTTTGTCTTGTTCGAGCTCCAAGTCGAAAGCAAGCCATTGTGCTGCATGTTATGCCTGTTATGCTGCTGTCAAACCGCGTGCAATCGCAAGCTGTGAGCTCGTTGCCTGCTGAGAGTGGTCATATATCTCTCGCAGGCTCCGGAGTGCAACATCACTGCAGTCTTGGCGGCAGCTTCTGCTGCAAACGAGCAAGGTGCTCCCAGCACCATTCCGGGCGAACGTCCCGCGGTTTTCAGCGGCGCATTGAAGGGTGGTGTCCTGCCATATGAGGGCACAATATCTGGATGAGTTTTTTGACTTTCCCAGTTAATTATAATCTTACCATATCTTACCCCAAGTCTTCGAGCCCAAGAACCAACAAACATATCAAACATCTCCAACCCTAAACCAGGGATTTGCCGCCAGGATGCCACCCTCATGATTCCTCCGTGGCGGGCAAGGTTGTGGTCGTTGCTCGCGGGGGCTGCACTTTTCAGCAGAAGGCTGAGATGATCCAGGCTGAGGGTCAGCCGATGAGGGTCAGTTGGGGGTTTCGGGGCTTCAAGGTATATATATATATATATATATTGTATTGGGATGTAGGCTTTGGTTTGGTTTGCAGTCTGAGGGTTGAAAGGGTTCCATTCACAGTTGCGTGTAAGTCTCCCGCTATCTCCCGCTACTGCCATCTGTGGCAGAACGATACTGTGTGAATCCGGTCGGGGTAGCTGTCAATCAATCCCACAGGCCAGTCCGCCAAACAAGATCACACGAAAGCACGGGTTTGCATGGTCTTGCGCTGCAGCGGGTCGTAGACTCTTAGACAGGGTTCAGGGAGTTGGGGATTGATGGCTTCAGGGTTTTCGTGCAGTTGCCACCTGATTCGCGCAGTGCCCAATCCGATTCGTAACTCCGCGCGATCGGCATGATCTGATTCATTTTGCTTTTGTCCAGCGCGATCCGACCCACGCGATCCGTAGGGCCACCTGTGATTGTGCGAGCATGTTAGGATGTCGCACACCAAGTTCCAAGTTCAGATCGATGAGCGCATGCTTTGCGTGGTTCGCACGGCAGCTTCGGCGCAAAGGGCGTGGTTGGAAGTTGCTGCTCGGGGGTTGCATGGCGCTTCGATGTCGCAAAGGTTGGCAACTCGAGTCCCGCTTCCGGCTCTCTTTCTCCCTCTCTCCCTCCCTCCCTCCCTCCTCCAAACACTGCAATGCGGTGGCCGCGAAAATCATTCAATGTGTATTCCTCACCTCTGGATGCCGTCCCAATATCCTTTCCGGACCTTTGTTGGTTATTTCTGTATTTTCTCAGGGTTGCGCCGTGCTATACACAACTCGTTCTGAATGCTCACCGAGCGTCCTGCAGCGACCAGGAACCCCACAGACATTAAACCCATTTAGGACCATGTCGCAGGAAGCGGGGGGAGTCGGAGCTCTCTTCTACGACACGGAGCCTTGAAGCACATGCGTGTGCGGGTGTTGTCGGCCTTACAGGCCATGTAAGGTGTGGGATCCTTCGTAGGTTCGGGGCCCTTGACTTGTGCGGACCTGCCGTTTCGAATGCAAGTTTCGGGTCCAGGTTCTTCAAGGCATGTGCTTTGCATTCCTGAGCCTTGAACTGCTTCCAAATCGAAAGTTCGAGGCCAGCAAAGCAGGCGGCCGAGCCAACAATGTGGGTGCGTAAGGGGATGCTGGTGGGACCAGTGGGATGCAGCGGCAGAGAGAAAAGGGGATGCTGGCCCATCGTGACCCTTCGCATGGGCTTTTGGTAGAGGGCGACTCTCCCCTTCCCCCCGCAGATGTCTGCGGGTTTGTAGCCCAGTTCTCGACGACCACACTGCGGATGATGGCCACAGCGGACGCCACAGCTGCACCGGCATTGCCAGCCTTTATGGTGTCTCGCACACAAGGCAGGAGTCTGAGAGTTTGGGTTGTTGGGGCGTGCAGTGGTTGGACACTCTTCGACATCAGAACGGGATAGTCTGCGGTTCACAGCTATAGACATATAAATAAATAAATAAGTAAATAAATATTGAAAAAACATATATGTATATACATATATACATATATACATTATCTTCATTTTTGTATTTATGTACTTATGTGAATACGTACATACATAATTTTTTCGAGTATGGCATCAAGGCCCTAGATATGCACCTGTTCGGACTTGACCTTTTACCAGACTGGCTTGCTTGAGAGATCAAGTCCCAAAGAACCTAAAGGGCCTAAGCTCAATGTCTCACATCCCCCCTCAAAAAACGCCCACGTTGCCTTGAGCGGTTAAAGGCTTGTCCTTGCGAGATCGTGCGCGGCGAGTGCCTCAGGAGATGGATCTCAGAGGCTTAGTGCATTCAAGGCTTCCGGACTCTAGGATTCGGCCGATTAGCTTATGCAGGTCCAGTGGTCCAGCGGTGAGTCCCACGTCAAGGATGTCGTGCACTGCTAAAGGATTTTCGCGGGCTCAAGGGTCCCCTGATGATTTTGTACACCGGGGCTCCTCCTATCCATCCCTTGTGTGCCGACTTCGACAAGGTCCGGCGAGGAGATGTTGGTAGCACTCATCCGGCGACCTTGCTGCACCTAGCAACCTACAGTGTGGGAGTTGCTGGTAAACCGTTCCGCGAGCCTGGCACGCACAGCTTGTCGCTTCTCTAGCAGTACAGTGCACACGTTGGTGAGCCAACCAACGATCTTCCGAGTTAGAAGCCCCGAAACCCTCTGAGCTTGAACAGTCCAAAGTACCCTTCAAAGCTTTGCGCTCGAGGCGTCCGGTGGTGCTCCACACGCATCTGCCTGAAATCGGTTCCCCAAGGGCGTCTGGCAGCGTAGGCTTCACGGAGGAATTGAAGCTTCGGACTTCGGGAAGCGAGAGAGATTCTGGGCAGTATGCTGCGTTTGGGACGCATTGAACAGCAGCAAGTGCTTCAGCGGTAACCGCCATTCCAGTCCTTCAGACTTCTGCCAGTTTCATGCATTCCAAGATCAGTTGAAGCCCGGCGGCAGGGATCCAGAACGTCGGGGGTGGCCCTCTGCATTGGAGAGTGGAGGTCAACATGCTGATTCTCGGCTGCTGAAGACTAAGCTTCCCTGGAAGGACTTTTTCACAGCAAGGCTTAGGCAAAGGATCCACTGCGCCGTCCAGGAATTTCGATGAGCATGGCTTCTATTCCGCGGTGTACACCGGCGCCACCAACAATAGCGGAGGTGGCGTGGGAAGATATGTCAATGTGGTCTGGAGGAACAGGATAGAGAACAGATGGGGCTTGATGGGCTGGAGATTTCTTCCTGTGTTGGGTTGTGGTGGATGCACTTGACGGGGCGTGTGATTTTGCGATGCTTATCATCATGTTAGTCGTGGAAAAGTGGACAGACCGGCTTAGATTGTTGCAGAGGATCGCTCTGGAGGCTTGCAGTTGTGCAATTCCGTTCTTTGATGCAGAAGCGGAACTAGTCACTATTCTTCTACTGGCATGTGCGGGTCAGCTGATGCCACACGGCTACGGAGATTGTGTGTTCTCAAGCCCCCAATTCCTCTTACTCAGCTGGCTGAAGCTGAATGGAGCCTGACATCTGTCAGTACCTCCAAAAACCCCAAAGCCTGGCATTCTTCCCATCCACGCGACGTGAGCACAAGTGCAAAACCCTGCAGCCCTCTGTGGCTGTTGCAGCTATACCAGACAAAGCTAAGGATCTAGGGTGAAAGATGTGTAGCAGCTATAGCAGTCCTGGCTTTCAGGCGCCGGCCTTGCGCCCCTGCCACCCGCGCCGGCCTTCGCATGGACGTCCAATGCAGTGCTTCAAGAAGTGCCGAGCTTCCAGGGAAAGGACTTTGGGGTGCCTGGTTGCTGGCTCCTCACCGTTTGGGTCAGGGGAGCCAATGTTTTTCTTCTCGCCGTCTCAGATAGAACGCCTCCATGAGCTTCCATGCCATTGTGTCATGAGGCTGTTTCTTTTTTCAATATTATCTTTCTGGCCGAAACCCCCCGCGAAGTCCGTTTGCACCCCCCACTTGTTGCGATGGCTGAGACTTGAGGGATGAGAATGTCTACGATCTACAACATCCCACTTCCCCCGACACTGATGAATAAAGAAAAGAAAGACAGAAGGAAAGAAAGAAAGAAAGAACGGAAGCCGCTTGGCCGTCGCGGCCGGGTTCCTCCTTCGGGGGGGCTCCAAAGCGTGGAGAAGAAGAAGAAGACGAAGAAGACGCAGAAGAAGAAGAAGAAGAAGAAGAAGAAGAAGAAGAAGAAGAGGAAGAAGAAGAAGAAGAAGAAGAAGAAGAAGAAGAAGAAGAAGAAGAAGAAGAAGAAGAAGAAGAAGAAGAAGAAGAAGAAGAGAGAGCGCGTTGAGGAATGGTTGCTAGTGTTCGAATCTTATCTACCACGGGAAAGGACAGGCGTTTCACACACCGACTGCTTGGGGGGGGGGGGGGGTTGTTCGCAGAGACACTGGACTTTGGTCGCGCCCCGCGCGTGGGGGCTTCGGGGCTCCTCAACGGCAGAAGAAGGAGAAGAAAAAGAGTAAGAAGAGGATGAGGAGGAGGAGGAGGAGGAGGAGGAGGAGGAGGAGGAGGAGGAGGAGGAGGAGGAGGAGGAGGAGAGAGCCAGCGCTGATTCGTGTGTCAGTCGTACCACTACACGTTGACCTGGACAGAGCAGCGTGCCATGGTGACGGGGGCCTCCTGCGCAGGGGTTTTTCTTCGCTGTGTAGAAGAAGAAGAAAGACGAAGAACGAGATAGAGAGATGCAGAGATGGCGGGATGGAGAGATGGAGAGATGGAGAGGTAGAGAGAGAGACTGAGGTTGCGTGAGGTGTGACAGCTATCCACGCAAAGGATAGCTAGAGAGTTACAGGGGTTTGCATGTTTGGCATCGTTTGACATCGGGTCGGTCAAGTTGTGCTTTCGGGAGCTTGGATGCTGCTTGGGACTTTCGTTGCGCAATTCCCAAGCAGTCATTGCGCAAGTTTCGCTCGCGTGGTGGAGGACATGGATGACAACGCCGCAGCCATGACCCTGCCGTTGAAGATGTCTTTCTACGGTGACCTGGCACAGGACGACTCATCGGCTTAACAAGCGACGACAGTGAGCAAACTGCGCCTGCCCAGTGGCTGCAGGGATGTGGGTCTGAAATGTCTGGTGGCAGTCATAGGTTTCTGTGCGATAAAGGCCTCTGTAAGGCTGCAAGTGTCATAGCGGCACCCCGACGCCTGGAGAAGGGCGTTGTCACAGCTACTGCTACTATACTACACTGTCCCCTGTGTGGTGTCGGCTACGCCCTGCAGGATGTGCAGCTGTCATCCAACGGCCTGATCGCAATCTCCCCAGACTCGACGACTTATGAGCCGGGCAGGGACTACTGGGGCTTCTTGGAGTTTAAAATGGTAGGCTGTCGCCATCTTTGTTTCCGTGTCCCTGGATGCCGCGGCCAGACCACCGACCCTAGAACACCTTTCCAAACCGAATCAAGACACTCAGAAACTCACAAGGCTACCTCCCCTCCGTCAGCAAGCCCAATGGAATTGTTGCAGCCTACTGGGACGACCTCTGGTGCCGGCCAGCCCGCGGCTGTCGGCTGCTCACCGGCCAGCACTTGGCGCATGCGCCCATCGTCTCGCGGCACTGCGGCACGGGAAACGCCTCCATCATCCAGTTTCTGGGCTTGCCAGGTGCTGTGTAGTTGGTCCCTTCAACAAGCACATAGGCGTACATAGATATGCTGTTCGGTGGAGGATGTTCCGGGTGAGTCCCCCGTTCCTCCCCCGAAACCTCCTTCCTTCCCTTTGCGCCACCAGGTTTTCGCAGTTTGAGCACCGCTACGACGCCAGTATTGTGGCCTCTGTGGAGGTGAAACTCTATGAAGACGGTTGCATCGAGCTGCAGTACCAACATTGGCCCTCGCACCTCAAGATGTTCTGGAAATGACTTGCGAGAATTAAGATATTTCAAGATGTTCAAAGTCTCTAAGTTCTAAGCATGTTTCTCTGCCTCAAGAACTCAACACTCCAGATCTCAGGCGCAGTAAGCGCTTGAATGCGAAGATGGGCGTCGAGTCCAGGAACGGGGCCAGCGGCGTGAATCACGTTGCGACGTTCCCTGTCCTCATTGGTTCTGGGTAGAAGGTGCAAGAAGCGATGAACATGAGTTTTTACATGCACTCGTGAGTCCTATTCTACAGCAAAGAGCCTGATTTGCCAGAAACCCTTGGAGGACTAGGAACCAAGGAGCCAATCCCACGAAGAAGCCACGAGAAAGTCACAAAAGAGCCGAGTCCGCTGCACTGTAGGCTCCCATTCGACTTCGGGCTTCCCTTCGGCGTGATGTTGGTTCCCTTCCTTGCCTCGGACTCAACGACGCACCTCGGACCGACGATTTTTTTTGGGTAGAAGGGACTCAGCATTCTAAAGCGTTTTCTAAAGAGTCTTCGAAATAGTCTTCTCGATAGTCTTCACTGAATAGTCTGTAGCTTCATGAGGGCCACTCACCCTCACCCTGACAGGAGTGGTGAAGTGGCGAGTGGAAGCGCATCCAGGCACCCCGGTGCATAAAGTTTGTTCGTGGTGGACATTTGCAGCTGCAGGATGTAGGAATGTAGGATGATGCAGGGTTTGGGGAATTGGAATTCCACGACGGCGAAGACCCCCTGATGTGTGTTGTAGAGTGGTCAGACCGGCAGGCGAAGCTCCCAACTAGTTTCCAGTACCAGTTGAGAGAGTGCTGGCCATCTTGAGCAAACCTGAGCAGGGGCTTCGAGGAGGGGGAGGGGATGTCAGGTACGACTTCCACATGGAAGGCCACCGGACACAGCAAGGCCCGGCCCGACTGCTGCTAGCCGCCCTTTACGAATGTACTTTGCCCCTCTCCACGACGACTTCAATCTACAGAAAAGAATTTAGATGCCCAACTGAAAGCTTACTCCCCTTCGTGGGGAGTTTGAATTGGAAGTTGGCGGGAGGTTGGCTCACCTTCCGGGCGTGGGACGGGACCCACCACTGGCAGTCCGATCGCGCCACGGCACAAGCATGATGGTTCGACTTGGCTTGGGGCTCGCTGGCAGTTGCTGTTGCCGTGGGATGCAGTGGTATTTTCGAGGCTGCCCTGATCTTGAGAGCCCCTTGCAAGCCCGTTAAGGGCCATGACCGACCCTCCATGCCCCTCAGTGCCAAGACGAGGTGTGGTGCGGGTAGTCCAGCGCGTCTTCAGCTATGCGTGGCATGAGGGCGCAGCTCTGCAGCCAAGTTCCATGGGTCTAGGCCTTGAACCTGCTACTTGTTTTTTGGGCTTCTAGCTTAGGGGATCTTGCGGGAGTATGGCTTGCATTTCAGCAGTTGAGAGGGATGATGCGCTACCCGCTGCGAGATGTTCCAAGGGTGATTGCCAGAATGACTCGACCAAGGCATGGGGTCCTTGCCGTCGACCCACTTGCAGCGCCTCCTCCACGGGTAGCCAGGAAGCGCTCTGATCCATCTAAGCCCGAAGTACAAAACCCTGTGGCTCGGGACTCGGTGGTGGTGTTGGCTGGCTGGTCTCGGGATTTTCTTTCGTGAAATACATTGCAGGACACTGGCTTTATTGTGGGAATGCCTGCTATGTGAAGTGGGGTGTCATAGGCTTTCTCAGACCGCTGAGTGCTGGTTGGGTTGGGATCTGGTTGTTGGGTGGGCGATGTATGAAGAAGAGCTGAAGCTCTGATGTATCTCCACACGATTGTGAAGTGGATCGACACGCCTCGGCTGCATTGCTCAAGTGCAAGAGTCGAAAGGCTTTCCTTCACAAATGAACAAGGCGGGTGGGGAAGAGCGCTTTTGGCTGGCTTCCCTTGCGACAGGAACGTCAATCAGAGACTTTTTTTTTTAACATGATTAGACCTGGGTCAGTGGGGTCTCTGCAGGCGGCTCTCTGGGTAAGACGGATGAATCCAATTTGGCTTCTGAGCGTGGGCCGGTTCTCTGGCTAGGTGCTTCTTTGGAATTACTGGACTAGGAGTTTAGAGTTGTGAGGGTTGAGGACATGGAGTTGGGCTCCCGGTTCAAGGAAGCCCTGAACCCCTGAACAAACCCTGGCTTAGGTATCACGGGGATCTCAGCAAAAGGCAGCTGATTCGAGATACTTTGGGAGGGTCTGGGAGCCTGTTTGGCAGGAGCGCCACGTGGAGTGCAGGGGCTCAGACGGCAAGACCTATCATGGCGCGGGTCCGAGCTTTTCGGTGTCAGATGTATAGCCGGCCGAATCTTCGGAAGGCAGGGCATAGGCGAACCTGTCCGCACACGCTAAGATGACAACTGCGCCGGCCCCCCGAGATGCAGCTGAGCCGCACAGAAGGACTTCAACCGTGAACCTTCAGCCGCCCAAGCTTTGGAATAAGTGGATGTTTTAGTTTGGAAGCTGGGTTAACGGGGGACCCTGATTCAGAACAAACCCCCCCTCTCTCTGCCAGCCCGCCCCTCGAGGCCTAGAGTCGTTGAGTTGGATTCTTCGTTCGCTTGGGGGTGCCCGCGACAGGCAGCGACCATCCGTCGGGTTGGATTGACACTTGGGGTGACACGTGCGCCGTCTACGCGAACAACCTGTACTGCACGCCCACAGGTGCGCCAGATCCAGGAAGACTCCTAGATTCACTCGCAGCTTTGCAGGGTTCAGGGCATAGGCTGTCGCAAGTCTCAGTAGAGGCATGAGCTTGTATTACTGTATGCTTTCCTCTGTTTGTTGAGTCTGGCATTGACCCTCAGCCCGGCATCATATGCTCAGTTCGTGGGTGACCAGCCCCAAATATTACAAGAATTTCAAGAATGCACATTGCAGGTCAGCCTGGTCCTGGCTGGCAATGGTTTTGGGGGAACTTTGGGGACTACAGGAATCATGGCCACACTGCGGACACGGCCTGTTGCGCCTGCGGCGGTGGCGTGCTTGCTGTCGCAACACCAGAGACGTCCATGACCTGCTCGAATCCCACGGAGGGTCCTGATGAAGATGGCGACGGAGTGGACGACTGTGCTCCTTCACCCACCGTCGCGCCACCCGTGCCACCAACTGAGACTTCCACCGCAACCACATCCCAAACCACCACTCCATCCACGACCACGAATCGCCCCACCTCCGAGACATCTACATCCATGGAGACCTCACAGACACCAACAGAAACTTCCACGCTTTCGACAGAGCGAACCACGACGTCACCTAAGGTCGATGTTAGCCCTCCGGAAACACAGACACAAACAGAAACCTCCACTTCTTTCATTCCTGACGTGCCCGAGACAGCAACCACAACTGCTACACAGACTGGAACCTCAATGGCGATGGCCTCAACGAGCCGAAGCACAAGTGCCTCCTCCTCCCAGCTTTCCTCCTCTACGCTCTTGTCGTCTACTTCCACGTCGCCTTCCACCACCGCAAGCACTTCTTCCAGCCACGCTTGGGCAGCTTCAGGAACATTCACAACAACCGCTGCGACCACAGCAGCCTCCACCACCGAGACGGCAAGCACAGCCAGCAGCACATCTTCGAGGACGGCTACCACGACTGCATCGGCAACGACGACAAGGTCCACACTTACAGCAACTACTACGCGCACCAGCAGCAGCATAAGCAGCTCAGTCACCAGCTTGTCAAGTAGCAGCACGAAGACGTTGACTTCAACAGAAACTCAGTCGACCACAGCCACTGCCACTGTCTCAAGCACATCGGTGTCCATCTCCTCCACAACATCTAGGACACATTCAACTTCCGTGACATCCTCACGGACCAGCTCATCGGTGTCCAGCACAACTGTGTCCGGCACGTCGACCGGTACAGAGACTGGCACTTCAACATCCACCAGCACAGTGTCAGACACATCTACGCTCACGAGGTCTCAGACGTCGAGTAGCAGCCACACAAGCAGCACAAGCAGCACAAGCAGCACATCCAGCAGCAGTGCGACGTCAACGCATTCCTCGACAACTTCCCTCAGCACAAGCTGGACGGCCACAAGCTCATCTTCAACATCATCGAGCACCACCGGGTCGACAACAACTTCGGGGTCCACTTCCAGCTCGCCTACTTCAACGGCCACCATCACAAGTACAACGGCAAGCTTCACAACCACCCGCACTACAATCACTGCAACGACTACCTCCAGCAGCAGCTCCTCAAGCAGCAGCATCTCGAGCAGTAGTTCCTCCAGCAGCAGCTCCTCCAGCAGCAGCTCTTCCAGCAGCAGCATCTCAAGCACTTCTCCCACGACATCGACAACACTCAGCGGGACGACGACAACTTGGTCTTCAAGCAGCAGTACCACCACAGAGAGCAGTTCCTTGACGTCCACCACCCACAGCTCCACCAGCACGATCACCAGCTCAAGCACCTCAGAGTCCAGTACCTCCAGCAGCTCTTCCTCCACTTCGAGCTCGAGCGTCAGCACCAGCTCCACTTCGTCGAGCACACAGAGCACAACCCGTACGGCGACGGCCACAAAAACGACAACAGGCACTGGCAGCACTTCGACCACCACGGAAAGTACAAGCACTAGTAGCAGCTCCAGCACCACTAGCACTGTGACATCAACCCGCACTAGCACGACAACTTCCAGCACTACCTCCACTTCCACATCTTCCAGCATATCATCCAGCTCTTCCTCCAGCTCCACGTCTTCTACGTCGAAGACATCCACTACAACAGTCAGCCAAACACAGACGCCCACCACCTCGCGTACAGAGTCCACCTCCAGCTCCACATCTACAACATCTTCCACAACGTCGCAGACATCCACGACAACCTCGAGTTCTCCTACGACAACAACCACCCATACCACACAAACGACGAGCTCTTCCACATACACTTCAACGAGCAGGACATCCAGCACCACTTCCAGCACGAACACTTTCACCACGAGCACCACTTCCAGCTCTTTCACGACTTCCCAGACCACTACGGTAAGCAGCACAAAGACGGCAACTGCCAGCTCTACCACATCTGTCTCCACCACCAGCACTTCCCGGACTTCCACATCCGTGACGTCCACCACCTCCACATCTTACACATCCACGAGTACTATCAGCACCACAACCACAACAACCACACGAAGCAGAGCCTTGGCGGGTGAACTTTCGTTTTCGTCCCACGTTTTGTTGAACCTCGCATCAACGGCCATGTTGAAAAAAGGGCGGCAACGCAACACAGAGCAGCTTTGGCATTAGGTTCAAGCCTTAGAGTACACCCTGAACCGTGATTTTTGCAAAGCTTATCGGAGCAAGAGATGCCAAGGCACCTCGGAAACTTCAACAGTGACGTCTACGACAACTTCAACGCACACCAGCACAGCCACAACAAAAACGACGACGACGTCGGAAACCCGTATCTTGCCTGTTTCGGGTGTGTAACTCTGGACCCTTCACCCCGAAACTCGACGATAGCTGTGCCCCTGAGGCACAGTGACCTCCACAACTTCCTCTACTACATCCAGAACCTACACTACGCACACCAGCTCTAGCAGCACGATAAGTTCCGTCACGACGACATCGCGCACTGCCACCACCACATCGAAGACACAAACATCCTCCACGGTCAGCTTCACATCCACCACCGCAAGCAGCACAAGGACTTCGTGACCATGGAGAATTTGGGATATTGTGGATCACCAGAAAGCTGGGCTACTGTCATACTGTAATATAGATCTGTCATTACTTGCTTCTTCTTCTTATTTTCTTGTTCTGCTCTTCTTCTTCTTCTTCTGCTTCTTCTTCTTCTTCTTCTTCCACAAGTCGGTAGAAAGCCCGTACCTCTCTCTCTCTCTCCCGAGCACACTCCTGGGAAGCCCTGCATATGGCCGAAACCCCGAAGTCGCACAGGACCTCAACGTCGGCCACGGCAACTTCGACCACCGCGTCTCTTAAGTGCACTTGGGATGTTTTCTTCTTGGCGAAGGATTTAGAATGCAGGGGTAGATGTCATCAGGATTAATCTTGGGGGTAATTGGGCTCTGGAACTCGTGCCTTTCTTTTTTAAGACACCCCGATGGCAGGATCAGGCTCTGTACGGTGTGCTACTGGTATCAATCAACAGCACGAAGCCGCACGGAAACCCCAACCAAAACCTAGCAAACCTAGCTTGTCTATTTTCTCAAACTGCCAACCAGCAAGCCTGGTTTTGTTGTTGGGCAGGCGACATCGCCATGCACGTTACTTACGTTTCGGTCATCGACTAGAGTCGCAGCTCGCATCGAAACATGCCGACGAGGTGCTCCTTCCCCGGAACCACAGCCCCTCCCCCTCACAAGAAACAGCGCAAGGGCTTTTTACGTCTGAAGGTCCAGCACCAGCTGGACTTCCTCCACACGGACGCTAACATCAACGACGGTGACAACACAGACCATTACCAGGCCAGCCAGGATTCAGTGAATTCAGGAGTTTGATGGGGTTTGAGCCTGTAGGGAGACAGACCCGGTTTCCCTTCGGATGGAGATTGCCAGAGTAATGGGGCGACAGCCCGTGTCGGAAGAAGCAGAGTGCCTGTAGTGTTGGGTTGAGGTTCGAGGTTCCAGGGGTTTGCGAAGTGTCTAAGAGTCTATCTAAAGAGTACCCCGCCCCCCCCCCCCCCTCTTCAGCTCAGGAACGCGCCCCCGGTGATGGTGATGAGCGAGCCGGAGCCTGTGCAAACGATCGAGACTACCCTATTGGCGGCTTGACCAAATGCATATCTTCATGTGAGGTGTTGCAGTTGAGAACCGGGGCCCCCAGCAGAGCTTGTTTCGAAAACCCCTTTGCCACAAGGTTGTTGGGGCGAACAGCACCTCGCCGAGCTTCGAGTCCTCACTTGTGTCCTCCATCTCCTCCCTCCTGGGTGTGGACCCTCGACGTGGCATGCCCGCAAGTGGAGAGGGCCACGACTGACAGTGTTTAAAGTGGATGACTTTTGGATGCCGTTGCGCATGCTGTCGGGTTCCATCTCGACCTTCCTCGAAGAGGTTGTAGCTTCTCTCAATGAGTACTTGCAACGGTTGCAAATCTCTTTTTCAAGCCCTGCCATAGATGGTAGGCGGGGCTTCCTATCAGATCCGAGCTATAAGCCCTTCTGACCCGTGAAGTTTGAAGGCCATCGTTCCTTTGATGTGCCGCCCTGCTTCAGTCTAAGCAGGGCCTTCAGGATCAGCAAGTGAAGTAAAGGGTCCCCGACTCAGGTGTCAGCATCACAGGCCTGGCCGGGTCTGCGGGAAAAACGACACAAGCTGGAAGCCCAAAAAGCTGGGTTTTTTGTGAGGGCTTCGGCTGAGGGCGTTCTGAGGCCAAACCACCAAATGCTTCTGAGCCCCTGAGAACTTCTCAAAGCTCAGCCTGGCAGGCTCGACCATGACCTGGGCAGCCCTCGTGGAGAATGGTGTCCCTGACAATGGAGGTGGCATGCCTTAAGTCGATGGCCATTAAGGGTATCTCTTTTCGACTCGGTGCTCCTTAACACATCATCGCCCTTGTCTCATTGTGTGCGATTCCATGATTCCATGAACAAGAAGGTGGTCGGCGCCTGCCAGCGCGGGACCTCTCCATCCTGGAGCAAGCCCTGGAGGCCTCCAGGGCATGTTTTCATGGGTGGCGCGGGTTCTCGTGTTCGGGTCTAAACTTCAAGGGCTCAAGGGCTCAAGGGCCATGGAGTTTGGGATTTTGAGCTCAAGGCTGCGCCGCCGTTCCGAAGTGCAGCGAAAGACGTTATCAGCGCCTGAGCGGTCGCTGCACTGTCTTAATTCTCCGTAAAGCGCGAAATCCGAGAGAGCAAGAGTCTCAGCACTCTCACCAATTGCAAATGGCGAAGGTGGACTTCCAGGTTGCCATGCCCGCCGCGACCTCCGAAGTTTCAGCTGCTTCTTCACAGGTTTCTTGGGTGTTGCAGGTTTAGAAAGTTAACACGCTGGCTTTTAGCGTTTCTTGGGTCAAGTTCATGAGGTTCATTTCGTGTGGCCCATTGCCAGGTGCAAGAGATGGTGGCCGCGCTGTCTGACATGAAGGCCCTCCTCTTCACGGCTGGAATTTCCGACTTCTTACACTTGTAGTAAAATGGCCTGGGGGATCACAAGGCGTCAAAAACTATGGATGTCGAGTTGAGGGCCTATTGGGAAAGAAGCGTCGTGGGTTGCACCTGTAGCGCATGTTCTTGTCTCCAGTTCCGTATTCTCGGAAAAAAGGATCCGTATTCTCCGCGATGCGGTTTATGCAGCGTGTCTACGCACTTTCCGGTGTCTAACCTGCGCTGGTCGCTGGTTCGATGTGCGCACACAGATCCCGGGGGCTTGCCCTCTACTCCGAGGGCAGGCGCCAGGTCACAGACGGTAGCTTTAAGCGGGTTGCCGGCTGATCTCTCAAGGCTTTATCTGACTGCGAAGCCCGAAGGCCAATCCCAGCGAGCTCCTCCTGGAGCTCGCTGCTATCCTGCCGTTTCTTGGCAGGAGCTACAAGTTCAAGGTAGTTCCAGCCATCCCTTCCTGAATTTCAACTCCCTGGGACCTTGAACTGGGCCCATTCAAAAGCCACGGAGATATCCGCGGAATCCTGCATCATCCCAAGCTCAAAGCCATCGTGGCAAGATCGGCTTTCTGTAAACTCTGCAGGATGTCAGTGTGAGCTGTTTTGATGAGAACAAAGGATCGACAACCTGCGCGTTCGCCTCACCACGCCCTTGGTGAGGCTTTGGCCTTGGGTGGCGGTTGAAGTGGCTTTTCCGGGTGGAACGGCAGGGCTTCATCAAAGTACCATGTGAGGTTTTTCGGAACCGTCGCCGTATTGGATTGGTGTAATTCCTTCGAGAGCCCCAAGAAAGGGCCAAGTTGCAGAAGAGGCCTTCAGCTCCCATTCGCTCCCCACCCCATTCCCCAACTCCTAAAGGCAGAAGCAGGCGGTGTTCGTGGCGGAGGCGTGGTGATAGCTAAACGTGGTACACAAGTTGTTGAGGATTTTCGTCGGCTTGCTGTTGGAGCGTCGAACCATGTGAACCCGGCTTTGCTTTAAGCGGACCTCACGTCCCCTCAGATCCCGAGCAGTGACGACCGGCCCTGAAGTTCTACGGTTCCTTGCAGGATTGGGGTGCCTGTGCCCGGGGCATCGCCTGTGTGACCTCGCCCTTCGCTTCGCGCTACCGTCAGGCCGGCATTTGAGGGTTTACAAAAGACCTGATGCAAAGGCTGGCGCCAACATGAGAGCCAACATGCGAGCTGCCGGCGAGTCTGCCAGCATGCACATCGGGACCTATCAACCATGTTTCTCTTCAAAAACCCCAACCCAATTTAGTTAAGCTGATCCCTGGCGTCGCCTGTACTGAAAGATAGTTTCTCTCAGGAGTTGGCAGTGTGTGGACTCGGTGATACTCTAGAGTTACATTTGGCTAGGTGGTGAAGCCTCAGCTTTTTACTGTATTTCTCATGACCGACGCATGCCCTGCACCTCACCATGCCAAAGCCCTTGCCCTAGCAACTGCCCCGAGCCTTCCCGTGACCTGGATAGGTTTGGTGTGCTGACTCGGCACCTTAGCTGAGAAAGGGTCTGTCAGCAACACAGTTGTTGTGTCAAAGATGTCGATACTTCAGCCAGCGTATTCTTCCTTGGGCATCTGCACAGTCATCTCACCTTCTACAACATTGCACGAGACTCCAAGTGGATGGGTTCAACAATCTCGAAGTTAAAGGTCAGTCCTGAGGTTCTTCCTGGCTTCTTTTCTTGCTTACGGGGGTGCTCAGTCCAATAGCCAGAGGTCCCAAACCCGCAGCTGCGCACATTCATATCACCCCTTGTGGGTGTTTAGCCAGTACACACTTGTTGAAACAAAATGAAATGTTGGCAAGAAGTATATGCATATAGACACACATTACACATTGTGTATATATATATATATATGTATATCTCTATCTTCCTACCTATGCGTAGTTCAGGGTTTTTGGGGTTGTGGCAGCAATCACATGTCCAGATGCGGTTCCGAGGACAACGTCTCAATTGCCTTGCTTTCCGAGCTTTGCTCGGGACCTATGCCAAGGACCGAAGATCCCCACAAGCCCCATCCGCAACCCGAGACGCTTCACCCAAGGCGTGGACCCCGTCTTGTAGAAAGGAAGGCCCTCGTGCACTCACAGCGTTGCCGGTGATGAGCTACGACATCCCAGGAAGAGTCTGCTGAACAACTTTGATATCTTGTGAAGTAAATCTCACTCAAAGGCGCTGATACCCCAAAGAGCCCGAGGCCTCGTCTTAGAATTATGACAGGGATCATGGACAATGCCCTGTTTCTTGGCAAGGGGATGATATGGACAATCTTCTGCAGGACGCAGGAGCCTTGCCCAGCTCAGCTCGTGCCACCGGCCTGCGGGTGGCTGCTGGGCTTGGATTTATAGGATTTAAAGTTGGGCCTGTTTCCTGTTGCCTTTTTTGAAGAGCGGAGCCAGCGTCGGGAAGCTCTTTGTGTACATGTAGTGACATTGTGGTAGGACCCCGATCGGTGTCTCCAGATTCCTGGTTTCTTCTCAACTAGGAATCAGGAAGAGCCCCAGCATCTTGGCCCTTGGCAAGATGTCAGGATTGTTGGCAGCTGGTCTCCTTGCCTCTCCGTGCCGCCATCTGGCCCGGCCGCGGAGCTCAGCGATTAAATGACTCAATCAGTGAACCAGGGCTGTCATCTCCGGAAGTTTTGCCGTTTCGGGTGTTTTACTGCGCCGGATGTTAAGCCAAAGTCGCAAGGTGACGGCCAATATGACTGAGATGTGCAATGCTACCGGGATGGGCAAGCAGTACAGGGCCGTGACGTGCTTGGCTTCGGGCAGTGTGCCCGAAACCGACGAATGTGAGCTGCCAAGACCCACCACGGATCGTTCCTGCCGTTGCATCTCGAGCCAGGTGGGGAGCCTCTAAGCTACGCAACAGTTCTGAATCAACCCTACGAAATTTCAGTGTGCCCGAATGCCTTCGGTTGGGCAATGCGTAGACAGAGCTAGGATCAACTACGATGCAACTTATGATCCTCATCGCCCCCAACTTTCCACTGGCAGTCATTCTGGGTGAAATCTGTTGCGGAGAAGCAGTCGCCGTCAGGTGTCCTTATTCACACAGCTGGACAAGGGCAATGGGGAGTCCAGTGTGGAGGTGGCCAGCGCGAGTGTAATGTTGGTTTCCGTGCTGGGAACCTGCATCCTGTGCACCTGCATCTCCTTCGGCTGCTTCGCATTGACCACTCGGAGGCCCTCAAAAGTGACCAAAGCCCTGAAAGCTGATGCCCTGACGTTCGACAACCACTTGACCGGCAAGGAGAAGCAGTACAAGCAGCGGGTCGCGCCTGCAACCGACGTGCATCAGGACGTCACCGTTTGCATTGCCAACGCCCGGCAGAATGCCCGCAACCTGGAAGATGATCCAGACACGACGTCTACGGCCAGTGTCGCAGAGTCCCCGCTTCCTTCGCCCACTTCTCCCAGCTCCAGGACGGAAGGGTTCAGAGTTGAATCGTGGGAGTTCAATGAAGGTTGGGAGTTTGGCAGACTCTAACGGCTCCAATGCGGCACATGGCTTTCGGATCTGCCAGGACGTCCCAGATGGCGCCGCTGGCATCCCCATGTTCGGTGGCATCCGTGGCTTCTCATCCGGCGCGGATTTCCCCTCTGCCGTCGCCTTCCACCCTGTCCTTTGGGCAACCGAACAAAAAGTTATATTTCAAGAGCCTTGTAGGATCAAGCCTGATTGGTGGGGAGATCCCGAAAACCCTGTTTCTGCTGCAGTGAATACTCTTCTCGAAGCATTCCGAAGGTCCCTGTCCTCCATCAGCGCCGTGCTTCAATCGCCGGCGCACGCAAATGGCAATGGCACGCCAGGCCTCCAGCAGACGGGCGAAACCGTGCCTAGCCTGCAGCCAGAATCTTGGCCGAGCGTTTTTCGCTTACCAGCCAGGTGCCCGGTTGGTATCCTACTGCATGAGGCATCTGACCCAGCCAAAGATCCCCGTACAACTCCCAGTATATCGCAATGCTATGCCGCGCTCGCAAAGCCTCGAGTCCTAAACGTACCTCCCAAAACACACAAACCATTGACACTGTCGCCTCCTGCCTCTTGAATGACTCTCCCCCAGGCTGCTGACGCCGCTACAGCCTCTCAGCCCTGGAACCCTTCGCCTGCCTTGATCGCACCAAATCGCCCTTCGAGTCAGGTGTTCCTGCCACTGAGCTCTCCCAGCAACGGGGCTGGCAGCCCTACTCGGTCACCAAAGCGCCGCCCTACACTGCCCGCCGTTTCTGAGACAGAGGCTGCAACCCCAAGTGGGTTTTGGGTGGTGCGCATTAGGTTTTTTTCCCTTCAGGGTATGCATTGAGGCCAACGCTTTGGTTCAGGGTCGTGGACAGGAAGGTGGCAGATTGGTCAAAGAGGGGGCCATGGAATGATGAAGAGGTTGCCAGCAATCCACTGCTCATGTTCATCGGTGCCAGGAAATTCGAGGAAAAGGCAAGCCAATGCATTCCAGCCCCCCGAGGCGCACACGATGCACACAAGTCCAGGGCCCGCGGTGGACCATCCGCACGCCCTCGTCGAGGAGTCCAATGCTCCTCAGTACCATCTGATATCTCTTCAGTGACTTTGGGGTTCAAGGCTTTCTGTTGGCAGGTTTGTTGCTACTTCTAAGTGGCATGTGGCCGTCCCCTTCTCAAGAGTCTTCAACGTTCTGAACATGTCGGAGTCGGTGGATGGCTCGCACCTGGGATGTTCGGTTGCAGCGATCTTAGCCTATGGAGGGTGCTGGGGTGGTGGCATGAGCCTTATGGGGTCTGCTTGACGTTGGGCCTAGTGGGAGCTATGGTGGGTGGAACGACCTGCCTCCAAAGCCGACTACAGCTGCCCCAGCCATTGTGGCCGCCACAAGGCCGCGCCATCGCGGCCACGGAGGAAGAAGAACGCCCCACGCCCGCCCACACTGCAGATGGACCTTTGCGGTCCAGAAGAGGAGCAGGCATCTTGGGTGTCATCTTGTAGTTGAGGACCCAGTAATGCCAGCGTGTCGCATAAAAGAACTACGTTGACGCTTGCTATGCCGTTGTTCGTTTGATAGATGACGTCGTGATTTGCAGTTGCGTGGAACAATCCACATGGTCTCCTCGCATGCTGCGTGATTTTGCATATGTGTACCTTGCAGCAGATGTTTGTCAAAATGCGCAGCTGGCGTTCAGTCGCCTCAACACCTAAAAGGGGCGAACGCAGATCCTGGAAGCATGCCATCCGAGCAAGATTTCGGCTCAGTCTCCAAGGTCGCAAGAGCACGCTGGAATCCCAAGCATATTGTTTGCTTAGATCCGCGTAGGATGCCCCCACTCAGACTTCAGTTTTTGGTTCGAAAAAAGGCACGATCGCATGAGCCCTGGAGGTTGCGGTGCCTTTTGCGTCGCCTTCCAAACGCTCGCCACAGAAAGCTCGAGACGCTCCAGCCGACCGCGGCGACTTCTCACCAGCACCTCGGTAGGTCCAGTTTGCTAAGGAGAGTTCCGTTAAGGTCTGGATTCGATGCATTCTCCAACTTCGCAGGCTAGGCAAGGGTTGAGCCGAAACCCAGTTCAGCTCGGATCCTACGTGCTGCGCATCATCAGCCCCGATCATTAGCACCAGTCCCAGATTTCCCATAATGGGTCCACCAGGACGAAACAGAGAACTGCAGGTATTTTGGGTGTTGGATCCAGCTCGCATGCGAGCTGAAGAAGCCCCCGAACCCATTCCTATGATCAACGTCCGAACCACGTACTCTCTATGTACATTTCTCGCGGGGGAAGGACGGCACGAGCAGTCCTACAAACCCCCGAAGGAAGACATTCACTTTTCCCTTTACGAAGCTCCGAAACCCCAAAGCCAGTCCATGGAAGCCTCACTCCGATGATTGGGTCAAGGCCTGGTTGCAGCCCCGGGCGGAGCTGAGCTTTCACCAGGCCGGGAACTTTGGGGGCCTGTGAGAAGTCGTAGGATATTTCGGAAATTTTCGGATGGTTTAGGTATTATGGATGTTGGGTTTTGCGGGTGGTCGAGGAGATGAGTGGGTTCAGTTGGGGAGTAGGCAGAAGGACATGGTGCCCGTCGCCTGGGCTCGCCGAAAAGTGGAAGATCACCACAATGTGAAGGTCGAACGACTGCCAGGGTTCTTCCCGATATGACGGCAGCCCGAGCAGACAGTCTTTGCCTGCCCTTCATAAGCCCCAGCCCTGTAAGCCGCCAACGTCAGGGCGACAAAGAGCTCCCAAGTCGCAACCCCACCATCCTCAACGGGAGCTTTCCATTGAGAGGCCAGCGGCACCCCGGCGCAGTCCGTGAAAAGTGACCTGGGCTCCGAGAGCCAGGCGCCTTCCTCGGCAGTAAGTGCTACACGACGCCGAAAGCCTGAAGCCCTCATCCACGAGGTGCAACAGCCTGAAGTATCAAAGCCTGCCCCTTTTTAGTTTTTTGGCTTGAAAGCTGCAGCCCACAGGGCCTGGCTTTGCCCCCACCGCCTCGGCTTCCTCGGCCCCCAGCCTTGGAGTTTGGGCCCCAGTCTCTTTTTATTTGGTACTTGTTGTACGTAGGGTCCAGTACGGACATGCCTTGCAGGCTGGGCTGGATGCGAATTTCAGATGACAAGGGTTGAGGGTTTGGCATCTAGGGCTGAGGGCTTTCCCGGGGGCGAGGGGTGCTGCATGGGTGATTTGGGATGGAATGGTGCAGGGTGGTTAACAGATCATAATGCGGTTTTAGCGAGGATTTTGACCTGTTACGAGCCAGCGCAGACTCGTTGTGGCATGTGTGGAGTTGGGGTTCGAACTTCAGGTTGCTTGATGCTGAGCACAGCATTCGACGGCTTTGCTCAATTGTGCTCCCATACAACTACCTTCAGATGCTGAAGCATGTTCGATCTTCTCGATGTAGCTCAAGTGCTTAGCCGAGCATTTGCAGAAGCTTTCGTCTTTGAACATGTTAAAAACGCTCGTTTCACTGCTCCACCTGTTGCCATCTCGTGCCCAGCCAAACCCCAGCCGCGAACAGAGCATTTGTGGGCATTTGCGGTCATTGTTCGCCCAGGAGCCCGGGGCCAGTTCCGCCGCCTCCGCTGCCGCTGGCTGCTTGGTTTTTTTTGTTTTTTCTGCGGGCGAGTTTGGTGGTTGGGTTTATATTTCAGTTTTAAAAGCTAGCTTTGGACGTCGGGTTTCAGGGTCAGGGTTTGAGATTTAGGTTCGAGGGCTTTGGGTTCTTTGGGTTCTTTGGGTTTTGTGGTGTTTTGAGGTGTTTTGACATCTTCTCGAGCCCAGATGTCACCGGCTTCCCTCAAAATCCCTTCTTCACGTGTGTTGCGATTCCAGGAGAAGCAGCCAAGTCCACCAGAGAAGCCACCAGAAGGCGGATGATTCTTGTTTTCTCATTACCAGGGCCTGGGGCCGAAAGGGGCTTAACAGGGCTTTCGGCCGCAAAATGTTCAAGAAGACAGGTTTCCACCGGGGACGAGCTGGTCTTAAATTTCCGCCGGTGCCTCCGTCGCCAAGTTCCAACTCCAAACCGAAGAAACTGGAGGAGCTCCGATTGGCACTTCTTTATGTGGGTACGTCTTCTAACATGTTGCTTGGTCCGTGTGGTTTCATGCTTGATGTCGTCGTCAGAGTGCGGTTGGTTTTCCTCTGCAGTACAATACAAGGGATGCACTATTCCTCCGGGTGGGTTGCCTGAGTAGCATGGTTTCAATTTTGGGCAAGCAGGACAAGCCGAATCCGCTTCTCCTCCCGAGCGCGCCCATCCTTCCGCCGCCGCCGCCACCTCCCAGGCTGGTTTGAACTCCTAAGAGTCCTGTTGGGAGTCCTGTGGGAGTCCTGTGGGAGTCCTGTGGGAGTCTTCATGGATGCGAGGGTCTCGGGCTCTTTGGTTCGAATGAATTCTGCAGGCCTGGCAAAAAGTGAAGTGTACCTCGGCACCGGCACCGACCATGCAACGTGTATCAGTTCAGTCGCGTGCCGCACTGAGGGCTTGATAGCAGCTCCGGAAGCAAGTTGTGTAGGTGAAGATGGTGTGTAGGTCCTCATAGGGAGTAGAGCAGGGCAAAAGGGGTGCTGCATGATCCTGGCATTCTCACGCGGCATTTCTTCCGACCTTTTCATGCTTTCATGTCTCGATTCGTTGGTTGGTGTGACAAAGAGCGAACTGCTTTGGCCCTGCAGTGCCTATACAGCTGCTGTAGCCAACTTGGTTCTGGAGATGCCAAAAGTATTCGTACGACGACTCGCAGAACGAGGTAGTTCCTCCGCTGCCCCATAGGAGGATCTCCGCAGCTTTCAAGATGCGAGGGCCCCAGATTCGGAGGCGAACCAGATCAGATGGCTTTCTGAATCTCTCCAGCCCTAGAGCCAATGTGTCACAGCTCCAAAGCCCACAAGGAACTACCTCGCATTAGCTAGGCTTCCTGGACAGCGCTTTCCCATCTCCGAAGGAGATACAGCTGTCAAATGCCTCCCTAGGAGGCTTTCCTTGCCCGGGTCCAATTTCAAGTCGTGGTGTACCCACCAAATCTTCATGTAGTCAGCAGCTCATTTTGCCCGGCTTTAGTTGAAACCCGCGTGATTATCAGCTACCAGTTTGAAGAACTGTGGCAGGATGTCAATCGACAGCTCTTGCTTGTTATTTCCCACCAAGGCCCCCTGCCTGGAAGGATCACGGCCATCCAGCAATTCTGCCTGAATGAGAAAACCTCGGGCACTTGTCTTTCAGCACTTCTAGGCAGAAGCCTTCTTAATTTGCTGGTGGCCATGGCTGGAGGCTAGAAGTGCATGACTTCGGCCTCGTGCTCGAGAGCCACGCATTTTATTACATCCTTTAGCAGGGCCAGTCCAAGTTGAAAGCCTGGGTACAGTGTCGTGCTGACTTGGGGCTGAGCCCTTTGCCACATGCCGTGGCGACACGCCCCACCTGGAGGGACACAAAAGAAGAACTCTATAGAATATATAGAATATATAAGAACACTTGCCAGTCCCTCGCTCGCGTGTGGCCACCGCTGCGGAGCTGCAAGTATCAGACAGCTCCGCCAGAACATCTGATGCAGCTGGATTCTATAGATAGGTCTTGCAACTACTTGCACAGGAAGGCTCTCCGCAACAGCAGAAGTGGTTCTATGCTGTTGGAATGATGCGTAACATGACTGACTACAAGATAAGTTCATGTGCCTTCCGGCAGCTTTCGGACGTCTAAGCTCCGGCTGCCCGTGAATGTGTATATAGGCCGTGTAGGCGCTTCTCTCCCTATAAGGTGAGTCTGATTGATTTCATGCCGCCTCAAAATCCCTCCATGTGGACGGTTTGCCTTTGTTGCCTTTGTTCGCTGTTTCTGGCTCTGGGTGTCCACATTTGAATGATATTCGGCCTTAATCTATCCTGCGCCGACATCCAACAGCCCGACATGCATAAAGGGGGTGCTGACCGACAGACCCGAATAACTTAAAGGTGGTTTGGGCTGAGGCTCAATGCCTGTCACTTAAGGAGCCTTAGGTTGACGAGTGTTCTGGCAATCCTCCTCCCTCCGGACATCTTGACAGTTTGCTGTTCTTGGACTCTTTTTCTGCACAGCGTAGGTTGCAGCGGGCACTTCTTTGGAGGTCGGGCCGGCTCCCGATCTTCCCGATGCGCCCAGCATGTTCTGAACACACAGCTAGAAGTAGCCTACCAATCCCTGCATCCTGCTTTTTTTCAACAGTACAGTGGGCATAGTAAGATTTCGTGCCTCGCTCACAGAAGTGAAGGGCTGGCTGCGGCTGGCTCTGGGTACTGTACTAATTCTATTATACTATTTTTTGAATTAAGCGTTCACGTTTTGGGCTTTGAGGTGGCGATCGAAGTGGCCAAAGCGAAGAATCCAGTTGCAGTGCCCGGAGTGTGGGGGAACGGATGACAGGAGACGGAAGAGTGCTCTGAAGCAATCCACGGCAACGGGGACCACTATCGAGGCTGCCAAACAATTACAAGGACCGAAATTCGATTGTTTTGAGTTCGGCCTTAGTTATAGGGTGGCTTGGCAGTTGAGTTCCTGAAGTGTGGCCTTGGGTCTTGATGCGTACTCTTGTCAGAGAAGTCCGAGACGAAGTGTTCGACGCCTCCTGGAATAAGGGTAGGGTTGTAAGTTGAAAACAAGTATAAGCAAGTTCTGTGATTTGATAGAGGAGTGGCTTGACCTGCCAGAGATGGGATACCAACAGTCCCCATCCGACGGCGCCATACAGCCCGTGGCTGGGCTAGTGATGGCAATTTTCTTTTCGAGGCTTTTCGGCACAGGCATGGTTTGTGCGAAACGTCACGGACTGGCCTGCTAGGTGCTGAGGTGAATGTAGCCTTCCAAGCATTCGCAACCGCATCTCCTGCCGTGGGCTTGAGCAACACCTGCAAAGTCCATTCGTGTGTGAACCCTCCTAGGTCCAACTACCCCACCGCTGGCCTGGACGAGAACTACTGCCGCAACCCAGGTCTGCCGACTTCGGGTCAGCTTTTTACAACTTCAAAAACTGTGAAAGAGTGTGACTGTAAACCTCAAAATGGAAGTCGTAGTTGGTGTGCCTCAGCGCGCACAGTAATCAATAAGTGCCTCTTTGCTTTGCCTGGCGTTGTCTCTCTCTCTCTCTCTCTCTCTCTGTCTCTCCTTCCTGGAGCTGGGCCCTATTACCATCCGCTAATACCGTGAAGATGCACAAAGCACTTGCATGTGTTACGGCATTTCTGGGATAAGACTTGGTCGAAATATTCTTTCCATCAGCAAGCATGCCAGCAACACTCTTATTTTGCAGCAGGCCCTTGCTTTGTGGGTCGTTTCTGGACCGAGACACGTCTTGTGGAGGTCGGCCCTTAGACAATCCCTGAATGGAATCTGACCTCGGCAAAGTAATCAGCAGCTCTGCGATTCGTCTGTCCAAGACGGCTTGTGGGAACATCTCACCACATGCTTCAGGGTTTCAGGGAGCAGGGTCTCTACCCCTTGCCCCTTGGCACCAAAGATGAGCAAAGCCAAGGCGGCGACAGGGAAACGAGCCACAGCTGCAACTTGTGCCGTATAAAAATAAACACCTCGAGTTCGATAAAAGGTGCAGTTTCCGAAGTCGCCTTCGAAGGTTTCGACATCCAGGGCTCCAAACTCAACAGGTCGGGTTAGGGATTCGCACTGCAAAGAACAAATATGCATGAGCAGGTCGTTGGCTTGCAAAGGGACCCCTAGATTGCAACAGGAGAGAATAAGGAGCGAGAGAGAGAGAGAGAGAGAGAGAGAGAGAGAGAGAGATTTTCCAGACATGGGCTGGACAGCTGCGTTTGCGCGCAGGGGCACAGGGAGAGGGCAACTAAGCTCTGATGTACAAAAAGAGGACAAGACAGAAAATGCAGAGGGACAGTGAACCCGAGGCACGGCTTTCATGGCAGCAGAAGCAAGCCAGCCATACTCAATTTCCACAACGGCAACGCGCGATAGACATTGAAGTGTTTTCGAACATTTGAGCCAGGATCTGGTGCTACACCACCTCGGCCGACACTGAATGGGAGTACTGCAATACACTGCCACTGTGGCCAGGCTGCCTTTCACTCACAGGCAGGGAATTGAAAGGCAAGCTGAATCCACCCAACAAACTAAGGTGGATCCACCTCAGCGGACCCTGCACTATGGAAGGCGCATGCATCCGCAGTCGCGAGCCTACGATTGCAGGTTGATACATCTTTCCCCAGATCGCGACTAGTCTATGTAGCATGTTCACGTTGCGCCAGAAATTTCAAAAGCCAACGTTGAACCTGAGCCAATGCAATCCCTCAGCCCTATAACGAAGCGGCTGCCCCGGTAGTTTGTGAAGTGGGGTGGCAAAGAAGTCAGGGCTCTAAATAAGCCCTCTAGGCCACCCTACGACCACCCGAATTCCAGACAAGCTCAGGTCCCAACTATCCCTCCAACTATGAGAACAACCAGAATTGCGCCGCTTGCCCCATACTGTGACGTGTACCACACCCGGGGTGGTTGACAGCCGTTCTCACCTACCAAGACAAAATAAGAGCCATACTACAGTGACAGTGCTGGAGTAAGAAAGCGATAGTTCCAGGTGAGGGGGTGCCCTGGACTTCCTAAAGTCGATGAGCATAGAGGAGCGCATTTTTCCAGAAATGAGCCTCACACCCTGAAGGTACTCTGAAAGTCTCAACAATCTTGTGACAAGACTTATTGTTTGCATACTCCTTTATGGCGGGCCCGAACTGAGCCGAAAGAAAATGAACCCCTCATTTTCCTTTGGGCCTGAAAATGGCTCCGAAAACCCTGCCCAAACCCTCCCAACATTCCCAAAAACGCTCCCAACATTCAAAAAACCCTCCCCCAACCCTTCCAATTCCAGGAGGGTGACCCATCAGCAAATGAGAGAATGCGCAATTAAACTCGCAGCCTTGCTAGGAGTTCGAAGTTGGACTCCGGGGCCACGGCGGGGTGCTTGATGTCATTCGCTTCGCCACTGTGCCTTGGTCAGCATGGCGTGGGGTTGAATTTGGTTGCGCTTCAGCCTGAGGCCCAGGACTTTAGGATTTAGGGGGTGGGGTTTTGATTGTGTATCCTGTGGGTGGCTTGCTGTGCCCCACAAGGAGGCGGAGTATGACTACTTCCTCATGGATGAGCGTCGGTGGAGCGGGTCACAAGGCTGAGCATGCAGCCTTAGAGATGCTGTGGACGATGGCAAGAAGATGAGCAAGTGACACCGATAGAGTGAGAAGGAGAGTGAATGCATTTAATCTGATTCGTCACCTGCTTTCCTGCGAGATGCAGCGGCAGAGAGAGAGAGAGAGAGAAACACAAAAAAAAGAGAGAGAGAGAGAGAGAGAACGAGAGAGACCTTGCGCGCCTTTCGCGGCAGCTCCCCTTCGGCAAGGCCAATTAAGCGTGCGGAGAGAGACCGAGAGAGAGAGAGAGAGAGAGGTTACCGGGCCCGCTTGTGCGCAGGAGCCCCAAGCTAAGCCCAGCAGAAGAAGAAGAAGAAGAAGAAGAAGAAGAAGAAGAAGAAGAAGAAGAAGAAGAAGAAGAAGAAGAGAGGTTGATGCTCGCCTTCGGGCGACTCTTTCCCCACGAGGCCAAGGGCGCAGGAAGGAAGGAAACGCGAGAGAGAGAGAGAGAGATTTGGGGGTTGTGCTGGGAGATGGAGGGGAGGGGATCGCACAGGGACCGAACGTGGGCGACACCTGGCTAGAAAGAAAGAAAGAAAGACAAAAGGAGCAAAACAAAGAAAGAAAGAAAGAAAGAAATATCGACAGAAAGACAGAAAGAAATAACAAAAGAAAGAACATTACTTTACTTCGAACATCCCCACCTTGCTCCTCGTTAAGAGGAAAGAGCGCAAAATAGATGTTCAAACAAAGGCACATTCATTCAAATACGCTTTCTTAGTTTTTGCTTGCAATTGGGGGGCACTCCAGGGAGTCTCTGGGGCTGGGCACTCCAGGAGTCTCTGGAATTGGGCACTCCAGGGTTGGGCACTCCAGGGAGTCTCTGCGATTGTGCACTCCAGGGAGTCTCTGGGGTTTGGCATTTCAAGGAGTGTCTGGGTTTGGGCTCTCCACAAAGTTTCTGGGGTTGGGCACTCCAGGGAGTCTCTGCAGTTTGGGCACTTCAGCGAGATTCGGGCTGGGCACTCCAGGGGTTCACTACAGGCACTCCAGACAGACTCTGGGTTGGGCACTTCAGGGAGACTCTAAATGGTTGGGCACTACAATCCGCGTTAAACACTCCAGAAATTCTCTGGGGGGAGGCTCTGGGGTTGGGCGCTCCAGGGAGACTGCATTGGGCTCCAGGAGTCTCTGAGTTGGGCACTCCAGGGAGTCTTTGGGGGACTCAGATAAAGATTCTGGGGTTGGGCACTCAGGAGGCTACAGGGAGACTCTGGCTTTGCGCACTCCAGGAGTTTTTGGGTTGGAAACTCTGGGTTGGGCACTCCAGTAAAACTCTGGGCAGGTTGGGCACTCTGGGGTTGGGCACTCCAGAAAGTCTCTAGGAGTAGACCGGGCGAGGAGAAGAGTTCCGAGCGAGGAGAAGAGTTGAGACAAAAACCAACAGAAAGAACAAAAGAAAGAAAAAAACGAAAGAAAGAAAGAGAGTTTTCTTGAGGAACCCACTGACTCCCAGTAGTCATCAAGCCCAGGGGCCAATGTGCCTGCAGCCCTGGTCCAAGCTATAAGGTTAGGGTGGGGTGGGTCTGCCGGAGCGGCTTGTACCAACGGACCTAAGCACGCTTTGGGGCGGCCTCTCCCAACGGGGAGGGGCTACTTGCGCAGAAAGAAAGAAAGAGGAACCTGGCCCATGGTCTTTGCGTGATTACGCCGGGCGCAACATCCAAGCCGTCTCGGCGCTGCAACTATCGTGTTTATCGTTTCATGCGAGATTCAAATATTGGATCCTATCTGAGCATCGCGACACGGAAGCATGCCTAAAGTGTCCCCGCGCAGCCACAGAATCGCCTGTCCCCCCTGCCGCCTCCAGACAATGCACTGACAGGGGAAAGGAGACACACATTCAATCCCTAGACTAGACACTGATAAGCTCTCAACACCAAATCTTTCCCAGCGCTGTGAGTCGGCAGGTCCGGCGGGAGAGCAGGTTGAGGTCGGTTGGAACGTGGAGTGGGTCTCAGATCGCTCCTACACGAAGCTTAGCCTCACGGGAGGGGCGGCGGAGCAAATTACATCTGTAGATGCGCACCAAGATAGAGACACGACCACAAAACTTTTGGACCAAAGGCCCCCGAACAATAAGAGGATATTAGAGGGCCGATTCTCACAGAGAGCTCTATTGGATGGCCTCGGAGTTGCATGGTTTTTTTCTTTCCGCGGGCCCCGATTGATTTCTGCAGAGGCCCACCGTTAATGTTCACTTCATATTTGGACCGCCCCAGCCCCCCCCCCCCTGCCCCCCGGGCCGTATGGTCCCAGGCAGGAGTCTCCGTAATTCGAAACTTGTGTACGTACATGCGGAACATGAGCAGGTATGCAAAGTTCGAGTAGCAGGTTCAGCAAAAAAGAAAATATTCCAAACATGAAGGGATTGTGCATGCGGCCAGGCTTCAGGGTTGAGTGGGGTGGGGTCAGGAGGTCGAGATATCTGGACTCACTTAGACTGTGATTGCTGTAGGCGGGACGATGCCAGGCGATGCCAGCACTCTAGATTCCTTCCCCGCGCATGCAATTGAGGATGTCCGGCTGGGAGATTTGCCTCCGGCTTCCAGCGCCCTGCACTGCAAGTGGTTTGCAAATGTTTAGAGGATCCAAGACCAAGACCCCTCCGAACGGGAGAGAGCTGCAAGGAACAAGCCACAAGTACCACGATTTCATCATCGAGCACAACCAGGACGCTGCTTGACTCAGCAGGCTCAACAGGACGTAAATCCTTGGCGGGGTCTTTGGGGAGCTCCGGGAGTGCTCAGGGGTCTAGGGTTTGGTAACGGTCATTGTTCAGGTTGTCGTTTCGGTACAGTAGTAGGTTTCGCAGATTCGGGCTGCGTCAGTGATGATGGGCAAACAGCTGCCCGAGCGATGTGTGATTGCACAGCTGTTCGTCGTCCGTTCCTTGATCCTGCTCGACCGGCTCTACCTGCAAAAAGCGGTTCAAGCCATAATATCAGTTATGGTATGCGCGTTTTGTGGTGATGGGTGTTGTTCCACTGTAGGTTGTCGACTTCAACGACCGCCTCGTCATCGGTCACGACCAGGACCGGACGATGCACCGAAAGCGTCACGTGTCATCAATGTCTGTATTGCTGAGCGTTTACTGCTGGGATACCTTGCGGGTGACGGTCTTGGGATGTCTCTTGAGATGTTCTTGAAGTGAAACCGTTAGACCTAAGCTGCATCTTATCCAAGGTTCCATCTTGTGGCACAGGGCTGAAGCAACGGAGAACAGGGAGCCGCATCGCACAGGACTCGAACCTCTACCACAACCACGGTGCCGGGGCCTGAGTGTGGTTGACTGCCGAGCGCAGGGCTCCGGGCTCGGGACTTTCCAGTGCTAACGCCAAAGGCGGGGGGGCGGAGAGGCCTGTCATGACATTCGTGCCTATAACCGCCTGAAGGTCCACACACTCGACGAAGACTTGTGTCATCTCGTGTCCCTAGCACCCCTGGCCTCCAGGATCTTCCGGCTGCTGGAGGGGGACCTGGTCTTGGCTGTCGGGGATGCCGCAACTGCCGCAGCTGCCGCCGAGGTGTCGGCTTTGAGACAAGTTGGAACGCCGACCCACCATGTTCGAGATTTGCAAAGTCCACCTTCAATCTCCGTCCGCCCTACTGTAGAAGGCCAAATGTCGAAGCCGAGACATTGAGTCAGGCTGTCAAAGGATGAGGGCTGAACAGTCCAAGAAACTCTACCCTGAAGGACCTCGCCACTGCCCCTGGACGGGCGGCACTCGTGGCAGCTTTGGCTGTGACCTTGGGAGTGGCAGAGGCTGGCAAGCCCAGAATTGGGCAAAGATACGTGCCTGAGTGTCTGCTGAACAGTACGCGCTTCCACTGACCCAGCCCAGGTTTCCATCAGAGTCGGCCCCCCTCCCCCCCTTCCCCCTTCCCATGCACATCGAAAGTAGATTAAAAAAAGGGGTGTAGCAAGCTACCTGGCCTTTGAAATCAACAGCTCCCAAAGTAAAGGGGCATTGGCGGGCACGATGGCCCTCAGAAACTCTGAGAAGCTGGAGAAGGTGATCCTCGAGCTTTCGAAAAACAGTCCGCGGAATCCAAAGATGCACGAAACAAAGCCCAAATAATGCAGAACCCCCGGGACCCACTCGCGCTTGCGCTTGAGTGAGCCAGGAGTACATAAACCTCTACAGCGTCTCCGTGGGCTCAGCAGGGCGCCGGCTCTCAGGCACCTAGGCTGTGTGACAGAACAGATCCCGGCCTCATTATTTCCCTGCGTGGGTACTTTGAGGTTTCTGCTTGCGTGACTTCCCCACTGGACGCAGGCTAGGATATCAAAACGAAGGCTAGATCGCTTCAACGAAGCACGCCTGGTTGCAATGCTCGAGGGCCGAGACATTCCAGCCCAACTTCTCAACAGTCTTAACAGTCTTTACAGTCTGAACACCAGCTCCAACATCGCCCGGCTCCTTTCAGCAGAATTGCCAGTCGAGAGGAATCTTGTTGACGCGCAGCGCCCGGTCGCAAGGTGCAGTCGCGGGCGCAGTCACGATCGGCTACGACCTACTGGTTTCCACCACCTCTGTTTTGGCCTCGGGTGCTTCCGTAGAGCCATCACTGAAGCAAAGTCTGTCAGTTGTGCTGTTAAACGAAATCCTGAAAAATTGCACCCGTCCGGAACCTTATGGTGCTGTACAGCAGTTCCTTGAAAGCCGGTGCTGCTCCCGACGACATGCATCTCACCACTGCAGGGCATCGATCACGAGCATCTCGGCCCTGGTGGTGCCTGCATCCATAGCTTTTCTGGATCCATAGCTTTTCTGGCTGTTGGGTTGTGATTGTTGTGATCGGTTTGGCATCGTTCGGGGTCAGTGTAGCTGTGCTTTTTTCTTCAGACCTTAAAGAACATGTTTCCCGCACCTTTGCGTGGCTCTTCTTCCAGATGAGATTGGTTTTCTTCATTTACGAGCTCAGAAGTTTGGTGGCGCCGCCTCGCGTTGCACGCAGGCACATGTATGCGTGCACGCAGCCTCGAAGTCGATGACCTTCTCGGTGTGGGCTGTGGGTCCGAATGCTCTCGCCTCCAAGCGCAGTGTGCATTCCAACGCTCTGCTTCCGCGTGCCTGCGTCGCTCTTCCTAAACTTCGCAAAAATAGCGTGGTTTCTGCCCTGCTGCGGTAGGTGCCAAATCGCGCTCTGCCCCAGGTCCCGTCATGCACTTCGCGAGGCTTGCACTCTTCTGTGTTTCGAGAGCGTTGCAGGGTGGCAATTTCAATCAATTTCATGAGTTTTTGTGTGGGTGTTCGATCGGGATTTGCATGTCGTGGCGTCGCAAATGGCGGGGAAATGGTAGCTACATGCTCTCGTTCAGTGAAACGTCGCGCTTTTGGCTCCAGACGTGCTCTCTTCATTTTCTTGGCGAGTGATTCTAAGCGGGCTTGGAGTGGTCTCTTGGAGTACTGTAATGGAGTTGGAGCGCAATCGGGGTGCTCTTGGCATGCTTTTGAAGCTGTTTGGGGTCTGCACCGGCAACTCCTCTCTCATCTCTCTGTCTTTGTCTCTGTCCCTGTCACTGTCCCTGTCCCTTGTCCCCGTCCCTGTCCCTGTCTCTCTCTTTTTTTCTCAATCTCTCTCTCTCTCTCTGTCACTGTCTCTCCCCGTCGACCCCCAGCTGAACTTTCTGGGATGAGGGTATCTGGAGCCAGGCTGCTGACTTGCAGTACAGCACAGTCCAAAACTCTGACTGCAGTCTTGTGGACAGTGATTGTCTCCCTTCGTACCGTTCTTGATGCACTTTTCTACTTGGGAATTCTGCAAGTACAGATGGCGCAAGAACCCTCCGGCAACAAGCCATGCCGCACGTAGCACGTTGCATGGGTTAGGGTCTGAGTTGGAGTTGTCGTCCAAACAGAACAGCAGCAGAAAATCAGCTTAGGAAATGTTGCCATCGAAGCACACCATGTGACGTAGTTCGGGCTCCAGCTTAGAAATTAGCAAGCCTTCAGAGTCCTGGTTTTTCCTCCTTGGCTTCTGCTGCAGGTCGATCTCCCAGAGCTCTGGCCTCCTCGCAAGCAATGTCAACCAGGAGTCATGTGGTCGATGAGGTGTCAGGCTTGTGGTTTTTTTTTTGTTGCACGTGGTGGCTCGGTGTTGGCAGACTCGGCATGGCCCAAGACGACAGACTTCTCCGGATGCGTTTTCTTAGCACAAGTCCTGAATCACTGAAGGAGCTCTCCAATCGCGGAGTTGCAGTGGTCGTCACGAGCATCCAGAATGTCACCTTGCGGGCGTCAGGTTTAAAGGAAGAGAGTGTTGCTTCAACTGACACATGTTTGGTTCCAGGAGTCCTTAATTCTCAGGGGCGATTATTTGGTTGATATCCCGGCCTATCGACTGGGAGCAACTTGGGGTAACCTCAGGTGAAGATGACAACGACAACAATAACCACCACGTGCCTTGAAAGAAAACCATTCTCCAATCATGCGCATGAGAGAGGACGTCAGAGTGTTGTGCTGCATGCTGGGCTTCAGTGTTCGGTATATACAGTTGCTAGGGTCGGAGTTCTGCAGCTTGCAGGTCTGATTCTGATCTTTGCTTGTGTGTGTGCTCCTTTGACCCAAAGGAAGACGACCTTCACGATCACCACTTCGCGGACGACCAAGACAACAACGGCCTCCACCACGTCACAAACAAGCACCACCACCAATACTCCCGTGACTGGGTCGCACCCCAAACCCTAAGCCGCGAGCCCGAAACTGCCATTTTGAGTCAAGGGCCCTTTAGAGCCACCACAGGTCGACTGCGTGCTTGCGGATTGGTCTGCCTGGGGGAAATGTGACCGCCCCTGCAACGGCGGAAACCGAACACGGGAGCGCCTGGAGGCTGTGGCTGGGCAATTCGGGGGCCTGGCACCTTGGGCCTTCTTGAAAGCGTTTTCTCAATATCTTCCTCGTAGACGATGTGTATGCATCCTTACTGATTTGTTGCCTGGCGCTCGCGATAGAGCCCGCGCTGAAGACATTTGGATTCAAGCCGGGCACGAGGGGCCGGCTATCCGACGACGATAGTGGCTCCATCGCTGCAAAGGTGGAGCCGCTGGGATGACCCGCAGTTTGCAAGGGATCTGCACAGCCAAGGCATGTTCCGGGGAGACCCTCCAGATGTCAGATTGCAACACAAACCCTTGTGTTTTGGTTGCACTGCTTCCTAAACGATACAACCACATGTGCTACGCGCTTAGACGGTTCAGCATTTTGTTACTCGGTGTGTCGTGCTGTCTTGGAAGCTGCTGTCCAGTTTGTCAGAGGCTCAGACTGTCTGGCGGGCTACTACTTGGTCTTTGTGTCTGAGAGCGAAACCAACTGCACACCCTGCGAGCGCGGCCGATATAATCCTGACCCGGGAGCTCTTGGACCTGAGGCTTGCACTCCCTGCCCGACGCTGCAAGTGCAATGTTGAGCAAAAAGCTTTACAGTCTTCAACCCTTTCAATGCTTATCGGCTTTTGCCAAACCGGCGTCCTGACCGATAAGACTCTGATAAGACCCTAAACCCTTTCTGTGAGTCCCGTGAGCCCTTCGTAGCCAGTAAGGATGGGGGAGCAGAGCCAGGAAGGTGCCAGCTTCTGTGAGCCCTGCGCTGAAGGCTCAGCAGCCTCCCCCATTCTGAGTCAGAGCGCGTCAAGCCACTGGGCTCGCAGGTCTTGTTTTGTGAGGGACACTGAGTTTAAAGCACGTATCCTTACTAGAAGAAAATGTAGAGAAGATACGCACAAAGAAGAAATGGACATAGAAAATGAAAGACAAAACACCTCTTTGGTGTTGGATACAATGTCCTCCACAAGGCCATTCCATTAAAGATGGAAATGAAGATAATGAATTTGTAATTCTGTAAATCCTCATAAGACTCATCTGTCCTAAGGTAAGACATATCCCGTAAATGCTGTTCCCAGTAAGAAGAGGAAGTAAATAACAGTTCCAGAAAGCCGAGTGTTTGGATGATAAAAAATTGAAGCAAAATTTTTTTCCAGTAGCTCTTCAAATGATACACCCTTAGAATGACGATAACGTAAACGCCATCCATAATACATTTCTTTAGTTAGACAAGAAAAGAGGAAAGTATGCTGAATTGATATCTGATGTACAATGTAAACCTAAGCAGATTCCTGCAATAATTTGGTTCAAAATAGAAATGCCTTTTACAAAGCCAGTATTCCAATCCTCCAGCCAACTGTTTGGCATTTGGCAACCCAGGCAGCCTGAGCCAGCTTTCTGGAAGTTTCGTGGCCGGGCAAGACGAAGTGCAGCTTTCCTGCGGCGGGGGCACGTGCTCTGGCATCCTCTCCTTCAAAGCAGCCTGCACCACACAGAGGCTGCTAGGATTTCCGAGCACCGTGTTGAGTCAGAAAGGTTTGACTTAGTGGCGTTGTTCTCAGCCAACCGATGGTCCAGGCTGGCGCAGTTCTCAGCTGAAACACGATCGCTGGCTGGTCAGCCCACCCTGCTTGAGCTTACTGTTGGTGGCGGTGCCCCAATTGCCTGGAGCACAGCGGGCAGCACCACCTGGCAAGAGACGGGGGTGTCAGCCTCCGTGTTGCTGCCAGCGGAGGAGCAAATGATTATTCGGGTATGGGCATCGCAGGACACGTGCTTCTGTTTGGGAGATTGGGGGGTGCTTTGTTTTGTGGTATTCTTGAAGGTGTATCGCGGTCTTCTCGAGCTTCCCTTCGATCTAAAGATCTGTGTTGTGCTTTGTGCCTTTGTGCGTCAGCAACGTCAACCGAGGACGGCTTGGCCATCCGGTCCCTAACAATGCACTACTCAAGCTCCTGGCGTTTGTGTTAAAATATTTTCCCTGATTCTGCGCTCCCAGAGAATCCCTCAAAAGTCGGGAGTGGCTTTTCCTTGCTGTTCAAAAGCGGAGCGGCGAAGCCCTGCACCGAGGTGTGGGGAACGAATGCGGCTTCTTCACAGCGGTCCAAACTTGGACCTGCGCTCTCTGCTCCCCTGGGAGCTATGCCAACACCACTGGGACGACTTTCAGCCGAGTTTAGGGTCCGAGGTCGGTTTTTGATGCCCCCATGACGTGACCCCCATCTCTTGACATGGAAACCATTTCCGAACATCAAAGCTGCTCAGCTTTGACACCTGTCTCCCAATGAAACGCGCTTCAGCTTCATGCTTGATTGGGGCACCATTTCATCCCAAGCCGCCCAAGCCCATGATCTGCACAACGGCCCCGCAAGTCGCAGTGTACAGTATCACTGTATGCCGGCAAGTTGGGGCATTGCCCTTTCTAGAAGGCATGGTGGTCTCTTTTGAATCTAGGCAGGATGTCATTGCATTGGTGTAGCAGACATAGCGCACGACGCAACCCGAGTGTTCTAATGGAAGGACGGCATGCCGACGATGCGAAGCTGGCAGTTACGCGGATGCCTCTGGGACCTCTGCATGTCAACGCTGCAAGCCTGGTACCTTCAGTCGCTTGTCCACCAGATTGTGGGCACCCTTGTGGCTGAGCACGACTAAACAAATGACAAGAGATCATGGAACGACCCGATGAATCAAGATCCCAAACTCCCACAAGGCAACACCTCCGGAGCCACGGATCTGGCCGCCTGCGAACCCTGCCGACCGGGCACCTACGGCAATGCGAGTGGCGCCAGTGCATGCGAGGTGCAAGTCAGCAGCATGGGTAGCATGGGTTGCACGGGTTCGAAGTACCTGCATGCATTCTGCGTTTGGCAACGAAAGTGCCTGGCAGGCCTGTGTGGCGGGAAGGTATCACACGCAAACATCTGCCACGAGCAGCGTGGGGCTCAGTCGGCGTTGCAGATATTCTTGCTAGGTCGGGTGCAAGAAAAACTTTTCACCCCGAGCCCCGAGTGGTGTGCCAGTGTAAACGAACGCATCGCTCAGGTGACGTTTGCTTGGCATGCCTTCCTGGAGAGAGCAGCACACCTGGGTCGAGCAGCTGTCAAAGCTGTGCCAGAGGACTTGCGGCTGCCTCAATCCAGAGTTTTTAGGTTCCTGGGCCCTGGGCTTACGATTCGCGCCGAAGCTCAAAGACACCTGCTGAGCAGCGCAGAAGCTTTGAAGGAGGCATGAGTGATTGAGCTTGGTACTTGCGGCTGCTTGGAAGCTTGAGTGGACGATCGCAGCTTTGATCCAGGACGCTTTTCCACGCTCGCCGGGGATGTTTGCAGCCTTTGTGACCCTGGATTTTTTGCAGAGGCGCCCGGGGCCACGGTCTGCTTCTTGGGCTCAAGATATTCCGACAATTCCCTAAAGTTGATTTATTTCGAAGGAGCTCCAGGAGCTGTCCTGCCCCATGTGCTGCTATTTTGCTGCTTTCCCTAGGTCCTAGATTCCTAGATGTGCTTGGTCGGCAGTGAACCGCAGAATGCATGGACATACAAACATACACAAACCCTTGTGACATTTCATGTGCAGACGCCGTGTCATTCCTCTCACTCAAGCATGCAGTGCCGGAATGCTTGTGCAGCAATGCAGACCCGCAAGTGCAATCAGGCCCCTTCAGTGCACATGACCGAACACAAGAACACACACAAGTCTTCAGGTCTTCCCTGTGCGCGGGGGCGATGGGCCGGGAGCGGAGCCATAGTTTGCCAAGACTGCGAGGTTGCGAGGGGAGTTTAGGTTGATGTGGTTGATTCAGTCGGGGAGGGGCCTGGGCACAGGGCACCGAGCATAGAAGGTTTTGTTGTGATATGAGCCCATGAGTCCGCAAGAATCGGCAAGATATCGTTTCAACCAGGCTGGGAGGTTCTCGCCGCTGCTGGGCACCACGCCGGACAACTGCACCTTGCGTCTCGGGATGTCTTGGGTGAACCCTGCACTCACTCTGAAACCTTTATGCCAGTATCGGGGGGGGAGGGGGGGTTCTTTTGGTTTTTGTATTGATGGTGACGCCTTCTCGTGAATGGCTTTGTGGGCTTATGGGGTCGCATGACTTCCCGAGCCAGATATGTGAACGGTTCGCGTTGAAACCCACTCGAAGCCCAAGATTAGCAACTTCTACTCAGGTGCCCGGCTGGCACGTTTGGCACATCCCCGGGCGCCGACTCGGCGGAATCTTGTGAGGGCTGCGCGCCTGGCAATTTCAGCAGTGAAGGCTCCACTGCCTGCGCACCTTGCCTGTTGGGTTTCGCAACTTATTTTGTCTAGTCGTCATCTTCGGAGTATTTATAAGGCTTTGATTCTTGGATTCTAGGAGAATCTAGGGGTCAATCTGGGGCTCGGGTCAAGTGTCCCAGCTGAGTGCAGCACCAAGCACGTCTTGACTGTTCGCCGACTTCAATCCCTAGTAGCAGGCTTTGGCCTATGACCGACCGGACTACCGTTGTCTTACAGTGACCTTTCAATGCTGCGATTCCAGGAAACATGTCCTCTGGGAACAATCAGCACCGGAAATGCTTCACAGTGTGCCTCTCGGCATCAGCCCAGTTGTTTTGCAGAAGTCCAGAAATTGTGGCGGTCTCTGTTTAAATCTTTTTATTATCCATTGCTAAACTTGCAGATGGCTGTTCATGTGGCACTTCGGGCCTTCAGAAGTTGAGGCGCTGGGTGCTCTCCGAAGGCTCCAACCCTTAGTTCATTTTTCACAAGTTATCATGCGACTGGTATCCTCGTCCTTTCCGAAGGACGTTTGCGTGGCTGGCCGCGTGGCGGAAATCGCAGGGCTGGCGGTCTGCACCCCCTGCGCGGCCGGGCGTTATGGGCTGCCCGGCCGAATTCAGGGAGACGTGGGGCTGAAAAAGGATGAAAAAGGTAGGGTGGGGCTCAGGGTGAAAGCTATCCCACACAGCACACACTTTTGGGTTTCCGTTTCTAAAAAGAGACGGGGGGCCCGATCAACAACTGCAATGGCTGTTCAGAACTCGGAAAAGACACGGACAGATCCGGCAATATCGAAGACGAAGTTCGGGGCTGTTGGGTTGTGAGGCCCATTCGGGGAATCTTTCTGGATCACTTTAGCGTTTCGGGGTCGCTCCTTGCACCTTTGCCACCTTTGGCATTCTTGTTGTCGGCTGGCTTTTCAGCATGGGATGCTCTGCGTGTGTCTTGCCCATCCCCTAGTCATGCGTCATGCGAGATGGCCTTCCAGTCATGTTGCAGGCCCTGTTGCGTCTTAGTTGTGAAGGGATGAAGCCCCTGTTGTGAGCCTATCCCGGCGTAGGGAAGTAGAGCATGCAACATGCTGACATGAACCACGAGCTTAGATCAACAACAGGTCGAGTCTGAGTTTTTCGTCAGTTGGTCCCAGGCCGAGGAGCATTGAAGCCTGTCCCCCCCAAAACAAGCAATCAACACGTGACTGTGCTCAGGCTGAACACGTCGTACTGTACTGACTGCGAGCCAGGGCGGTACAGCCAGGCCCGTCTTGCGCTCAAGTTCCCTGTTTTTGGAAAAAGTTGTCAGCCACGGAGTGTCCACAAAATGCCAGGGTCTCTTCCGACAGGAAGGGTGAAGAGCATCTGGGGCTCTTGTTTACGCAAAGCTGCACCAAGTGGTTCCGTGTAGCGAGGTGCAACTGAAGTGCGGACAACAACCCACCGAAGTGACTCTACTCACATGGGCTCGACTCTATTGTGCACTATGTTCATGTCTTCTGCCAGTTTGAATCCAATCTCCCTTGCGATTCCCGAAAATGACATGCTTCCATTGCTTCCGATCTACACGGCTGCTGCTGGAAGCCCTAGACAGGATTTCTTACAACGTTGCTGTGTTTCATCCAGAAATCCGTTGGTGTGCACCGAAGCGTCGCATGATGACAGCCCTTGGCGTCACATCCTGGCACACTTCATCACTCCCGCACAGCCGCAGTTTGCTGACTGTCACCTATGAGAACCCCAGGCACTAAGCCCACGAATCCGCACTCCCTGTCCGCCCTGTCCTTCCTTTTGCTAAACTTTAAGCACGTCTCTACACCATCTTTATGGTCGGATTGGCTTGGCTCGATGAGCCGACTTCCCCTTCATGTGTCCCAAGCACCGTCAGAACTTGGCTGACGCCAACGCTGAATATTCCAGAATGATGGCATTTATGTCATCAAAGTCATCAAGCTAAAACCCTCAAAGGTCAGCTAAGCGGGTGGCAAAAAAAAACCCTCAAAGCCTCGAAGCTGGTGAGGAGCTGGGAGCTACTGGCAGCGAGTCCTGCCTTGCCTGCCCAGCAGGCTGGAATCTTTGAGATCTGCTTGGGGAATCGGAGGGAAAAGACAGGGGCCTAGGGCCCCTTGTTTAGCCCCTTAGAGGATACAAAGGGTCGGTTCTCACTGACCTCTACTTTTGGGGCCTTGGGGGTACCGGGAGCTTCGGACTTCAGGCCTGAGGGTGATTGAAATGCATTGTCTTCGGAGTCCCGAAGGTAACTAGGTCGCACAGGATGTCTTGCCTTCCATCTCGTGGTTGTTTTCTGTGTATGAATGTCTGGTTGCTTGAAGTCGTTTGTTCGAGGTTGGTCTTTCAGAATTTCAGGTCAGGCTGAAGCCCCGCCTGAGTCCCTAAGCCACCACTTCTGCCCATGGGTACAGTGGAGCAGAGAGCATCGATTGCATTTTTTGGGGCTGCTGAAGAGTCGGCACGTTCCCTGCCTTGCGGCGTCGTTTCATGAGCCTCCAACGCGGAACTGGATGTTGTCTGTGCAGCTCTATACAGGCCACCTGAGCCCGAAATCCGGTAGAAGCGATCAAACGGGGAAACGTGAGGACACACCACAGTTCTGACACCCAAAGTGGCTGGAGGCAGAGCTTCGCCGTCCTTCGGAGCTGGTTCGCCGTTGCGCTGCGCTCCCTGTTTGCCCCTTTGCTGTCAGCGCTTGGACAGTTGGCTGTTGACCACATGCCATGCCTACGATGTGAGTTGTGGAGAAGGGATGCTTGAACGACGAAGCATCGAGACTTGTGTTCAGGACGTTCTTGCTAGAGCATGTCGGTTTGCAATCCATTGGATTCTACGAGTTGGGGCCCACTTCACGCTTGTGATGTCGACACGCTTCGGCCATTGCCATGGTCTCTAAGGCCTTCCATACATGCATTGACTCATGGTGTCCCGTGTCTTTGTACTAATTCTTTGGTGTGAGCCTGTTTCGTTCAGTAGCCAAGAGCAGCCCATCAAGCAGTGCACATCTCTGAGGTTTGCACGTGTTTCCCCCAACTCTGCTTGCCAGATGTGCATGCTTGGCTCTCTCCCTCTCTCTCTATATATGATTATACATGCACGTGTGAGCATATATGTATGCATGTATGTATGTTTGCATGACTATGCCCGTGCGTAACTGGGCCTGAGGCCGGGTCAGGCGGCCACAGAGGGCCAAGCCACCTGCAGCATCTGGGTCCAACTGTAGCCATATCCCGTTGCGTAGAAGCTAGTAAACTTCGCCCACTAGCCAAAAGCCACTGCCAGCCGCCGAGTCCCAAACGCCAAGCCCAAATATCTAAGTCCTAGATCAGAGCAATTCGGGTAGGAGCTCTTGTAGGTATCGAGCTTGGGGCCAGATCCCAGGCACCTGCCAAGCGGGCCGATACAGTGTTCAAACAGCTGCTTGGACATTTTTGGGCTTGGCTAAACAGAACCAGTGCCATGAAGAGCGATTTCCACTCCTATAAGCTTGGCAACAGATGAGCAAATGGCCCATCATGGAAGCCCTTGCAACTAGCCCGTACGTGTCAAATTGTCTCGTTGCAAATCATCATTGCTCAGGGCTATAAACCAAACACCTGGATTTCGAGAAGCACCCGGGTTGCGATGAACAGTTGCTGTCAAAGACCCTGGAATCCATCCCACACGTCAGTCTTGTGCAACTGTACTCATCCTGTAACCCTGTCAACCTTGCCAGGACTGCCTGGCATGCCCCTTGGGGCGCTATGTGCGCTATGCGGGGCAGACAGAGTGTCTCCAGTGTGCAGCTGGGTGGAATGTTTGCGGTTTACTGACGGGGCCAGAAGCTTTCTCGATGCAAAGGGCATGGGCACGCGCATTCATGTGCAGATGTCTAGCAGAATCTAAATTGCTCAGATGATCGGTGTTCGATTTGTTGAACTTTGGGAGCTTCGTGATGCCTCGCTGCAGCTGCTCTCCCAGGACAAGGGTACCTTCAACGACGATGCAAGCGCTCCATCGACAAGCTGAAGCCCGTCAGAGAAAAGTTGAAGCTTCGAGTAGTCTGGAGTAGACAAAGGGAGTCGAAGGGGTACGTTGCTCAAGTCGCTCGTCCTATTTGGACACCTTGTTCCTCCTTCCACCTTTGTCGCTGATCCTGACCTGGCCCCCCCTTGACCCTTCCCCTCCGCAAGTTCACCCAGGCAAGAGCTGCGCGGCCGGAAAGTTTCTGAACCAAGAGGGCGGCACTGCAGCATGTCTGCATCTTGTACTTCCTAAAACCCTTAAGGGCCAGGGCTTGGCCCGTGAAACGACCTTGAATGTTTCATTCAGTTATGACATCCAGTGCAGCGCGTCAACTGTTGTAATTACAAACGAATGAGGAGTTAAAGCTGTAAGACGTAGACCTGCATCACGACGACGGAATGCGCTGGCCCAACACCGTCGCTTGTAAAATGCGACGCTGCGCGGAGACGCTTCAGCTGCTCCAGGCTGCCGCAGATTGCCAGGACTGCCCTGCGGGAACCTTTGGCTCCACTCCCGGGCAGTCATTGTGCGAGGCCAAAGTGTTGGCTGACGTCATGTTTAAGAGGATGGAAGGCTCAGGCCACTATAAGCCATTTCGGAGTTCCATGTCGGACCCTTGGGAGCTAGCCGCAGCTAGGCAAAAGGCTCGAAATTTTGAATTCGGGTTGCTCGTTGAGTCTTGCGGGCTTATGCAAGAAGATGCATTCCTGGTTTCAACTCTGCTTTTTCGCCATTGGCCACTTTCCAAAACGCATTCTGTGGGACCTCACCGGGTTGTTGCAGGTATGTGCGCCTGGCTCGGTGTCCCGAGCAGATGGCCGCAGCCAGTGCGAGGAATGTCCTGCCGCGGGTCTTGGAATTTGTTTGAGTTCTCGTATGTGGAGTAGAGCCTCGGTCTTCCAGTTTCTTCTTTTCAGGAGCTGTGTTTGGTAGCAGATTTCAGTTTTGGAGCTTGGCATCGCAGATTTTTGCAGAAGTTGTGGATGTCTTAGTACCTTTCGCGAATGACACGTCCCCGCACCGGCCTCCGCTTCATCCATCACGATTCCAGATGTGCCTCCACGGGCTTTCCGCAGCAATCCTCTTGTGAAGCGTCTCGAGTGTTACACCGGAAGGAGGGCCAAGTCCGCTTGTGTCGCTCTCCTTTTTCTATGTCAATCTAGATGGCTAAGTCTGCCCATGCCGTCCCATGCATTGGCAAGTCGAGGCGCTGTCCAACACGCCTCCTGGAGCATTGGCCTGTTGCCCCAGCAGCTTGTTCTGTATTGGGGACTGGCTGAGCTGCGTGTTTGGACCTTCGGAGCTCGACATCTGATGTATGTGCATACATCTATGCAGGCATATGTATGTAGATACACATAGTGACAAGTATTCAGTCCGTTTGTCCTCAAATTTTGTGACGCCCTCATACGAAGTGGTTGTCTTGTTCCGCGCCGCCCTCAGAAGCCGTGGTTGGTCTTTGTTCCGTGTGGGCATTGCGGCTTCGTATCTCGTCATGACCGATGCTTCGAGTGACCTTGTCAAGTACTCATGTTTAGAGTTTTGCATATATACATATAGGTACATACATGCATAGGTATTATGCTTTGCAACTTGGTCGGCTCAAACAACCTGCTTGACGAAGGCCCAGACTGAAAGGCCCAAGGCTTGAATCCTCCAGAGATTTCGCGGACCCAAGCCCCCAAAACACCCCCACCAAGCACTCCTTTGAATCCTCGAGCAGCTCTGGGAGGTTCGGAACCCTGGCTTTGGACATCAGGATCACTCTCCCTGGCGCCCGGGAAGAGCAAAGATGTCGCTCAATCGCAGATCTTTTTGGGAGGCTTTCGGTTGGTTCGAGGGATGATAGGGTTTAAGGCTTTTGGAGGTTGAAGGGGCAAAGAAGTCCTGAACAACTTTCTCGTTGAGGGTTTTGGAGGTTCGATGGGCAGGTCGTAGACTTTTTAAGAGCTTTGTTGGCCCAACTTCTGTTTCTTTCAACCGATGGTGTCCACGGCATAGTGCACGGCCATTTGGGTCACCTTGCGGATTCAATTCTCAGTTCTCGTTGACACTGTGTCCGAGTCTTGGTTGGCGGTTGCGTGGGCCTTCAGTCCTGAGTTCTGAGGGTTGGCATGTGCGTTAGCCATTCTAGCCGATCATGCCTCGCAGTCCAGGTGCAAAAACAGCTTTCGCACTACTGCTGATTGTGAAGTATGCTGCTGCTGATGATGATGATGCTGATGATTATGAGTATAATTGTTATTGCTGATTCCAGGCCCGTGCTCCGACCTGAAATATGCTGAGCCTTCGCCCCCCCCCCCCCCTTCCCCCCTCCCCAAAAAAAAATCCCTTCTTCAGGAAGTGTATCACCTCCCGGAGCTGGCTTCCTGCAGTCTTGCGACGGGGGAGCCGACCCTGATACCTGCAAGTGGCAACACGCCCGCCTTCAGCGTCCGCGTCGTGCGCGCAGAGGGTTTGCATGAAAGCCAGGAGCTTTTTTTCGCGAGATGTATCAAGCAACAAGTTTTATCAATTGTCCATTCCTTCCGTCCCGAAGAAGACCTTCTACAGCAACCATTCAAATCCTGGCCCTGCCTGCCTACTGTAGGCAAAAACATTTCCTGGGGCGCTGTCAGCGTCGCCACCCTGGGGCAGAGCGGACCCTGGACAAAAGACCCGATAAGAAAGAAGAAAGCAGTCTTAAGCTTTAACAGTCAACAAGTTGAGGTACTTCGAGGTTGGGTTTGTGCAGGAGCAAGTAACTCTCGAGAATCCTGCTATTCTGAAGGGCTCATCCCATCGTTTTGCGCCTTTGGTCTGTTGGTTCTTGGCTGGGGGTGTTTGGATGACTGGTCTGGCTTCCAGGAACCGTAGATGGCCGTGGAAGGTGCGTCCTGCTATTTTGGGCAAGCCGTTGGCAACATTCAAGGCTGCTGCAAGCACTCTTTGCTGTGGTGGAGTTTCTCAGAACAGACTAGGAGGCTAATCTTGACCATGCTTGCCGACATCCGGCATGAAAACAGCACTGGACCACATGAGAGGGCAAGACTTGGAAGCGCAGCTTGCAGGGTATTGCGAGGCTTTTCGAAGGTTGGGAAGCAGAATCCTGAGTTTCCAGGAGTATTGGGATGAGTTCGAGGGTTCAAGGCACAGGTTTCGTAAGGGAACTCTGCAGAGAGACTGAGCTGAAAACACCCCAACGGCTCGGGGTAACCAGGTACAGTAGGGCCCAAGCAGGGTCTCGAACGAAGCATCAAGGAATCCACAGCTGCTTGGACATTGCCTGCCGTGGCCAAGACCAGGCCGCATTTCGCGACAGGTTTTGGAGATTTGCTTGGTGGCTTTGGGGCCTTAAAATTTCGATTCCTCAACCTGCATTCATCATCCTGTTGCGAATAGGGTGCATACAAAGTCCGTGATTTCAAAGGTTGAGGGAATTGAGGGAATAGTGTGCCAAAAACCCAGAAGCCAGGGCAGCTGGTGAGGAAGCAGAGGTGGAGCAGAAGGAACGGTGCCTCATGCCGCCAATGAAACGGCTGCGGTTGTTCGCAGGCACACTGCAGCCTCCTCGTTGTGACTGGCGGCAAGGCGGGTCAAAGATGAAGGGATTTCAAAGGTTTGGTTGTTAAAGTTTTCGTGGAGACTGTCTTGACCAAGCTCAGGGCTTTCTTTCCGCAGTTCTAGGGTTTGGTCCCATGGGTGTCGAACCCACAGTGCTTCTGGGCTGTAGGGTCTAGGAGGGCCTAGCGAAGGTCCACGCGGAAAATGCCGCTCTCAAGCCCTTGGGAGATGCCCATGACAGTCCAGAAGTTGACGATTGAAAGCCTCCCGCCAGAGCAAACCCCTCACAAATGCATTCGCGTTCAGAAGGAGCCGTTTTCCCCGTAAACTCAGATTGCAGGGAACCCTGATCCATGAAACCATGATGGCCAGCCGAACTTCGGCACCGGCGACTCGCTCACAGTGGAGGCCGAGGTTACCACCTACTACGGCCGGAAGGCGGTTTCGGTCTCGAGCTGGGGGCGAGGTTGTGGTTGTTGGGGCTGTGATATTGTCCATTGGCTGGTCTGTAGCTCCTGGCAAACGACAGATAAGATAAGATAGGACAGACATCCAAGACCGGCTGCGTAGGCTTCATTCGCCTTCTTGGATTGAGGCAGGTCTTAGGTTGGGCTGGTGCTTAGAGTTGGTTCTAGTTTTTTTTCTTGCATCGTGTCGTGACATCCAGTGCAGTTCCTAAAGTTGTTTGTGTGTGCGTGTGAGCGCGATTGTGAGTGCACGTTTCTTCTCTCTCCCTCTCCCTGCGATTGTGAGTGCATGTGCGCCATGCTGAGTAATGCTGCAATGTCGATGTGCTGTCTCTTTTTTTGTTTTATTCTTCTTCTGCTGTTGCTGCAAACCTTGGCCCCGCTTGCCCATGCAGTGCCCCTGGGAAGGTTTGCGCAGACCGAGCAGAGGTGACATTCGAAGGCCGACATCTCTGGGTCTAAGCAGAGGGTGAGAGCAGTCTTAGGCGTTTCTTTTGAGGCCTTGCGTTCATGTACCTTTCCCTTCGAAGCTGTGCCGGATTGGCAATGACTTGCAATTGCACTTGGCTCGAGTTTCTGGACTTCAGCTGGCAGTGTAGATAGGCTACATACACGTCACAAACCTGCCTATGACCAATGCAAATCTTCTGCGTAAAGCCTCGCAAGCCCGATCCTAGACCGCAGGCTTTGGCTGTGCGCCAAACACGTGGCTCGCCTGCAAAAGACTTTGGTTCACTATTCCTCGAATCGGAACTTAGAGGCATTGGAACAAGTTACACGACCAGGCCGCCGACAACCTTCCCCCCTCCAGGCTGCCCTACTTCCTGTTGGCCCTCAGCGTCGTGGTGAGCGCAACCGCCCAGACCTGAGACGGTGGTGTCGGTGGTGCCAAAGAGGGGTTCCTGCAAGGTACTGTACAGGGTTCCATAAAACCACAAGGTACTGAGGATGAGTTAGCCACGGAAGCAATCTGCAGGGTGCTTAGGCATTTTGGCTGTCAGGGAAAGCTTGTCAGGATCGATGAAGATTGTGACACAGTCTACTTACCACGCGACATGCCACCTTCCATTTGGCATGTGAGCGCCCTCTAGAGACTCTAAAGGCCAGGCAGGAAAGCAAATGCACCCCAAAAGGTTCAACACCTTACACTGTGCCTCGTGCGCACAGAGATCCGGTATCCCGAGCGACTGTAATTGCTGTAACTCCTCATAAACTCATTTGCCCTGAAGGCAAGACATAACTTGACATAGCCCATAAATGCTGTTCCCATTAAGAAGAAGTAAATAGCAATTCCAGAGATATAGCTCTTCTGAGACTAAGAACTACAAAAAGAAGTAGAATGAAGACAATGTAAACACAATTCAGAACATATTTATAAGAGCTAGAGAGGTTTTTGTCCTCGCGCCGCCCTCAGAAGTAGGGACGGCTTGCTCTGTCCTCGCGTCGCCCTCAGCAGTAGGGATGGCTTTGCTCCTGTGGTTCAGATACAGAGGTGAATATGGATAAAGGAACGAAGTGAACTATGAAACGCTGAACGAAGTCATCTCGCCCCCAAAACATAGAAGTCTTTTCCTGGGGGCTTGTACTGTATCTTTTCTATTCACTCGGGCCCAATGACAGGTGATTCTTGGGCTCATTACAGAACTCGTCGGCCACTGCAGACGCTCGGCCGTGGCATAGAGTTGGGTGACGAAGTCGCTAAGGGCTTGAGTGTGTTGGCTTCAGGCTCTGTTAACGCAGCTTCCAGCTGGACCGTAAAGACGCTTAAACACCCAAGCAGAAGGATCTGCAACCCAAAAGCTCCAAACACATGGAAACCCGAGCCGGGAACTCATCTCAGCACAGGAGTCCAGGTGCTGGTGGAGTGCAGCTTCTCCATGCAACTGCCAGCGATGTGGGCAGCCCCGCTCTGTCGCCGAGGAGGTCTTGTTCTTGCCGGTGATTTCGTTGCTCCCGGGTGCGTGTCTTTAAGAGTGGACTTAAGCCTTCGGTGTTCATGTGGTGAAGCTATGTAGACACTGGCCGATGAGCTCTACATGTTGGGAGGCGCTTCGAGGCAGCAAAAGCTGCTCAGCTGTTGGGTGTGTAAAGCTCGAAGGTCCCAGCCCAGCAGCTGCGCCCGACGCTCCGGATCTTCCTTGCCTTCCAAGCCAGGCCTGAGAGCATAACGTTAAAGTGGGAATACTCCTTCTTCGGGCTACGGGCTACAGACTCCTGCCCATAAAGCCTTATCATGGACGTTTTTGAAGAATTGGAGAATACTCAGGACAACCATTAGTACCTGCTCTTATCACTGTGAAGAGCCTGAAATTGCATGAGGCATTTATTGCCTTTCGCGGTACACGTCTCAAGCATTTTTGCCTTCCTCTGTGCGATGAGCCTCCCGAGTCCTCCTCGAGCCTGCGCAGCTCCAAGCGGTCAAGGGTCCTGGGTGCACCGGAGGATGCTGCTGAGGCCGACTCGGACTTGTGACTTGTTGCCTTGTGTTCAGGGCTGCGATTGAGGGACGCGTGGTGTAGCAATTTTAACGACCTTGAAAGACCTTCATGTGGAAGCAACCTTTGAAGTATGTTGAATTTTTACTTCATTTCCCAAACATGTTGGTAACGTGGCGCAGTAGCCCAGAACGTCCAGAGCCAGTCGGAGCGTTTTGCTTTCAACATGGCAACCTACCACTTCAGAATACTCTGGGCACCTTGCAATAGTCCACTCGGAACAGTTCACCGAGAATGATCAAGGTGTATCTTCCGTGGGCAATACTGGATCTTGCGGTGGAGCAAACATGGGGTTTCCAGACCTTGGGCAGTGACGGACCAAACTTGAATTTTGCCTTTCTGCGTGTGCATTAGCAGTGCACCCATGGTGGCAATGCAAGGTTGGCGAAGCAGAGGAAGCACGGCTACCTTCCATGTCGGACAAGGCTCGGGGGCTCAGTTGTGACACAGTGCTGAGCAGTGCCCAGAGCTTGAGCCCCTGAGCCAGCTTTGCTGGTTTGTAACACAATGTCTTCGTGCCTCCTCGCTTGGCCCCAGCATTAACATGGAAACCCCCTCAGCCGCCCCATCAGATGCTACTGCTAGTGGCGATCGCAAGCCATGTCCTCTGACTCAAAGGCTGCCAGCCCCGGGAAGGTGCCGAGCACGGTGGAACATGGAGAGGCACAGCAGGGAACACGATCCTGCATGACCCTCGGGCCCCCCCAACCCCCACCCCCCCTCTGTGGTGTGGTTGTGGGTTGGCTTTGTTTGGGGTTTTTGAGGTGTTAGGGCTTCGGCTTTTTAGGGTTTAGGCCGGCCTTAGAGTTTAGGGTTGTAAGAAACCAACCCTAATCCTGAGTATGTTGCTGTAGACTCAACCCATCAATCTTCTGCGTGCAAAAACACTTCTTCTGAATGGGTCTTCGTCGAACATGTCTTGCTTCCGTTTAAAGGCACGACGTAATGTTTTTTGCCTTGCAGCCGCAGCCAGGCAGGTGTCGGAGATGAAAGCCTTTGCACGTGTCCATTTTTCGTGTTGTTTCAGCAGCATGTGCCTTCATTAGGGTTTTGTCGGTGCACCTTTTGCTTCATGCTTCTCACTTTTGCCCACAAAGCCGAAAATTCCGTCAATGTCACCAAGCAACCCAAACCCAAATCAACAACATAATGTATACAAATGCAATAACCCCGGAGAGTCCCTGGAGCGCCCAACCCCAAAGCCTGGAGTGCCCAACCCTGTTTTGTTCAAACCTGCGCGCCATTACATGATTTCTCACCAAAGCGCATCAAAGCACGGGGGCCCTGGGAAGACCAAGCCCTTAACCCCAAGAACCATCTGCCGTGGAGTACAAGCAAGAGTATCCCCAAGCCTCGGTGTCTGCAAAGGAGGGCGATGGCATGGAGATTGTCCTCGATGAAGCGGAGCCGGTCATTTCCGAAGCCGGATCTTCAATGGACCCTGATTCAGGCTCATTCAGGCATCCTGATCAGGCATCCTGAAAGTGTAGACCGAGGCTTCTGAGATGGATGTCGCTAAATCTCCCTTGGAGCCACATTCGAGATGCGCATTCGAGATGCTTTGTGTCTTGCGGAGGGAGCCCGTTGCTAGCAAAAAGCTTTCGGATTTCTGGGTTCAGAGTCGTGGCCGCCAAGGACACGCCCGAGCCGGAGAAGCTTCCTGCGGAGATCGAGCACAGTGCAACTCGCTTTTGCATTGCTGCGTGTTTGGGTGTTGGGTGTCCCTCCCCCCCCCAGCCTCTGAAATGAGGCCCAAGCCTTGCCAAATCGAGAGAATTTTTCCAGTTTTTGCCCGCTCCCCCAAGCCCTCCTTCTGTTCGCCTCGAAGCATCGGAATCAGGAGCACAGAAAGAACGGAATTCTCTCTCCGCTGCATGTCGCCCTATTCCACTTCGAACTCCCGGCTGCCGTGCGAAAACCTCGGCTTCCTTTGAGGCTTCTGGCGTCAGCGTGAAGGAGTGCGAAGTCACGCTAGGCAGCTCGTCCTGGAATTGCCTGTGTATGATGTTTGGGGATGTGATCAGCACCTATCAATGCTTGAGGGATCCATTTCATTTCTTGAAGGCCGTCGATCCTTTGCTTGCCTCCCCCGACGAAAGTTAAACCTACAGTGCCAAACCCCCCCCCACCCGCCCCCCCCATCCTTCCCATATCTAGGATGTCTAGCGAAGATCCCACAATCGAGGCCCTACTAGGTGTGGTGATGTGTTTTGGCCTTGTCTTCGCTACCTAGTTACCGAGTTGTCCTGGTCCGTTGCACAACTATCACAACTACAGTGGGGAGAAGAAGCCTCAACTCAGGCCCAGAGCCCTGCAAGCAGAACAGACAGAGATCGGGGAGTGCAAGCCTGCAGTCTGGGATGTCTCTGCGCGACTGGACCATATGAGCCCTATGAGCCCTGTAACTTTCAAATCCGCAGAGGTCGAAACCTCCGTTTGCCTCGCTCGCTTCTGCTCGCTTAAGCCACCAAAGCCCGCCGCAAGCACCAACTTCCAAGCACAGGTTCGACGGCAGAGTGCCGCGACGGGGCAATGCCTGAGGAGGAGGCGTCTGGGCGTTAAGTGAAGTCCTACACATTCTCAAAATTTTCTCAAGTCTCCGGCCCTCAAGCCTGGCAGTCGTCGCTTCAACGACTCCAGGATCACGACAGCCAGAGCCAGTCATCCATCAAGTGGCCCACGTAGCTCGGCCAGCATTGTTGGTTCGTCTGGGGTCTATGGGGAAGTTCGACCGACAAGTGTTCCCGAATCAGGAAGGCTTCCAGAAAGCTGCTAAGTGGCAAACAGGAGTGCCGGGATAATTGTTTCCAAAGCACCATTCACTTTCTTCAAGGATATGCCACCTGGCTCATCAAAGTCAACACCTGCCATCCAATTCCCCACCCAATCGCCTTCCAAAAGCAACTGCGACGGAAGACGCATCATCGCCTTGCTATCGTGTAGATCATTGCACCATGTTTCGGGTTCAGGACGTTCGTTTATTGCAATGTGCCCAGGTTCTCGGCCCTGCGCCAAAACGTCGTGGAGCAGCCGATCCGTTCAACAGTAGCTTAAGGGAGTTGCGTGCTGGGTTGGTAGCTGTGGCTTGTGCTACGGATTGTGCATAATTATTGTGGTTGCAGGCTACACGGCCTGTTGTGTTTTGCTATAGAATGTTCTATGTGTGTATATATGCGAGAAGAAACTGCTGTCTTGGCCCTCAACAGTCGTCTCAGGCTCGAGATCGAGCCTTCTCGCCTACGGCATTTTGCTGCCTGGACGCAGCATGCGACTTGGCCAAGAGGGAAAACACATCCCGCTCGCTGCTCGGGCTTTTGTGGCCAGGGAAAGTCGTATCCTTCGTCCAACTCCCAAAAATCTTCAACTGCTAGGGGGTGCCCGCCTTCAGCATGGCACCTTTCAGTTTCTTGCTTACTCCGGTTCTGGTGGCCCTGGTAGTTCGTGAGTGTCGTTGTTGGTGCAGTTGGAACCCCTGCACGTGGAGTATCATCAGAGCTCTCTGGATGATTGTACGTATTGTTGGCCCTTATTGTACAGTGTGGGTTGTGGAGGAGGCTTCCCGGCGAAGCGGGCAGCATATTCTGTCGATAGGAACTAGTAGCGCGCCCTACTAAATAAGGACGGGCTAGTGTAGCCTGCCCCCGCCGTGCCAGGACGGCCAAGCGCCCTCGCTGCAAGTCGAGTACGCAGTTCAGATCCCCAAGGCAGTGTGGGAGCAAAACTTCAGGAAGTCTATGACATCCTATTATGGCAACCCAATAGTAAGGGCTTTCAAGCATGTTAAACCCACAATGGCACAGAGACTAGACTGTGAGCACTTGAACTGGATGACTAGGCGCCCCTGGCCAGCCGTGTGTCCTTCGCTTCACAGGTGGAGGTCGTTGATTGGCGTCAGCGCATGGCGTCCTGCCACTGGCACATGGCCGCCGGAGGGCCCTGGGGGCAGGCTCGTCTCTTCTCTGTGGGGGTTTGGCGCTCTGGACCCTTAAGCTTCTCATGGCCCTAAACTAGCTCCGGACCTTTGCAGGCTGTCCATATATAGGTGGCTTGACGAGCCACCGCGAAGCTTCGGAGATTCCCATCGTGCGTTTCGCGCCGTCGTGGATGTGCTTTCCGTTTGTCCATCATGGTGCTCACCCCTGCAAGGACATGTGAGGATGGAAGTTCTTGGCTGTCAAGTCTTCCACGCTAAGTGTGGGGTTTTGCCAGCTATTTTCTTAGGGGCTTAAAGCCACTCTAGTGGCTCAAGCCTTGCCGGCAAACTCATCCACTGGTCTTGAGCATTGATCCGCCGTCTGTTTCTGGGGAGAACGGGGGTGACGCTACTTTGAGCATCAATTAATCAGGGCATGCGACTGGCAAAAGCCGAATCGTGAAATGGCAAGCTGCCGCTGTGATCCCTTTCGAGCAATTTAAGCAACTCGGGCAGAACTCCGCCAAGCCCTTCCGCAGGCCACCGTGCAGCAACAGCCGCCAGCCTTGATCAAGGCAAAAGGAAGAGCGCCGGGCATGGATCTCTTGGACCGCCCTGTCATGTAGACTGTAGATTTTGGGCATTGGGGCTTGGGGAGGCAGATTGAGGATTGCGTTGCTTTGAAGGCTTCAAGGCCCGGAAAGGTTTCGAGGGAGAGCAGGTTTCGGACCTTACCCATGCTGGCCGATCCTTGCCCATGAATCTCTCCTCTCGCAGCCAGGATATGGTGGAGCGCTGCAGTAACGCCTTGCTAGGCCGGCGTTTCTCCGAGGCCCTCGTCATCATTCATGAACCACATCCTTGGGCCTGATTTGGTTGTTCGAGGGGGCAACCTTCAACTGGCGAACCCCGTCTTCACCCCCCTCAAATCGAACCTGAACCCCTCAGCCTGAAACCCCGAAACCCCTGAGGGCCGGAAGAGCTTTTCTTGTGTGCATTGAGCTAAATCCCTGTCACTGTCTACTGTGTCAGTCGCGCCGGACAGAGATAGCAGTGGACGACGGCTGTATATATTTCGACAGATCCTGTGCTGAGATGATCCTCGCAGTTTGTCACATGTGCACTGCCCCGGTCGTCGTCGTCGTCGTCGCTGCCCTGCTCGAAGCACATCTGGAATAGTGAAAAGGGTCTGGCCACGCAGTTGCGATCAGGCCCACCTAGGAGGGGGCGGCAACAGAACAGGGCTCTCTATAAGTATAAAGATAATATAAACAGACGAAAGATGAACAGAGAAATGCGTAACAACCCGAATTAAACAAATTATATTTACATATTTACATGTGTATGTACATATATATATATATGTACATAAAATATAATATATATATATATACACATATATGTATACACACATATGTATATAAATATATATGCAAAGTCCTATTGTGACATATGTGGGTGCGCATCATGTAGACGACGGATAGAACCCTCCAGTCCCAGCCAGGAAGCCGAAGAGGCCGAGCTCCGCGCCCTTCACCTGGAGGCTGTGTGGGGATCTTCGTAGGGACTTATAAGAGCTTGCAAGCTTTCTCGGCTACCTGACTGCAAACCTCCGTGACCAAACGTGCACAAACAGGAGAACTGTTGCAAGTTCTCCTAAGCCTCCTTTGCCCTGACAGGTGGCCCGGAACCTGCTTCGGAAGATGACAAACCGCACAGCGCGTGTTTTGCTGGGCGCCTCGGACCGAATTTAGGCAAGGGACGGCGTAGCTGAGTCTTGAGTATGCTACGGGTGGATATATGGGGTACAGTAGCCTGGAATCGCCTGACCCTGCGTTGAGGAGATGAGAAATGAACTGGTGTATGTATTTTGCAACTAGTTTGAACAATGGGGCTTCCTGTGGTGTCCTTATCTCACGCTCTGCAGGCACCAAGATTTCGAAACCAGTTAACAGCAGTTGCTTCATGATTCCCGCAGTCTTTGCAACTACCCGGCGATGAAAACCTAGATGGAGGCGTCGGGCGGGGCGTCATCGGCTGTAAGTGCCTAGAGCATCAATTTTGTGCTGTCGGGACAAGGACTGCAATACCTCTGCAACCTCGTGGCTGCCGCCTACCTGCCATTCGCGTCTTGCCAGCGGTTGGACTGCTATGCGCAACGTCTGATCCAGACCTTCAAAGGGTCTAATGATAGGGGCTCATGCCAGGGACTTGCAGAAGGAGTTCCCATTCCCAGATCCCAAACACGAAGCGAAACGAGCACCGCCGCCGTTTCACTTTTTTGAATTTCTGCATCCTCGTGAAAGGTGGGCTACCAGCTGATGACGAGCAGCTTGGCTTTGACTTGAGTCCTGGTTTAATTCCAAAGTGGCGTCTAGGGGGCGGCGTGCACCGTCAAACCTTTCAAGAGCTCCTGACGTTGTGCGCCAACATGTTCTGAATCTCACTTCTTCCCGACTGCAGCTGTCGCAGAGCTTGTCGATGCCGTAGTGCGCCGGGTGACCTTGACGGCCTTGGGATGTTCACCCCATTTTCAGAGGCCTATTACAATGAGTTTTGAGGGTATCTTCGAACCCTGGATCGGGGCTCAAGATGGGTTAGATGCCTCAGGCTCATGGGTTACGAGCTCGGACCCTTGGTCATGAAGTTCGGGAGCAGCCGAGGCTGCGATCAAGGCTTCCCGGGCTTCATCCACGGCGCTTGGTTGGGGCATCTTGGCTTGCTTGGGTGCAGTTCTAGCCTTTGGCAGCTTCACTCTGGGTCTCCAACACAGGTTTGAGGTCTGCATGCAGGGTTCAGGCAGTTCTTCAGATGGGCAGAAACACGGATAATGTCATTGAAATCAGGAGGGCCGACCGACTGTTGATGGCACAACTGTGACATGTTGAAAGCCTTTCAGCTCGTTCTGTGCAACGACTACGCGATGTGATTATTTGTGCCGGTGTGGTCCCGAAGCTTTGTTTCCACTGTCCTGAGTCCTGAACAGCTGGAGGTATATGTGTCTTACGAACCTCATGTCCCTGTCCTTGCTTCGCTTGCTCGGCGGCAAGCGGCTGGGCACGGACTTGTCGTTGCCAGATAGGATCAGGTAAGTGAGCGCCTACGGTCCCTGTAGCACTTTGCAGTGGCCAGTCCTTCTTCAGAGCCCCAAACATGACCCAAGTGCGTCTCATCAGTTTCGGTTTTGGCGTGCCAAAGACGAGTCATAGCAGAAAGGAGATCTGGGGCCCCTATTGCTCTTGGAGCGATACCAACTTTTGGAGCTAATTCATTTCCCATTCCGCATGCGCACGAAGGCGTGCCGGGTCCTTTTGCTACCTGTTCCGCTGGCGGCTGCTCTTCAGGCTTCCAGCTGGGACAGCAAGCTGTTCGCACACGCTCCATTGTCAACAGATTCCCGCTGCCCAGTAAGCCTTCAGTAAGCTCAAAAGTCCCAGCCTACAGCCTCCTCAACCTGAATCTTGGTGTGGTCGGTGTCCTCCATTCAGGTTCCTGTTTTTCCTAGTCCTAGACAGCAGAGCATGTACTTCCCAACGAGTCACCTTGAGGGCGCTTTGCTCCTTCATCTTGCTCACAGATACGTACCAGGACGCTACGCACCTGGGATGCCGGAATGGGGCTTAGGGCCAGGACGGGTCCTTTGAGATTCCTTGTTGGTGTTTGAGTGGCTTTCAAGGGGTCGATGCTGCATGAAATCTGGTGAACTATGAGAGCCCCCCTCCCCCCCAAACCCCAAGACCTGCACTGTGCCCTTCAACACAGGTTCCCGGTCATTGCGAACAAATGCAACTTCGAGCTTTGGTTTGTCTCGGCCTGGCTGGTGGGTCTTGGCGTTGGCCTGATGCAGGTGCGACAGACACAAATCGAAAGCCTTTGGCTGTTTGCAGCCTTGGACTCTTGGACAGGTTGTTGTGCAGCTTCTCGTCCTGCTGGCCATGGCGGTGAAGTACAATTGGGCGACCACACCAGAGGCCTCTGTAGACCAAGATCTTTAATTTTAACGCTGTGCGACTCACCTCGGCCGGGCCGTTGGGTAGGGGATTAGAGGTGGGGTGCCTGGGGCCTCGGCGGATGAGGCTTAACCTGTGCCCTGCGCAGCCCTGGTGCATTTTGGATCCGGAAACCTCTTTGGGGCCTGAGGTTTGGAAGGAGTAGGGCTGCAGGTTCTAGACTCTTCGCACTAGGTCAACACCACTCCGCGTTCATACCTAAGGGAGTATTCTTCCAGGTCCTGGGTACATGTTTCGCTTATGCGCAAGGTGTCAGGAACATCAGGAACCCAACTTGTATCAGCTTGTCGGAGTCTGCAACTAAATCTAGCAGTCCCATGGCACTGCTTGATTTTGCAGTGCGAAGAATTTGGTCAAGGAAAGGTTGAGAAGCCTGGGAAACTCTCGAACTAGAAAGCCTGCAGGTTCGTCACTTGAGCTAATCTCAGGGTGGCAAAGGCAATTTGCCAAATAAACCCGATCGGGTGCACTTTCCGATCAGCCCGCAAGCTTGGCTCAGAGATGGTGACCTCACGGGAAGTTCAAATCGATCAGTCTTTGCCAGGTATCTACGAGCTTGCCATTGTTGTTTGGCATCTATAGCTAACCCATTTGGATTTGCTGTTTGTTGAACTCCAGCCGCATGAGTTTCCGACATGTCTGCTGCAGCAGAGCTGGCGAAAGTCATCGTCACTACAGCTGAATCACGTACCGACGTGATCCGCCGCGAGATTGAGACTGAGTTTGCTGACTACTTCCTGCAGTTCTGCTATGAAGCAGGACCGCACAACACTGTAACACTCCGACACTCCGCTGGTGCATTCTCAGGCTGAATTGCTGCGAGAGGGCTTTTGCAAGGTTTTCTGTTGCGTTTTCTCGCCTTTTGAACACCTTCAGACTTTCAGTCACCGTGGACCATGTTTACTACCCTTTTGGGTGGCCGTTGACTTGGGTGTGCGGGCCTTTGTTTCGCTCTTACATGCCGGGCGACTGTAATTTCACCGAAGTTGCTTGAGATTTCTACAGACATGCGAGGCTTCAAAGCAGAAAGCTCTGGTCGGGTTTAGGGGGCTTTCTCAGGCTTAGCTTATTTGGACCTTTTACTACCGTTTTGGCAGTTAGGCTTGATCAAAACATCTGACCGGAAACATCGGTCTGCCGACCCAAATTGTGACCCTATGCCCTATGCTGTGTCAGCACCAGGAGATGGGTTCAGCATCTTCCCCGCCTCGGGTCGCCGCCAGATCATCGTTTGGACGAAGGACGGCTTTGAGGTAAAAAGCTTACAAGACCTTCCTCCAGCAAGTTCCCTGGCGGCCGCGCAAATGTTGAACTGGACCACCATGCTTGGGTTTCAGAGTGCGGGCACAAGCTTCTTGTCGGACATTGAGCCGATTTTCTGACCCCTTGTGTCAACTGTGCTGTCTGTACCAGCCCAGCTAATCTGAACTATACACTATACATGGGAAGGACCCCTTAGCCCTGACGCTAAAACCTGAACCTGTGGCGGCGGCTTGCAGCATTGCAGGTCTTGAGGAGTTTCTCCAGGGGGCGCGGCAATGGTTTCTTTTTCGCCTCAGGGTGCCTCGAAAGCTCCTGATGGACCATCCGGAGGCCATCTGAGCCATCCATCCAGATCGCTCTGACTGCAATGATAGCCTGGATTGACCTGCCCAGCCGCAGGTGTGTGCAGTTTCCGCAGATTCGGACGGCCTTGTGCACTCGGAACGTGCGTGATCTATCTCCCCTGAGCGTCACCGACATGAGACAGGGCTGTGCCGTATACTTGGCCCGCCAACCATGATCGACATTTGCGAGCACTCCCTGCCGTCTGGCTAATCACATTACGACATGAGGAGAAAAGTCGCGGACTCCAGTCTAGGTCTCGGCGTCATCTGGGCGCAAAGTAGCCATCACAAAAAGAGCTCTGTTAAGATTTTCCGGAGCTTTGGCATTGGCGTTGGCACCCTAATTTGTACAAAACAGCAGTTGACTTGTACATGATGTACATGTGTTCTTCCGTGAGCGCACCTTTGGAAGTGAAGGTTTCGTCAAACGAGCTAGGGTTTCCATTAAAAGTGTGAAGCATTGGTCGAAATAAGCAAAAAAATGCTACCCCGACACGTGAGCGCCACAAGCTTTGTTGTTTGGACTCGTTTTGGTGGGTGTTAAGTTCTATAAATGTCAGTAAAAATTGTAAACAGACATGAACACATTAAAAGAATTCCCCAAGTCGTGGGAGGAACGAGACCGGCTTCTAGTACAGGGAGCGTTTACCGCTCTTCGTGGCTCCGACAACCTCGCGGGGCCCCAAGACGTGAGACGTGGGAGAGAGACGTCGAGTGCACCCCTGCCACTTCAGCGCCTTGTGACCCTTGAACCCCCAGATCCCCTCCGACATGGACGGAATCCTAAGAATCCCAGGCCCTAGTTATAGAGGCTTGTGGGCGATCAGGCAAGCGGTTTCGGCTAGATTCCCCTGCTTTTCCGCGTTTATGTGGAGCAACGGGCACTTTGCTGCTCTCTCTCTCTCTCACATATATATATATGTACACATGCACATACACATGTACATATTAAGCCATATACATGTACATGTACCCACGCATGAACACGACACGTGCGTGCAGGCATGTGTGCGTGTCTCTGTTTTCTTGTGGTGGGCATCTCTTTGTGTGGTGGCATGTGCTAATCGACATATCGAACTCAAAACCATAAACCCCAAATGATGCACATACCCATGCCTTCTGCACATCCTGAACCGTCGTTGCCAAGGTCCTGGTCTACGCCGTGCGACCGGCGGTCGAGGAACATGAAAGGGTTTGGGCTGGGTCTTTGCTGTCCGAACGGTCGCCCAGGTAATGTTCTGAGTAAGCGGTTCTCGTGGTGCCTGGCGATATATTTGCAGGCTTACAGACAACAGAGGTCGTGTTCCAAAGCTTCTGGACCGTGCACGTTTTAGTTACTAAAACGTGCAGGGTCCAGAAGCTTCGGAACACGACCTCGTATTTTAGTTGTTGCAACATCATCTCTTGAACGTACGATCGGCCCTGAGAGGAACGCCTGGGTGGTGCGAGCTCGTGGGCTATGAATCCTGGCACAGACAAGCCTGAAAGGTGCCGGAGTCTGCTGCAAGGCCGTGTGACGTGAGTGCAACTTCTCCACTTGAATTGGTCATCACACCTCCAATCAGGAAGCTGTCCGAAGCACGCATCGCATTCCTGCGGTTCATCTTCGAAGATGTTGAGCAGAGCGCGCTGCAAGCTGTGTTCCTGATCTTCTACGACGAGGCCGGGAGCATGATACATTTGCATCCTTGCCTGTGTCCGGCATGTTCAGGTATGCCCAACCAGCCATGCAACTCAGGGGCAAGCGGTATTCCAGGGAACTACGGTTGACCGAGACCCGGACCTTTACAGAGCGACTGGGAAGTGTGCTGTCTGTTTTGTGACTTTGCTTGATGACCGCCTACTGCTGCGAGGGTAGGACCAACATGTGGAACTCTTGTCACGTAGTTTCTGTTGTCTGGCGTCTGGCACCCTTATAAGTCTTCCACACTAAGAAAAACCCAAGCCACAAAGGCAAAGGTTCTGCGAAGGAAGCTTCGACGAAGAATGCACAAAGTCCGGATTCGTCAGCAGCGATTTATCGTATCACTGGATCTAGGACCATTTTGCTCTGGCGTGTCGTCCTAATCCTAGTTGACGAATGTCGAATGTCGTCGATTCTTGTGCTCTCGTCGTGTCGATCTTTTGGGGCCCTCTATTCCCAAAACTGGGGGTCTGTACCCCGCAGGCAGCCTTTGCAGACAAGCTCTGGGTGACGACATCCATCGCCACATCGCTCCTGCCCCTTGCTTGTGCCCAGCCGCTGCAGAGCCCAGCGAGCAGTAATAGTTGGGTTGTCCACGTTGTCGAGACCCTCGAATCTCAGTAGAAGGCTCGAGAATCTCAGTGGTATGCTCTTCAGTGCTCTTCATGCAAGCTCCATTCTCAGCACTCTACCGGCTCCCAGGCTCTCCTTCACGATTGTGGTGCAATGCATGCCGGAGGTGAGGGACTGGCTGTGGTACAGGCACCTTGGGGACAACAAAAAGGATTTCATTGTAGAGGTTAGAAGAGGAGGTGTTTGTGATATATATATATATGTGGCCGAGACCTTTAGGGTCTATTTCACGGCTGGTTCTTCTTTCAGTAGTAGTGCAATAATAATAATAATTTTAATATTATTATGAGTATAATAATACTGACCGTAATTGTAATAGGAATAATAATAGTACTAGTAATAGTAATAGGAATAGGAATAGTAATAATTCTAGTAATAGTATTAGTAGTAGTAACAGTAATAGTGAAGGTTTGGTCTGTGTGTGCACCGGCGCCAGCAAGTGCAGCCATGTAGCTCTAGCACACTTTGAAGTAAGAGATAGACAAGTTGTTTCATAGCCTGAAGAGGGGCGAAGGGCTCTCTCATTTCCGATTACGAGGTAGAGGTGAGCTATCTCATTTCTTAGAAACATAGAGGAGATCTCATTTCCACGACAGAGACATCTTTCACTCAGGAGAGAACGCAAGCTGTTTCATTTCCAAGAAAATAGAGGAGCTCTATCATGTCGCATTAGAAGTGAGAAGCTCTGCACTAAAAGATAGAAGGCATCGATTCGTTTCCCTTTTTCTTTTGCTTATCAAAGGGTCTTTTCAGTTCGAACACAGGATTTCTTTCATGCCCTATAAGAAGGATCGAGGAGCTCTTTCATCTGAGAGATAGAAGAACGCATTCATGAAGTATACACGAGCTCATTTCTCGTCAAGAGGCAGAGGCGTGCCCAGCTCTACCATTACCTAACTCTTACCTGAAATTTCTCTATCTCGCAATAGGTCATGAGAGACCTCCTTTTTCACGCTGCAGGAAATGAGAGAGTTCTCTTCTATGTCGATTTTCAGAAATAGCTTCGCAGCTTCTCTATCAATGAAGAGTTTTGAAGGCCACTCTGGGCCATTCTCTGTCCATCAAATGGGACATGACATAACGCATCTCTCGCTATCGTTTACGTGATAGAGTTTCGCTATCTCTGAATAGGTCATCTGAAAGCTCCTCTGTATCTTTGCAGCAAGTGAAGGAGCTCCTTGCCTCTTCTGCAAGAGCCCTCCGCTTCCTATTTTGCAATGAGCAAGCTCTTTTATCTCCTCTGGTTCCTAATAGGTCATGAGCGGGCTTCCCTCTCTCCTTCTCTTTTAGGGGATAGAGGAGGTTTTTTCATGTTGCGTTAACAGCTAGAGGACATCATTTATATCCATTCTGTCATTTCGTATGAGAAGATACAGGAGCTCATTCATCTCCTAGTCAGAGATTGAAGAACTCGTTCACAAGAGATATAGATATAAGAAATCTCTCATACAATGTATAAGAGCTCTCTCATGTCCTACCTAGTTCATTTGCCGTCACCAGCGCTCAGCTCTACCATTTCGTATCTTTTATATGACATAGCTTCTCTATCTCGCAATAGGTCATGAGAGACCTCCTCTTTCTTTTGCAGGAAATGAGAGAGGTCTCTATCTACCTTTTGTGAAAGAGCTCCCTTTGTTCAATCACAAGAACTCATTCATAGAAGCTGTAAGAGCTCTCGAATGTACTTTCTTGTTAATTTCCCGTCGATAGGTAGAGGAGCTCACAGCTCTACCACATCCTACCCTTTACATGGAAGAGGCTCCTCTATCTCGTAGCGGGTCAAGAAAGATTGCTCTATCTCTTTGCAGAACATTAGAGAGTCCTCTACCTACCTCTTGTGAAAGAGCTCCTTCACCTCAAAATCAAATGCCACAACTCGTCTATCTTTCACTGGGACATGAGACAGCTCCATTGTGAATTTCTATTCAGAAATAGCTGCTTCTCTATCGATGAAGAAATCATGCGAGTAGCCGTTTATCGATGCATAAGAAATGACATAGCTCTTCTACCTTTTTGCGACAGATCTCTTCTTTACCCGAAATGAAAGTTTGGAAGGCCATTCTCTATCCCTTGAATGGGGACACAACTCATCAGTCTCTATCGTTTACGTGAGAGAGTTTCGCTATCTCTGAACAGGTCATCTGAAAGCTCCTTTGTGTCTGCGCAGCAAGTGAAGGAGCTGCTTGCCTCTTCTGCAATAGCTCCTCCGCTTCCTATTTTGCAATGAGCAACCTCTTCTATCTCCTTTGGTTCCTATTTCTCGTTTGCCATCACTAGGCAGAGGAGCTCTCAGCTCTACCATGACCTATCTTTTACATGAAAGAGGCTTCTCTATCTCGTAACGGTTCATGGAGTCATGACAGATCTTCTCTATCTCTTTGCAAGAAAAGAGAGAGTGCTCTACCTACCTCGTGTGAAAGAGCTCCTCCACCTTGTGATCGAGAGTGACAGAACTCGTCTATCTTTCAATGGTGCATGAGCCAGGTTTTTTGTTTGTATTTGAGAAAAAGCTTGTCTACCCGTGATATAATAAGAAATGAATAGCTCTTCTACCTTTCTGTGACAGATCTCTCCTTTATTCGAAATGAAAGTCTGGAAGGCCATTCTCTATCCCTGAAATGGGGCATGACATAACTTTTCAATCTCTATCGTTTACGTGATCGAGTTTCGCTATCTCTGAATAGGTCATCTGAAAGCTCCTCTGTATCTTTGCAGCAAGTGAAGGAGCTCCTTGCCTCTTCTGCAAGAGCCCTCCGCTTCCTCTTTTGCAATGAGCAAGCTCTTTATCTCCTCTGTTTCCTAACAGGTCATGAGACAGCTCATTTCCACACTGTCATTTCGTATGCGAAGACACAGGAGCTCATTCATTTTCTATTCAGAGATTGAAGAACTCATTCATAAGAAATGTATGAGAGTTCTCTCATGTCCTATCTAACTGATTTCCCGTCACTAGGCAGAGGAGTCCTCAGCTCTACCATTTCTTATCTTTATATGACATAGCTTCTCTATCTCGCAATAATCAGGTCGTGAGAGACTTTTACAATGAGAGAGGTCTCTATCTACCCTTTGTGAAAGAGCTCCCTTTGTTCACTGGCAAGAACTCATTCATGAAAGCTATAAGAGTTCCCGTCGATAGGTAAAGGAGCTCACAGCTCTTCTATATCTTACCCTTTACATGAAAGAGGCTCTCTATCTCGTAGCGGGTCATGAAAGATCGTCTCTATCTCTTTGCCGGACATGAGAGCGTCCTCTACCTACCTCTTGTGAAAGAGCTCCCCCACCTCGTAACGTACAAAGACAGAACTCGTCTATCTTTCAATGGGACATGATCCGTCTCTTTGGTTTTGGTTGAGAAAAGCTTCTCTATCCATGAAGCAAACATGAGAGAAGCCGATTGTCTCTAGGCTGCTTATCGCTTCGTAGGAAATGACATAGCTCTTTTACCTTTTTGCGAGAGATCAACCCTAATTGAAGGTTTCGAAGGCCTATCCCTGAAATGGAGCGTCGCATAACTCATCAGTCTCTCTCGCTTACGTGAGACAGCATTTATTCTATTTCGTAACAGGTCATCTAAACGCTCTTCTATGCGTTTGTAGAAGTAGAAGAGCTCCTTGCCTCTTGTGCAAAAGCTCCTCCGCATCCTAAAGAGCAATGAGCAAGCTCTTCTATCTCCTCTCTCTTGAATAGGTCATGAGAGGGCTCCCCTCCCTCTGGTTGAGGGAATGACAGAGCTCCTCCGCCCCTTACGAAAGAGCCTTTCTCCTGCTTGAAAAGCTGCGGGCGGGTGCTCTGGCGCCTCGTAGGTTTGGGAGGGCTCCTTTTCACATCTTTATCTTTCCGACTCCGAGATATAGGAGCTCATTTTTTCGAAAGTGGTAGCAGAGATCTCTCATTTCCAAGAGATCTTTGTCACTCAGGGAGAAAGCAAGGTTTTGATTTCAAAGAAATGGAGGAGCTCTTTCATGTCCCATTAAGAGTGTGGAGCGCTCTCATTACGCATGAAAAGATTGATGACATGGATTCGTTACCATTCTTTAACTTTTCTCGAAGGGTCTTTTCTTTTCATATGCAGGATCTCTTTCATTTCCTATGAGAAGATAGAGGAGCTCTTTCATCTCAAAGATAGAAGAATGCATTCATAAACGGTATAAGAGCTCTCCCATGAACTATATCTCATCGTAGGGGGCATAGGAGTCTTAGGGGGCTCAGGATTCGCGTGCAGGGTGTAGGGTTTATAGGGCTACGGGAATTTAATGGAGGGTGTATTTGTGTAGTCTGCCTATTACCGTAACAAACCCGTGACATAACCCAGAGCCATTACTTGCAAGACTGCTTCTTGAAAGCAAGAGCGCTAGTGTCTAACCATTGTACATTCCTACATGAGATACCCCACCACATCTTGAAAACACCTCTTTCTCCAAGGGTTTACTGGGGCATTAAGGAACAAGAACGTGATGGTTTCAGCACCAAAGTAAGGGAATAGCAAAGGGTTTCCAGGGAAAACTTCCCTGATGCAACCGGTCTCTATCTCACAAGAGGTCATGAGAGACCTCCTGTATCACATTGCAGGAATGAGAGAGTTCTCCACCATGTTTGTTTTCCGAAATAGCTTCTCTATCAATGAAGAGTTTTGAAGGTCGCCCTGGGCCATTCTCTGTCCGATAAATGAGACATGACATAACTCATTAGTCTCTATTAAGAGAGTCTCTATCTCTACGTGATCGAGTTTCGCTATCTCTGAATATACGTCGTCTGAAAGCTCCTCTGTGTCTTTGTAGCAAGTGAAGGAGCTCCTTGCCTCTTCTGCAAGAGCTCCTCCGCTTCCCCTTTTGCAATGAGCAAGCTCTTCTATCTCCTCTGGTTCCTAACAGGTCATGACTTCTGCAAGAGCTCCTCCTCTTGATATTTTGCAATGAGCAAGCTCTTCTATCTCCTAATAGGTCAGAGAGGGCTTCCCTCTCTCCCACTCTTGTAGAGGGCATCGTTCATTTCCTGTCTGTCATTACGTATGAGAAGAGACAGGAGCTCATTCATCTCCTAATCAGAGATTGAAGAACTCCTTCAGGAGAGCTCTCTCATATCCTATCCTTTTGGTTCCCCGTCACTAGGTCCCTAGGTAGAGGAGCTCT